TATCAGTCAGGTCTGGGAGGCTGTTGCCCAAGGTGTTGCCAAGGTCAGGAACCACGTTGCCCAAGGTGTTACCAAGATCGGGACTGCCATTGCCCAGAATATCGGTCAGGTTTGGGAGACCGTTCCCAAGGGTATTGTCCAATGTGTTGGTCAAGTCTGGGACAATACCCCCGAGGATGCTGCCCAGATCAGGTGTTACATTGCCAAGGGTGCTGTCCAGATCAGGCAACAAATTGCTCAACGCGCTGCTCAGGTCAGGAAAAACTGAACTCAGATCAGGGATAGTGACGCTAGGGAGGAGCGTGGAAGGGTCGGGGACAACACCCGTAAGACCGTTGAGCAGGTCTCCAAGGCCGGAACCAAGACTTCCAACGGGGTCAATCAGACTAGGAATCAGGGTGCTCAGATCGGGGAGAGCCAGGCTAGGAAGCCCATTGTCCAGGAGGGATCCCAGGGTGTTGCCGAGAGTGTTTGTGAGGTCGTCAGCCGTGTTGCCAAGTGTACCAGTAACTCCTCCAACGGTGTTGCCCAGAATGTCGCCAAGATCAGGAACAGTATTGCCCAGGCCGTTTCCTATGTTGATAAGATCATCGAGTGTGTTCGTCACGTCTGGAACAGTGTTGCCCAAGGTGTTGCCCAAGTCGGGAACATTGTTGAGGCCATTTCCAAGGACATTGCCGAGCTGACCCGCAACGCCGGGAACAATGTTCCCAAGGAGGCTTCCGAGATCGGGCAGGCCGAGGTTGTCAAGAGGCAGAGCGCCGGGAAGGTCGGGGAGAGTCGGTGTAGTTGGGATCGTACCCGAGTCTGGCACTGTGGGCGCTGAGCCACCTAATCCTCCGAGGAGGTTGTCGAGAAGACCGGCAACACCAGTGAGGAGTTGCGGAACACCAAGAGTGTTAAGGAGGTTAGGGACACCAAGAACTCTCAGGAGGCGGGGGAGATCAAGGTTGAGGCTAATACCAAGGTCGAGGATAGGGCCGTCTACCAGGTTGGGGTCTAAGAGATCGGGGAGACCGCTGAAGCCAGGCAGGCCCGGAATGCCTGTTGGAAGGGTTGGGGTGCCTGGTATCGTGGGAATTCCACTTCCTGGGAGACTTGGCAAGTTGCCCAGGCCACCGAGGAGATCAGGAAGAACATTTCCAACATTGCCCAAACCACCGAGGAGACCTGAGAGAAGGCCTCCAAGGTCTGGCAGGCCCAAATTAGGTAGAGTGAGATCTGGAATATTGCCGAGGACGTTACCCAAGTCGGGAAGTCCGTTGAGACCGCCAGTTAGGCCACCGAGGCCGTCGGTTAGGCCATCAAGACCACCAAGCACTTGCGAAATGTCGGGAATGCCCGAGAGGAGGCTTCCCAGGAACAGCGAGAAGAAGGGCAACAGGTCACCGAGGTTGGGGATCAGGCTGCCAAGGTCTGGAATACTGAGGCTGGGGAGAAGGCTGCCCAACAAGTTGCTCAAGTCAGGAATACCAGGAGTGCCTGGGAGAGTGGGTGTAGTGGGGATTGTCGGGATGCCAGGGATGCCACCGCTCCCAAGTCCGCCAAGAGCGTTTCCAAGAAGACTGGTCAAGTCGTCCAAGGGCAGGCCTCCATTCAACCCGTCGAGGATACCGCTCAGATCAGGGAGTGAAAGATCAGGGATTGTGAGGCCACCGAGAAGCTGTCCCAGATCGGGCAGCGTGTTGGGGTTGGCCAGACCTCCCAGAAGCTGGCTGAGATCGGGAATGCCAGGTAGTCCGAGGTCAGGCAGCAGGCTATCGAGACCAGGCAGACTCAGGTCGGGGATGAGCAGGCCTGGGAGAAGATCACCCAAGTCGGAAAGAATGGAAGGGAGTCCGGTTCCGGGCAAGTTACCGAGCCCACCTCCGAGCAAATCACCAAGCCCACCTCCAGGCAAGTTTCCAAGCCCACCTCCGAGAAGGTTGCCGAGCTGGGTCAGATCGTCAAGGCTAGGGATACCTGAGGCGACGCCGCTCAAGAGACCTGAGAGATCGGGAAGCTGAAGGTCGGGAAGCGACAGATCGCCCAGGAGCTGGCCCAGGTTCGGCAACAGGTTGGGGTCCTGGAGGCTGGACAGAAGAGAGTCCAAGTCAGGAAGACCTGGAAGACCGAGGGTAGGGAGCAGGATGTCAAGGGCAGGTATGCTCAGATCAGGCAGGGTAATGTTCAAGAGGATTCCAAGATCAGGCAGATTGCCAAGAACGTTGCCCAGGTTTCCTAGGGGGTCCAATGCGTTGCCCAAGTTTCCTAGGGGGTCCAATGCGTTGCCCAAGTTTCCTAGGGGGTCCAATCCATTGCCGAGGCCGAGGAGGTCGCCCAGTGATCCAAGGATGTCGGAGGGGTCGGGTGTGCCGCCGACAAGACCGCTCAAGATACCACTCAGATCAGGCAGCTGAAGCTCAGGGAGGCTCAGGCCGCCGAGAAGCTGTCCAAGGTCGGGGATTAGGCTAGGGCTCAGAAGTGTCGACAAGAGAGCACTCAAGTCAGGGAGATCTGGAAGACCAAGCGAAGCAGAGAGCAGGCCATCGAGAGCAGGCAGGCTCAGATCGGGGAGAAGTATGTTTCCGAGATTTGGAATGCTGAGGAGACTTCCAAGGTCGGGGAGACCTCCGAGTAGGCCGCTAAGATCAGGCAGGCTGTTCAGCGGATTGTTAGGGTCAAGCAAGTCGTCTAATGGGTTGCCGGGGTTGGGCAGGTTGCCCAAGAGGCCGCTTAGAATGTCACTAGGATCGGTCAGGTTACCCAAAAGGTTGCTCAATTGGTCGTCAGGATCAGCCAGGCCGTTCAGCAAGTCGGCAATGTCAGGGAGCGTGCTCAGTCCGCCAAGCACGCCAGTCAAGTTAGGAAGACTCAGTGAAGGCAGCAGGGAGTCCAACAGGAGGCCGATATTGGGCAAAGTGCTTGGGTCCAGCAGGCTGTAGAGAAAACTGCCCAGGTCAGGGAGGCTGGGGATAGTAAGGGCACGGAGCAATGAGGTCAGGACAGGCAGAGCCAGACCAGTCAAGAAGCTGTTGAGGTTCAAGGCGTCGACAAGGCCTGGCAAGCCGAAGCCGCCAAGGTTTCCAAGACCGGATCCCAAACCTCCAAGACCATCACCCAATCCGGAGCCTAACCCACCGAGGCCAGATACCAGGCCGCCCAGACCGGATCCTAGACCTTCAAGACCAAGTCCAAGACCAGATCCTAAATCGCCCAAGCCTGAGCCCAAAGAGGCGAGCCCGGGAAGGAGATAAGCAAAGCTTGGCAGCACCAATCCATTCAAGAGGCCACCTAGGTAAGGAAGTGCAAGATTCGGAAGTGCGAGACCATCAAGGCCTGGAATACCACCAAGGCCGGGGAGACCACCCAGACCAGGGAGACCACCAAGGCCAGGAAGACCTCCAAGGCCTGGAAGACCTCCGAGGCCGGGGAGACCACCAAGGTCGCCTCCAAGACCATCGCCCAGTGCCGGCAGAAGCAGGCTGTACAGCAGAGGGCCGAGCCCTTGCAAACCATCAAGGCCGGATAGACCGTCCAGGCCAGGCAGACCACCCAAGCCGCCCAAGCTGGGGAAGAGGCCGCCTAGGGAGAGAATGGGTAAATCGGGGAGGAGCAGACCAGACAGCTTTCCGTTGAAGTCGAAGCTGATATCCGTGAGACCGTTAGGAAGCTTCTCAGTGCCAAGACCAAAGTTCAGACTAGAGTTTCCGAAGGCGACGCTCCAGGTGAAGTTTCCAGGGGTTGAACCTCCAGTGAGGCCATTGACGCCAGGCAGACCGGGAAGGCCAGAAGAAGAGAACGGGTTGCTGGAACCAGTACCAGCGTTCGTGGGGGTTGCGTTTTCACTGCCAAAGTCGGGGAAGGTGATGTTACTTCCCGGGGCGGTAGGAACCAGCGAGAAGAGGCTGTTGGGGAGGGCGCCAGAACCTTCATCGTAGAGAGCTGTGCTGCCAGTGCCCTCCATGCGGAACAAGCAGTTGGCACCGCCCTCAAGGAGGCAGATAATACGAATAGGTAGATACGTACCGCCGATACCCTTCACAACAGTTGTTGTAGCAGGGCCAGCACGCTTGCTGAGGCCAGAGGGAGAGTTGACAGAAACAATGTTAGCATTAGCACCGTTGAAGTCCGACACAGCATTATCACCAGTCCAGATAAAGACACTACCCTCGGTACCAGGAGTGGAGATGGTAATGTCTCCATCTTCGCAGACGTAGATGAAACCCCTCAAGTGGTAAGCCAGAGGCTGTTCGGCAGGGTTGGGAAGCGTGAGCAAGTCTAAACCAATGGAGGCAGCCACAGGCTCAGCAGCTCCAATCTGGCTAGGATCCATCTCACTTAGAGCCTGGTTGGTCTGGTCTACGAGGTACAGACCTTGCTGGAGACCCTCATCAGCATCTGTATTGACACACTTGGCCGGAGAAGCTGTAAGTGTGCCCTCGTCAGGGCCATCGGGGCCGACATCGACGCCGGGGTTGGTGCCATTCGGGCCACTATCGGGACCTTCTGTAAGTACATCAGGATCGATAGTAGGGTTGGTTCCCGTGTTTCCAGGGCCCGTTCCTGGAGTTGGAGGACGGCCAGTCGGGATGGAAGGGGCGATACCGGGGCCAGGGAAACCACGGCCAGTAGACAACGAGGGGTTGGGACCGACACCAGGACCATTAGGACCCGGGCCGCTGGTAGCAAAGCCGGGGCCATTGGGACCTGGACCATTAGGACCATTAGGACCAAGGTTGTTAGAACCATTGGAACCTGGAACGTTGAGACCATTAGATCCAGGACCATTGGGACCTAGACCAGGGCCATTGGGACCTGGACCATCAGGACGAGGACCGTTAGGACCATTAGGACCGCTGGGACCATTTGGACCGCTGGGACCATTAGGACCAGCACCATTGGGACCAGCATCAGGGCGGACTCCAGTGGAACCAAGACTTGGTCGGGGGCTTGGAGCGACGCCGGGACCAGCGCCGGGGTTCCCACTGCCAACATGAATGCCACCAAGCATTGCGGGGGCAGCCTCGTCACCCTCATCGGCGCTATCATCCTCCTTCTTCTCCTTCTTCTCCTTCTTTCCCTTGACGATGTAGATGACAACGGAGCCACGCTCATCGTGACCGCGTTCATCCTTCCATGGTGGGAGGGTCACAGCAGGACCGTCAACACCGCAAGGAGCAGTCACAGTGGGAACTTCATGTCCCTGGTGCCTGTCAACAAGGACAACAGGTGTGGCGTAAGGAATCGGGTGCCCTCCAGGGCCTGTTGGGACAATGGTCTTGGTGAGGGGGTGAGCCTTGCCGGGAACAGTGACGACGGGGAACTTGTCCTCGAACCCAGGAGGTCCGCAAACAACGACAGGCTTCTCTCCATGCTTGAACGGAGGAAGGTGAATATTGGGGCCGCCGGGCTGGGCACCATGAAGGATGTGGACGTCAGAGTCTCCGAAATCACCAAAGTCCTTGACGTCGCCCCAGTAGTCGCCCTTGCGGCCGCCATGTGGAATAGGAGGCTCCGTTGGGTGAGGAGGCTCACAGATGACTACTGTTCCCTCACAGTCCTTCTTGCAGCCCTTGGAGGGGTGATGTGTCTCCACGGTTGGGTACTTGATGTGCTCCTTGATGGTGGTCTTAGTCACATAAGGAACATCAGTCGGCTCGTAGTGAACCACGGTAGGAGGGCAGTAGTCGCATGATGGTGCGCGAGTCTCGGTCTTGGGTGGTGGCACCTTGCCGGGCGTCTCACATGCGGGGAGAGTGATGGTGACTGGGGGAAGCTTGACCTCAACGGTGGTTGTCTTGGCAGGGCACTTCTTAAGGCACTCGTTGACATCGACATACTTGGTGACTACTTCTTCAACAGTGACGATGTCGGCCGGCGGACCGGCCTGGACGGGAGCCACGAGCATCGACGCAGCGAGCGTCGCACCCGTGACCCATGCCGAGGCACGGTTGTAGCGAGAGCTCGCCATATTGATCCTCACACAGCCCAGATACCCGTGCTGTCGGAGATCAGTAGGGAAGGACAAAAACAAAAGAATGAAAAAGCCGTGGCGGTTGACAAGGAGAAAACGGGTCCTCCAGACCGGCCCAAGGCGAACTCCTTATATATACAGTGCCTCTAAACATTGGCGGTAGAATGCCCTGCCGTGCCAAACACGATGGTCGCAGAGTCAAAATTATTACCAATCCAGGGAATCTATCAACCTGGAATTCTCGCTCGTGATCTGAATCAGGAACCCATATCGGCGGGACGTTGGACTCTGCCACACAAACTCTGGCCGCTCCCGGTCTTCCGCAGCGCTATTGAAGGCGGGCACTCCCTAGAGCGTCCTTCAAAAGGGCAAGATGATCTGGGCGGTTCTCCCTCGGAGGCTGTTCCTAGGAATGAGACATGTGGAAATTGGGTTTGTTCTTCATCCGTCCCGGAGTCTCGAGAACCATCTCCGTTGACGAAAGCATTCCAAGAGAAATTGATCCCCTCTTCATCGGAGAATTGTGCCCATTTGAATGAGAAATCCTGCGTAATGGCCAGTCGGTAGCGATGCTCTCTGGGGACACAATGTCCCACCCCCACAGATCAGCCATTGAAGACCGCCAAGTAGATTATCAAGGGTGCTGAGATCAGCACGGCATAGGTGAGCACAATTATAGGAGCGTAAGGATGAAGGACATCTCAAGGGAAGATACAATTGGACAAGCGCGGCCAGTGCGGCCCATCAGAAGGGTGCCACTTCGAGCCCTTGTCAGGAGATCTGATCTGCGGATGCAGCGAACACTCTCACCAATGCACCTCTTGGCTCCCGTTAGCAGTGTCAATGAGGTGCTTGCAACACTTTGACAACAACATATCGACCCGGGGCATTAACAGATCGATGCAGTGAGCAGGAATGGGCGGCCGGGATGTCTCCGCTAGCAGCATTCAACGTTGCCCACATGGCTCCCCTCACTGATTGCGGTGTCTCACGGTTGACATGCAAACGCGCGATCGGCCAATGAGAGCGGTTACGGTAAGGGTCTCAGGTACACTGTTTCTGATGATCTGAACACGGTCTCTGGTCAACGGTGCCCTAGTGTAGCGCAGGGACGTTGGTGCACCGTTTGCCGAGCCCGTCCCGCATGCAAGAGGGCGTTGGACGAGAGAGGGAGAGTATGGCGATATCGATATATGCCGTCCAGAAGGGTAGATGAAAGCGGTTGCTTGTGATTTCATGCGCGAGTTTGTTTATTCTAAGGTACGTGTCGATGGCTTAAGGCAAGAAATGAAGGGCAGATCAGTCAACAGGCAGGACCGACCATGTTGCTGGTCAATGTAGCACGTGATTTCAATTGACTTCCATCCGTCAAGCCACAATAGACATCCAGCTGATGACCATCACACAACAAATACTGGGATGAAAGTCCATATCATCGCCCTCCCATCCCCACAAATCGCATTTCATCCCTATTCACACAATCTGTTGAAAGGGAAATACACAGAACTCTTCCCTCGACTGGATTCAAGCAAGCACCCAATACATCCGTGCACCCCCTCCCTTCCCAGGACCCTGTTTGGCCAGCGACAGATCGTCAATTGATGGAACGGAGGGCCCAAGACACCTGAGCCGAGGAAGGTGTATGTTTATCAAGGTCACCTTCCGAAGTCCTAAAACTCGAAAGGGCAAAAGGGCAAACACTGAACGCGTCTCGATCGTTTGCCTCCTCCTCCTCTCTCCGGCGACGGGAGGATGTGGTGTCCTCACCTTCAAGGCTGGGTCTAGAACACGGCTCTACAAAACCCGGGATACTTATTGCGGCACCAGCTGGGCTCTGCCTCTTCTTCGAGATGAATTCCAGGCCTCCTTTCGCCTCCAAGGGCAAAAATAAAACAGCCGCAACAAGGGCAAAAAACATACAACAGCAGGTATTCGCTGGTCGTCACCGACCCAACTACTAATCCGCCCCTCATCCGTTTAACTAGGCGAGAGCGGACGGGATCGCGTGTTTTCGAATGGGTATGGTCGTATGTGGTTGTTGAAGCCATCGTGGGAGCTATATACCCTAGTCCCCACAACAACACAAAATGGTAAAATACGAAGCGTCCAGCCAAAAAGAACATACAACAGCGGGTATTCGCTGGTCGTCACCGACCCAACTACTAATCCACCCCTCATCCGTTTAACTAGGCGAGAGCGGACGGGATCGCGTGTTCTCGAATGGGTATGGTCGTATGTGCTAGATGGCATGGCGGAATTGCTAGAAGACGGCCAGTTCGGTCGAACGTTCCTGGTGTGGTGGTTCCCAGTCTCCGGACCCGAACATGCCACACTTAACCCGCCTACGCTCCCCAATGTCTCGGAAGAAACCACGTACAAGAAAATACGGACATAATACTACTTACCTACAGTTGGGAGACCAGCAACGGTCATCTGGTTGTGATGGGAAAGCACAAGAAAGAAAGCACGCCATAATGATAGTCAAACCCACAGATTGCTTCCCAAACACTGCAGGCTCGTTTTGGTATTGTCCAGCACCGTGGGCTTTATGTTTCACCCGGGACAATAGCACAATCTACTCATCTCCAGGATCTGCACAGCCGTGGACGCGGCGTGTATTCACAACCCCAAGGAGGCGTATCTGCTTGGAATGTGAAGCAAATGAGGGCCAGGACAGTATCCATCCTGCTAAACCTGTGATTGAGAATAGAGCGCAGAAAAGCCAGCACTGCCAACTTAGCGGATGCGGTACCAGGTGGAAGCCAATGTTTGGGCCTTCTTTATGCTTATTACGGTAGTCTGAAGTCCTTTGCGGATTGATGCTGGACGTCTTTAGACCTTTCCCTGTTTGCTTTCGGTCCCTGAGTGCTCGTGTGGCTGTATATTTAAGGACCCCCCGTTAGCATGGTGCCCTGAAAGCGTCGACTCACCACCAAATGGTGCTACCCTGGAGTTGTGATCGTGACGTCGTTTCCAACCTACCTATCTCCCAACCGTGAATATGCTGTGATCCAATCATTGAATTAGAACTGCGTTGGATGCGACTTAATGTTGCAGCTTTTACGTAGTTTTGCTATGATACTAGCTAGTTCATCGTTGATGTCTTTCTACGTAGAAAGTCGGTATTACAGGTTAGACAATCTAGTAAACACGATAAACCAACCCGGAAAAGCATCTACATATTACACATCACACCCGTCACGAGATACCTACCTATCGCCATCCATCCCGGAAAAATTGCTTCGACTTTGGCCAGAAGATTGCACTATACAAATTGATCTGGACCCATCCGCGAAATACAAGGTAGATAGGCTACTCTCTTGCATCTCTCCACGAGACTCTACCTACTATCTATATACTCTCTCAAGCCAAACCTCAAAAAGATGATGGTGTGGCCACTACTCCCTCCTCTACTCCTGCTCCATGCCAAGCTCAAATGACGATGCCAATTAGAAACTGTATTATCTGAGGGGGCACGGGGGAGCGAACTCCCCACCGCCCCTAACATGAGCTAGGAAAAAAAGCGCAACATTGAAGTTGATTAAAATAAAAATACCCTCTTTATGCTAATTTCGGCCGTTTTCTCATTCAATCATCCCCCCTTGGCTGGACGGGAACCTCCCCCAAACTATCTGCATAGCTGGGGGAGAAGCGCCAAAAGGAAAGGGGGAATGCTTGCGTGTCTATGTATTGTCACACTCAAAAAAGGTAATTTAGAAGCGGTGCTGGCGACCGACACTCTCGACGCGGACGCCGAGCTTGGTCATCTCGCGCGAGTCGATGACTCCGCGGCCGTCAAACACCCAGCGCGGCTTGGCCATGGTGTCGGCGATGCGGACCCAGTCGAGGCGCTCCCTGGCCTTATATTCCTGGGAGCTGCCCATGCCGGTGGCGAAGCCGCTCTCCTTGCTCGCGGCCTGCTGGAGACAGTCGGGGCAGTCCTCGGGGCACGCGGGCTCGGGGTTGTAGCGGCCCAGGGGGTCGCTCGAGGTCTCGCCCTCGCGCTGGAGGAGGTGCTTGTGCAGGGCGAGGACGTCGTTGGCGGAGGGCTCGGGGCGCTCGAACGGCCGGGGGTCGGCCTTGGGGTTGGGCTTGCGGCCGATCATCTTGACGGTGTGGTCGGGGGCGGGGACGGCGGGCTTGGGGGGAGGCTGGTTGCGGAACTCGTCGAACTCGGTGGCGATGACGACGGCGGTACTCTTGTCGCAGGCGTCGTAGCCGTTGCCGTAGACGACGATGTTCTTGAGCTCGTCGACGTCGCCGAGGAGCTGCCTGATCTCCTCCTTGATGACGAGGGGGTTGCAGCAGGGGTCGAAGATGGCGATCTCGCGGGGGCGCTCCTCAAGGAGGGTCTTGACCATCTCCAGGGCGGGGGCCTCGCGGGTGTCGGATGTGTTCTTCTTAAAGGCGTAGCCGAGGATGGTCACCTTCTTGCCGACCAGGGTGTTGTTCAGGCACTTGATGACGCGGTTGGTGAAGCGGTCGCGAGCGTACTCGTTCATCTTGACAACCTGGCGCCAGTACTCGCCGACCTCGGGAAGACCCATAGTGTCGGCCAGGTAGACGAGGTTCAAGACGTCCTTCTTGAAGCAGCTGCCACCGAAACCAATGCCGGCGACGAGGAACTTGTTACCAATACGAGGGTCTACACCAACAGCTTTGGCCACCTCGTCGACATCAGCACCAGTCTGCTCACACAAAGCGGAGATGGAGTTGATGCTGGAGATGCGCTGGGCCAGCATGGAGTTGGCGACCAGCTTGGCCAGCTCAGACGACCAGACGTTGGTCGTCAGGATGCGGTCGCGGGGGACCCAAGCATTGTATACGTTGACGAGAGCCTCAGCAGCCTTCTTTCCCGAGGGGGTGGGAGCAGAACCGATCAGGATACGGTCGGGGTAGAGCAGGTCGTTGACGGCGGTACCAGCAGCCAAGAACTCGGGGTTGGACAGAATCTCGAAGTGGACGCCGGGGCGGTGCATGTTGAGCTGGGCAGAGGGGAGATGATTAGATCCTGTAATTCCTCTTGTGTAGACCTTCCACTAATATATCGATTGGGACTTACAGTATCAGCGACGAGCTGGGCAGTTCGGCAGGGAACAGTACTCTTCTCGACAATGATGGCACCCTCACGGGCAAACTGAGCAACGACGCCGGTGACAGCCTCGAAAGCAGTCATGTCGGTCGCGCTGCCAGCACCGACACCACGGTACTTTGTAGGGGTGTTGACGGAAACGAGGACAATGTCAGCCTCGCCGATACACTTGCCGACATCGGTGGTGAAGAACAGGTTGCCCGGTCGCACCCCAACCTCAGTCTTGTCGGCGACACCCTCGCTGGAGTCGAAGACGATGCGGCGACCGCCATCGCGGGCTACACGGACGATGTCGCGGAGGCCAGGCTCGTAGATGGGAGGGTGCTTCGAGTTCCAGCGGCGGATTCGAGTGACGTCGCGGTCGACGACGGTCACCTTGATGTGCGGGTTCTGGAATGCGATAACAGCAGCGGTCGGGCCACCTGGAAGAATAGGTCAGCAATCAGCTTCATTGGGGGCGTTTTGCCTTTTTCCAGCTTCTTCGATTCGCGTTTGGCCCCTTGAGGAAGTGTCTTGGAGGAAAAGAGGCGAGATCTGCACCGCAGGGAAAGCAATGACGCCCAAAAGGCAAGACAATGGAGGGGTCCTGCCGGTGGCTCGCCCAAGCCACTGTAGCAGCGCTGCAGGAGAGCTCCAGCGCCCCAAAAAGGTGCCAACTTACCGACGTAGCCAGCGCCCACACAGCAGATGTTCTTGACCACAACGTCCTCTAGAGCGCCATTGGTGTGTTCTGTAGAGCCGTTGAGCCCCAGGCTGGCGACCGAGTTCACTACAGCTTCAGGAAGGCCTGCCATTGTAGAATGTCCCTTGAGAGGTGCGGAGCGTTTGTTCAGACGGAAACGACAGTATAGAATTAAAGAGAAAAGAAACCGAAGCAGCGCAATCGTGACGCTTCAGAAAACAACAGGCCGATGGTGGGGGATGACGAATGGCACGGCCGACTTTATCTAGCCAAGGCTTCGGCAGGGATCTCAGACCGCTCAAACAGGGGGGTTGTACCTCTCAATTATAGATCGTGTTATAAAGCAAGATGGCAAAAGTCAGAAAGTAGCAGCCAGTGCACGCGGGCCACCTACTGGTTGGAATGTCGCCTCTCGGGTTGCAAAAGTCCTAAAGCACGGCGAGATGGCGAGACCTTAAAATAAGTACAATGGCAATGCACGCACGGGGGATGATTCAGACCAGGCGGCTCTTGAAAAGAAAAATACTAGTATACACCAAACACATGTATCTGAGCCGGGGGTGTGCTGCCTCCATGCGAGTGGAAAAGGGGTGCCGGATGGGATACACAGCCAAGAGGCCAAAAGCGAAAGGTGGTTGTGTGGACTTTGGCAACACGCACACACCTCACACTGTTCATCTCCTACATACAGTCTACCGGCTGATTGCCAAGCAGTCGCCAGCTGGACCCTGGCTTCTCCCCCTTCCCAAGCTCCAGCACATTGCAGCACGGATATCCGACAAAGCGGACGGGCGAGTGAGGCAGGATATCATGGGACGACGGGATGGGGGCAACGGTTTCTCCCAGACTTCAGCTGTGCCTCTACGGATCCATATTGCTCGCTCCACGCGGTACTTGAGCTTGTCCCAGAACGCTACATACCGATGTAGTATGTACATGGTACTGGATGCACCAGATATGGAACCTAGCGCCTGGTCCCTGGGAACGGAGTTTGCTTGTTGGACCGACCTACGACAGAATACCTCGACATACAGTAGCACCATGCAGCATTTCTGAGATGAGATGATTGGGGGGAGACGGGGCACCGGCCTTGGCTAGCGGCCATCCTGGGCCGGCAAGCCACGCAACCTGCGGCCTGTCCACCACCGCCATGCTCCAAGCCGGCCTTGTGAATGGCTGTGATTGTTGCCCGCTAGAGTTAGTCTCGGAAGACACAGCACTCTAATTAGGCGGAGACCAAAAAGGCTGCGCGTTGGGGTGAACGGATGGATTATCTCGTAGGAGGGGCAAGTCACCAGCCGTGTTGCCGCTGGGGTTTGCGATGGCGGCTGACCCGATCTAGTGACAGCACGAGGCTGAGAGAATGAGAGCAAAGCGAGAAGGGTGACCGCTATTGCAACGTACCTAGGTGCTGACCAGGTTCGCGCGCGTCGGAGTGAGCACCAGGGTCCGCAGTCATTGTTGTACAGAGTGGGTGGATTCAGATGATGCGAGGCACCGGCCGGCTCACTTTGACTGATACCCATCTTTGCTTTGTTTTGCTGAAACCAAGGTTGTAGCACTGCTCGCAATTTCACACGGTGCTGCTCCTCCCTGTTTCACTTGTTTAGATAGAACTCAGCTTCTCCAGCAGCTCTTGGCACGGGGCGTCGGAAATATTCTGCACCACACTCCAGCTCCTGTGACGTCGATATGGAGAAGCTGATGGTGCAGACGCCACTTCACCGGTCTAACAAGTTTTAGCTACTGTGCCGTCAGGGAGAGCTTATTTCCACCCAGTGCCAATCAGATGGGCGGGCGCACCCTGGAACGGACCAGCTGGGCCGCCTCGTGTTATCAGTTGATGGGATTGTCAGAATGCCTTCTGTGAATACGGCCCGGCTCACCACAGTGCGCACATCTAACAGGCAAAAATCAATCGCCGTGAATTGCGTCCGCTCAAGTCCGCTCGAAACCTGTATGCAACGCTCGCGTGATGGGATCGAAATTGATCTTTATCAGTACGGAGCGAGCGCCAAGCTGTTTTCTCAGGCCAAGGCGAGAGCATGGGGCTCCCTGCTAGTATTAATCTTTGACATTGTTGAGCCATGACGCGGCCTCTTCAACTGTGTGACACGTGAGGGATTTCCCTTGTGAAATGAAACCGGTGGAGATGCAGATACAGATGAAGCGAAGGAAAACAAATGGATTAGAAACCACCTTGCCTGCCTTGCAATGGATAATAACTCGCGTCGCCGTTACGATTTCTGCTGACCTCAGGGAAGCTAGAATACGAGTATTCCTTGAGAGATGTCGATCTTTCAGACCTGAAAGGAATTTACAATGCCCGACTTATTCCCTGTCAAGGAACACAAAAGTCCTTTTCACAGGAGTACCTCCTCCGAGCGATTGACCGAGTAAGCCAGCTGAGAGCAAAAGAGAAGAATTGGGTTGATTGTTCTAAGATTTTCATGCTACAGGGTAATCAGAAGAATATGGCAGGAGCAACCTTCTGCCACAACCTGTGCCTGCCAAGATTTTGTGTGGCTCAGAAACCGTGGCTGATGGATGTGGCTTGTTTGAGTCGAGATCCACGCAATCACTGAAGTTCCTACGAAGGTAATTTTGGCAGCTCACGGACGTCACAGAATTTACAACCAACAGGCCAAGCTGCATAATCCCACCAGTCGATGAAGACCCTGATGATCATGGAGAGCTGTCCCTGACAAGGCCGATGGCCCCTCCCCCACTTCTCCGTCCTGCACAGCACATATTAATCAGCCAACCAGCGATTTCTTGATTTTGGCTAATCGGGTCACGATGGCGGGAGAAGCCTAGCAAGATCATCATGAGAACACACACGCTGACCAACCCACGGCCGGGAAATTGACACGCGAGATTTCCATTTCATAGCCGAGTGGCGGTGAAAAATGAGAAAGGAAAAATTAAAAGCGCGCCTGCCAGATGGAACACAAAAACCGCATTCCGGCATTGCCCGCCATCTGAATACCTCTTTGGTAGAACGAGATCGCATTTCAAGGATCGACTGTGACTTCGGCCCAGCATCAATCGTGCTCGTGATCACAACAGTCGCATCGGGATCCCCCACACCAGCCGTCAAATGCCAACCAGAGATGCCACGAGGAAGCGTCCTTGGCTATCTGGGCTGGACGCCGCCATGGGTTCGCTAGCTTATCGCTTCCTCGGAGACTGCAATGTGGTTGCATCGCGTCCTCTGATTGGCCCTCGCCCACCTCAAGCCATGTGCTCTTGTGAGCCTTTTCCGCCTCTGTAGTTTCCTTTGGTCCCGCCACCAGATGTTTCGGGGTCCTGTCGCGCGACTTGTTGAGAGGAGAGGCTACTGTGAATGCGTCTAACCGGCCGAGATCATCTGGCGCCCAGTCATATGTGACGAGGTTGATGCAGCTTGCCAGCTAAAGTCACATCGCTCTGGTAGAGGACTTGGAAGAAGAGGTCACTGAGACTTTGAGCGCCCGCGCGAAGCTACCGCGAACTTAACTTGATGTGGCCGACGGACACGATGTAGCTGGGACTCATGCGCAATGCCCCTCGCTTCTCAGCATCATGACCCCCTCCCTTCCGCCGTGGGGGGGTAACGAGGGCCATCTCATCTGCCTCATCGAACCGAGACAGGGTCCAGGCCCAGGGCTGGCATACAGGCACCATTTCCATTACATGCAGCTCCTGTTCTGCAACCTTAAGCTCATATCCCCGTGGCATCCAATGGCTGTCCAACGGGCATTAACCCCCCTGCGATGCCTGGCTGGAAGTTGCCCCTCATGACGATCCGACATCCCTTACCCATCCCTCTATCCCCCACCATGGATGTACATGTAGCTGGGAGCCGGCAAGCAGGAGGGGCGATGGATTCAAAAGAGCCGACTGTCTCTGCCGCTGCCTCCGCCCATTCGTCGCAAGCCCCTCCCTAGGCCGTTGTGACCTTGCCACGCGAGGCTAGACCATCTTGTGCTGCCGCCAGATACATCGAATCAATCAAACGACCTCGACCGCTTGCACATGCACGTGGGGTAATTGGCTGACTCTCGTGCTGCAAGCCTTCATCCTGCATATCCAACCAGGCGATGACTGAAAAAGCAGCTGCCTCGTCTTTGTGCAGTTTTGTCTCTCGGTTGCCTGCCTGTTTGTTTGTTACCATGGCAAAGAATAATCCTTCTCATCTGCGTCTGCAAACCCTCATATTTCATCTGCTTGTCCAATAAGCCCCTCAGTGTGCGCCACGGAGAGAGTCCACTTAGTCTCGATCCTGAACCTATTGATTCATCTTATCGCCTCAGTCTGTACCAAAACGACAAATCTGAGAACGCGCGCAATGTCTGTCCAGCAGCAGTCGCCGACCATGGCGGCATACCCTGACCATGACCTGTCGCAGTTTCCTGCGTCTCTCAAGGACAAGCGCATCCTGCTCTGCACCGAGTCGTTCGGTCCCGTTAACGGTGTGAGTCGGACGACGCTGATGCTGGTCAACCATCTTCGCGCAAATGGCGCCCAGGTCGCCGTCGTCGCTCCTCACAACCACACAAAGCACAACACCTTCACGCCGCCGCCGTCGCCTTCGCTGTCTCCTGCCGACAAGCCTCAGCCCGAGGTTCGCGTTACGGGCTATCCTCTCCCCTTCAACCCAGAGCTCTCCATCGTCTACCCGGTACGCAACTCATCTCTCTACTCGCGCACCTTCGGTCTGGATGCGCCACCCGACATCATCTACCTGGCCTCACCCGCCAGTCTGGGCTTCCAGGTTATGCTGCAGCTCCGCCAGCAACCTGCCGACAAGCAGATTCCCATCATTTGCAACTTCCAGACCGATCTCGCCGGCTACTGTTCCATCCTGTTCCCCGCGCCGTTGAGCCATATCGCAGTCTACACCTTCGCTGCTGTCCAGAGCTACCTTTTCAGGCACTCTTCCATCAAGACCATCTTCTACCCATCCAAGTTCGTACAGCGCTACTTGGCAAGCCAGAATGTCCAGGAGGAGAAGATGGAGTTGTTGACCCGCGGGGTCAACACCGAGATGTTCAACCCCGGTCGAAGAAGCGAGCAGTTGAGGAGGGAAATTGCCCCCAACGGCGAAATCATCTTCGTCACCGTCTCCCGCATCGCTGGTGAGAAGGGCTTTGACTTCCTCGCCAAGACAGCCAAGGAGCTCGACACTCGCGGCGTTCCCTACAAGTTCCTCATCGTGGGTGGTAACCGAAACCCAGACATGGAGAAGGAGGTCCAGGACCTTTTTGAACCGCTCAAGGAGCAAGGCAAGGTCATCTTCACAGGATTCAAGGTTGGTGAGGAGCTCGCCACCTACTACGCCAGCGGCGACGTTTTCCTGCACTGCTCCATCACCGAGACATTCGGCTTGGTCGTCCTGGAGTCCATGTCCAGCGGCGTCCCTGTCGTCGCACGCGATGAGGGCGGTCCTTCCGACATCGTCAACCACGGCGAGACCGGATACCTGGTCCCGCCTCAGGACCTCGATGGCTTCGTCGCCAAGGCCCTCAAGCTTGCCACTGACCACCAGCTCCGAGCGCGCATGGCCATCTCTGCTCGCGCCGCCGCCTGCGAAGCCACATGGGACAAGATCAACAACAAGGTCGCCTGGCGCATGGCCGACACTATCGCTGAGCGGGAAAGGGAGCTGGGCAAGCTCCAGGAGCAGCCCGCCACCTCGAGCAACACCCTTGCTGCATCTGCGCAGAGCCTGGTCCCTGTCTATGGCTGGATGATGATGAATGACGCTTTTCGCGAAGAGATCACCCGGCGAGTTGTGGATGCGCGTCTGATGGGCGGTCTTGGCGTCATCCTCAGCTTCTGGGCCGTCACCGGCGTGTACATGGTCTTCACCGAGGTGCTGCTGTGGGCCAAGGGCAAGATGAGAGCTGGTGAGAAGAAGACCGTTTAATAGCGCAGCATTCGATTTGTTTCCTTGCCACTTTTACTTTCCTATGTCCTTTCCCTTTTGGCACAGGCTGAATTCTTTCATCGTTGACTTACCACTGCTTTTATAACTGTTCTGGATATATGGAAAGGAGTGCTGGGCGTAGGGGCGAGGGGAGCAGAGGGACATCACTGTCCCTCCCTTTATGATGACGACTTTTGGGAACGCGTTTGCTCTCGATTTTTATCTTTCTTAGTGGATAGCTGTTTCTTTTGTTAGATGGCATTTCCCTTGCGAGGTGCATACAATTTTATGATAGACCGATGATACACTTTTCATGATTTCCATTTAGCTTAATGATATACAAATCAATTACCTCAATTTTATACATGCCTACTAGCCATTTCCATTCTATGATGCTTCAGTGCCCAAGCGCTACGCAATGGTAGATAAAAGGTGCGAGAACTGCGCAAGTAATGTTGCGTGCCCCGTTGCCTTGTGCTTGTTTGGTAATGCCACCGGCGCGCCCCTGTTGTGAAATTAACTTGTATCGATAAATTGCTTGAACACTGAGTAGAAAGGGACTCGTTCAATCCAAACCCCAAGTGAAGATGGCTGATCGGCTTCATGACGCGTGGAAGGATGGATAGATTTCAAGTTTCCGAGATGGCATGTACATCATCGATGTCATGCTCGTAAAAGGTAGAGCTTTTAACATCTCAAGATTGAGACCATTGCCAAGGCAAATATGGGTTCTTATCCTACCAAAATTCTGGATGGGCACTCTTGGTTACCTTACATATATGCCCTAAATGAAGTCCTTATGCTGTCTCGGGAGACTGGATGAAATATCTGGCCCGGAAAGAATAATACCAAGACTGAAGATGAATAAATTAACATAATAATTTGGAGACTCTAAAACTGGGAAGGGCAAAGGATTGTATAGTGCCATGACACTGGGCAGGCTAAGCTATAAATAAATAAATATATATATGTACTACACTGACAGCGGTAGACCTCTACACCACTAATTTGCCAGATGTTGTAAAATTCAGTGCCAAGGAGCGACAGAAGCAAATAAGCATTTATTGGAAAGTAATTCGAGCCATGGGTAAGGGGATGGTGATATGTTCCATGGCATGATGAACTGACTTCGAATCCTTCGTTCTAATGACTGCTGTAACTTGAGCGACTTCATTCACCGACTTCCGCGTTTCATGTTTTGCTGTTTATTTGGGAGTTGACAATTATTGGAACCTTCTTGATAACAATGATAAGGACGAATGATGGAGTAGCTATATAGGTGATGTCGGTTGGCGACACTTGGCCACTGTTGGAAACGGCTGGCGACAGTTGATTAGCTCATAAGGGGCCCGAGAGGCCAAAACCCAAATATCTATTAGAGGCTAAGCCGGAAAATCTCAAGGAAGAGAGAGGATTGTAGAACCGTGGTTGTTTTCTCAAAAACAGATTCACGATTACTGCTTGACGGCGTGTTCTGGTGGTCTACGGGGCTGCAGTTTGGACGCTGCTCCTCCTAAGTTATTAGGCCCATTCGGATATGAGTATCCTGATATACAGGAGAAATAGAAATAATAGTCGGAACATTATCAGCGCAGATGTCGCTCACTCAATTCAGTATTCCTGGAGTATGACTCGAGATGGGTGTCAGCAAGGCGATAGCGTCAGAGATGGATCATCAACTCGAGAGCTATATCTGCATGAATTTATGTCGGAACTTGACAGACGATGGGCATATATTACTAAGGATTCCATGGCCTTTCTGGATGCAGTAGAAGGCTTGCGCAGGACTTCAAGTACTACGGGAATTGGAACTGCTGTAGCCGAGTAATAGTCAGTGGTCAGAGGTCCGGCATTTTGCAAAGATCTTGCAAATCTATCTCGTAAGGCTTTGGGAAATTCTTCGGATGCGACCGACTTATCTCTGCACGTTGGTGCCGACAATGTCTTTCGCTATGGATAAATCGGGGCCAAGAGCAAGGTACTTTTGGCTGCTGACAGGCGCCAGCTGCGTTCGGCTTGGTATTTCTCCCGCCCCTCAATAATCCTTGGATACCTCATTTCGAATTTCTTTTTGCTAGTCTTGGCATTATAAATATGCCGAGTCTCTTCACTCTCCCAGTCCATCAAGTCCGGTTGAGATCGGTGGTCCTAAGCTGAGCGAATTTGTCACGCATTGAAAATATTGCTGCCAACGATCTAAGGCGCTGGATTCATCATGCTAGAGAGATGGTGTGTCTCGTGCCTTGCTTGATTGATAGTTGATGCTTGTGTGAGTGGACAGCCCGCTGTTGGTGGGTTGGAGGTGAAACACCCGTGACTGAGGTGTCTTCCACCATCAATGAAATAAGGACAAAGCACGATCATGATGACCTTGTCGTATTGAAGTATCTAAGATATTATACATCGATGCCCAGACGTGCTAAAAGCGCCACTGGTCACGTCAATCGGCTCTCGGTTGCTCCCCCGTAATTGATTTTCCCCAAGGGGCGAACGACAAGGATCAGTATAACCTCCATACCGAGCGGGAGCAGAAGCCAGCCCAGTTCCGTCAAGTGCCTCCAACAAGCTTTCTAGATCCGTCCACAGGAATGTTGGTTGGAGGCGTTGCTGAGGCCGAGGGAACCTTAAAGAAACGTGGACCAGACTCTAAAAGCCGCGGCCTCCTGGTTTCTGAGATGACATGGAACTGAACTGATTTGTTCCCAGATTAGAACCACGAGCTGCTCCCGCGAGTAGCTGCTGATCCAGGCTGATCATAGTGGCGTTATTAATATGCACCGCTCCCCACCACCCGCAGAACATTGGGCATCCCGCCCAGCTTCACCCCGGAAAGACGGTCAAGAGCTGCTGCCTGCCTGCCGCTCGTGCTTCTGGCAGTAAGTAGGTTCTGATCCCAGCAGTGGTTCATCTCCCGGAGTCGCCGTCCCATGCCACAAGGTGCTGCTAAGTCGTTTCGGTCTGTCGATCCAGCCCCGGAGGCCAATCACCACCCTGGCAAATCGATCGCGTCATCGCATCCTGCCATCCCGTCAAGCACGAAGAGCTTCTCTGGAGCTGGGCTCTGCTCTTTGGTGACGGAATCCAGACTAGCTCTCACGGCTGACCCAGCGGATGTAACATATATAGCACAGTGATCGGCATCCTCGCGCTGGAGCCAGTACATACAGCTGCTCGTGCTGCATTACATTACACGGCTGCTGCTGTCCTTTTTTCTCCGGACCCAGTATTTGCTTCTCTTCATCCTGCACCCCGCACCAAAGTCTGATCGAGCCTGGATAAAGTTTGAAAGGCCCGGAGACATCCCCAGAGAGAATAGAGGCATCATGGGATCGCATCTGGATCCCGATACCAAAAGGGGCGAGGAGGAGACCGCAGCTCTACCAGCTCATATCCAGCAAGACAGCGACAACGTCAGCACCAAGGACGATGCGATTCTTCCCACCGGTGTCCTGGACCCCGTCTACGATGCCAAAGCCCGAGTCCTCAACCACGCCGTGAGCCTCTTCCTCCTCCTACTCTAGCTCCTGCGCATGCTGACCCTCTTCCAGATCTCAGAAATCGGCATGGGATGGTACCAGTGGCAGCTGTTCATCGTGGTCGGCTTCGGCTGGGCGAGCGACAACCTCTGGCCCATCGTCACCTCCCTCCTCTTCACCCCAATCGCCAACGAGTTCAAGCCAGACCGCCCGGCATTCCTCACCCTCAGCCAGAACATCGGCCTCCTCGTCGGAGCCGCCTTCTGGGGCTTCGGGTGTGACGTCTTCGGTCGCAAATGGGGCTTCAACCTCACCTTGGGCCTGACCGCTTTCTGGGGTCTCGTTGCGGCGGGAGCCCCGTCCTTCGCAGGAATCGCCAGCTTCGCCGCCCTCTGGTCCGTCGGTGTCGGTGGGAATCTGCCCGTGGACTCGGCCATCTTCCTCGAGTTCCTCCCCGCCAGCCACCAGTACCTTCTGACGGTCCTGTCCGTCGACTGGGCCATCGCCCAGGTCATCACCAACCTGGTTGCGTGGCCGCTGCTCAGCAACTACACCTGCCAGCAGGACCAGGAGACGTGCACGCGCAGCCAGAACATGGGATGGCGCTACTTTGTTATCACAATGGGCGGACTGACCCTCATCATGTTCGTCATCCGGTTCCTCTGCTTTAAGATCTACGAATCGCCCAAGTACCTCATGTCAAAGGGCAGGGACGAGGAGGCCATCAAGGTCGTCCATGAAGTGGCCAGGCGCAATGGAAAGACATCAAATCTGACCCTCGATGACCTCAGGGCCTGCGAACCCGAGGGCTACGTGGCCCAGACGGACGTCAGGGCCACTATCAAGCGCCACCTGGAGGATGTGAACACTGATCAGGTCAAAGCCCTCTTCGCGACGCCTCGCCTCGCCCTCAGCAGTGGTCTCATCATGGCCGTATGGGCCCTCATCGGCCTCGGATACCCGCTCTACAATGCCTTCATCCCGTACATCCAGTCCCTGCGTGGCGTCGATTTCGGCGACGGAAGCACGTACATCACCTACCGAAACAACCTCATCATTGCAACACTGGGTATTCCCGGCGCCTTGCTGGGTGGCGTTCTCGTCGAGCTGCCCTACGTCGGCCGTAAGGGCGCGCTTTTCGCATCCACCGCACTCACCGGCGTGTTCCTGTACTGCTCAACTACGGCCAAGCACAGCACTGACCTGCTCGGCTGGAACTGCGCTTTTAATTTCTCGAGCAGCACCATGTATGCGGTGCTTTATGGGTACACGTGAGTAACGCCGCATCGTCAACAGACCACAGGAGAGCGATCGAGATGTTGACATTTATTTTCAGACCCGAGTTATTCCCTACGCCGCAGAGAGGAACTGGAAATGCCTTGACCGCTTCCTGCAACCGTATTTTCGGCATCATGGCCGTGAGTGATGCCACCGCCGTTCCCACACACTCTTGTACTTGACTGACACTGGTGCTAGCCTATTATTGCCATGTTCGCCAACCTTGAGACGGCAGCGCCAGTATACACCTCTGGTGCTCTCTTCATCGCGGCTGGCCTTCTTGTGCTGCTAATGCCCTTCGAGTCACGAGGGAAGGCTGCTCTTTGAGCTTCATTTGATTTGTATAGTTGTTCTCCTGCATGGCCATGCGTAGGATAGGCATATGAGAAGGCTGATTGAGTGGTGGGAAACAATATCATGAGCTGGGCTGGTAATAACCAACTCGGTTTATGATGGATTGGCTACCACATCTTGGGCTTCTCAGGATACACATCAGCTGCAACATAGATCGCAATAGAGACCTGTGGAGCGATTAAACATCGCTTCTTTTCCCTAATCTGCAACACGACCAAGAACAGGGCCTTAGCAGTCCATGACTTCTCTTCAATGGCTAGCATGACTTTGATCGTGTCCGTGATGTACTGAATCGTATCGGGATATCCGTCGCTACTGAAATGCTTCTTTTAGCAAGATGCGATGTGAAATCTTGACGTCACAAGCCGAGCTTGTGCATTTGCGGAAAACGACAAATCAAATTGTGATTACTGACGAGACTGACCGCATTTTTTAATTTTTAAGGAGAAAGACCAGGATATCTAAGTTTCTACGATGAATAAAACAATCGAAGTCTGTACGATGCCAATCAGATCTTGATTAGATTAATTTCCAGGTAAAGCCGAGTCTCAAAGGCATCGAACCGCGGTTGTTGCGCTCCCGCTCCCAAGAGAGGAGCAAGCTACAAATAATATCATACCGTGTTCTAGCCCGCAACCTAGATTCAGATCAGAGCTAAATGGGGCAAGGATCCATAAGAGCTTAGGAAAGAATATGCGGTGAACATTGTCTTCAGGATATAGGGTTGAAACGTTTCCAATTGGTTAGGAACCCCGTGCATTGTTGTAAGACTCTTCACGTATTGGCAGATAGAACGCCCTGCTGATAAATTTACTTCTGTATGGCCTACATTTTGGTGCTGTTTGTTCTGTAGTGCGATTCCCCGTGTTAAAAGGGCTTCAGACGTCTCTCGTATAGCTATTTCTTGGCTACGATGGACAAGTTCGCCCCATCACACAAGGAATCCAGCTTCATGCAGTGGCTTTGATTCTTCTTGGCACTTGTTCCACTCATGCTTCATTTTCGGTGGATAGAAAGCCGGAATCGAGTGCTAAAGGGTAGCAAGTCGTTATGGTGATGTGCCTTAATTTAACAAGATGAGAGACCCACGACAACAATTAATGATGCGACCAATACCTCCTAGATAAAGGCGACGTGACTGAGGTTTCTTTTCCAGGGCTTACGTATCTTATTCAAGGTCTCCCGTTAAGGCGTTATTTTGGTATTCAAGGCATTAAACGCCTTTGTCGGAGTGCATATATTCACGATACACACATGATTCACTGGCAACACGAAACCCTAAATTGGCACGGGATCTATCCAAGAGCACTCTTGAACTACTGATCATTCGTCGTGCTCTGGCTCTAGCTCCTGCAAGTGTTTCCAAGCTGGGAGCTTTCAGCTTCCGTCAGACCTTTACCATTTATTGATTTCTCTGCGTTCGTCTTATGCATGCATGCATGAAGAAGCAACTTCTTCCATGAATGCTTCCTGCCGCACGTCTGCCTAAGGGCAATCTCACCACCTGCATCTTCGTCCAACCCCGTACTGTAATGCATCTCGTGGGGAGGCATAGTCCGCGCAATGACTGGGGCTACCCTTGCTGGTGCATTGATGGGGCAGGATGATGGCAGCCATAGTTGTCCGGATTTGTTCCCATGCGCAGGTTCGAAGTTCGGCCGGTTCTGTATATCTGCATATTGGATGCGAACATGGCCATCTAGTCGTTCGACTGGATCTAGAGTCACTCACTTGCATTTACATGAACGCATATGGGATTTGGCATGGGCAAGTGTAGAACTCGATATGCCATCGGTTCCCTTTTGGGTAGCCTTCCAGTTACATTGCTCACCAAAGAGCGGGGTTGATAGGAGTAAACTATTGTGCAAATAGAGAAAATAGAAGTATGAGAGAGAGAGCTTTACTGATACTAGGGGCAGAGTGCGACGTAGGCAATCTGAGATGGGATCAGTGACGCTTCTTGTGTCGCTACCTGTAAACCAGTGAATATCAGGCACCGAGTTTGTTTAGGAATTGCAGCAACAGCCTTGGAGTGGAGTATATTCATGTAATTATTGAAACTTGACAACTAAAATAGCAAAAGGATCATTCCAAGGCTCAAACTTGGAAATAGCATGCATGAAATGAGGAGTAATGGTGGGACCGGATCGCCAAAGCAGGACCCAGAACGCAATAAATCAGTGCTCAAGTATGTCTCTGTACTGTGAGAAAAGAGAATCTATTCAAGGAATGGAGAATATCAGCTCACGTTGATTGATGACCAAATATTATTCGTTTATCATCACCGTCATCCTGCGCCATGATCACGTAAATGGGACTTCGCTATGAGTGCGGCCAGGCAGGTTTCAGCTGCGCAAAGAGGGGCGCGTACAAGCATCAAGGGTCTTTGTCTATGTATATCAGAAGCGATTATAGATATTTGGTGGCTGCGCTATCGAAATGCAGGTTTTACTGATTTCGGAGAGCGTTTGAGCGGTCACTGTGAGATACGGAGGAAGATGGGCGAGATGACTCTCTAGAAGCTTCTATCTCAAATATCCTGATATCGAACAGCCACATGTGATTCGCAGAGGAAAGCGGAGAAAGAGAAAGCGGGCGCGAGGAATCATTGTCTTTGGTGGAAAGGTGAGGGGGCGTGAATCAGGTGGTCACTCCTCCTCATGCAGTCAGTCCGCCAATGGATCGCGTGGGTTCGCGTCTGCCAGGAGACCTAGATAGCATATGAGTCGCGTAAATAAACATTACATTGCATCCTGCTGCCTGATGTCAGTAACGAGGGGGCTGGTTCTGTCTGACAGGTATAATAGAAAGTGACTGAAGCATAATAAGCTACGGATGAGGAAATGATGGAATCAGGTATGACGCGGAGATTTCCCAGCCTAAAAGGCCCAGAAACAAGATTCCGACTACAAAGCTGAATCGCTCTGGTTGCCTGTGACTCAGCTCTACCCCAGGTTTTATGCAGGACGCTGGATCCAGTGACCAAGTGGCATCGCCTGACTGGACCAGGCTCGTATCTGGCACGACTCCGACAAAAAGGGGGCCCTTGCGCAATGTGATCACCATTCGGATCTGTTATCCGCGCAATGGTTGTGATAAGAAGGCTAGGCACTCTACGCGGTTTGGTAGGCGCAGCATGTGACAAGATAGGGGGTCAGCAGAATGCATGCAGATAGCCATTCTTGTGATGTGAGCCCACATTGGCATGCAGGTCATAATCCTTTGGGGTCAGGGCAACCTCATTGGCGGCGTTCGTCTTGCCCAGTAGGGAAGGGGTGATGATTATCAAACAGGTTTGTTTTGATATAAAACTGGCTCTGTAGCTCCGACATTCTCATGACAGTGACCTTTGATCGCGAAATATTATCGTTGTTGCAAAAGCCACTGTATCGTACAAATATAAGCCCGCTACTAGGCTGTCTGGTCCCAAACAAGAACCATACTTCATAGGTCTTCTCTTGACACCATATACCATATCCACCGAGTTCAGCTGTCACAAAAATGAACAGACAAGCTAGATTCCGCTCTTCTGAAAGAAGAAAGCTCAGAATATGGACATCTTGGAAGTAAGTCGGCTATCCTCTGAACCTTGAGTCCTTTATCCTGTCTAACAGTTGAACATAGCCAGGTAGATGTGAGGGTATCTGGATACTCCAAGACACCATATGGAATATTTGGAATAGACGATGACATTAGTTTCCGCAACGAGGGCGCCAACGGCAAGACATCTGTTGTCCTCGTAGGAAAGGTGGACTTCCAGAGATGAGCTGGCTCATACACGTGCATGGCTCGCCCGACGTCAAATATTGCCATTTCAGCTGTGTTTACTGCAGTTACTTTGGCAAGTAGGGAGTTAAGGGAGGATATGGTGTTTGCTTTGGTGACTGGTATCGGATGGGTATTGCTTGATAGCTTTAGCTGCTCAAGCATTTTGTTTACGGGATATTATACTTGGATTGATGCTCGTTGCTGTTCTGGGATTTAGTTTGCGTTTGGTTCTTTCCGACAAATGCTTGAAGTGAATAGAGCCTTTGTAGATTTTTACATTAGCTTTCGAAACTTCGGAGGTCAGAGTTCAACTTCAGCTGGCTCACCTTTCCCAGTTCTGCCCTCTGAGTCACCCGTTTGAGAGCTTCTTTTGATGTCCATGGACAAGAAATTCCATTATTGTGAGAACCGAATATTCAACACCAGAGATATGCTAGCAGGTTGGAGCTGGGTTCTTTACATAACATGAAAATTGGTTTGTTTGCACGTTTCATTCGAGGTTGTAGACGAGATAAGCTTGGCTGAAACGCTTTCGTATAGTACCATCCTCTTTTCTACCCTGTTAATGCTATTTCTTAGCTTCTGATCTTGCTGACATCAACCTAGCACCCAAGCAGCTGGTCGTGCCCTAAAATATTTCATGGTTTGGTATTAAAATAATAGAATTCTCCTCGTATCTAGCTTCAGTTATCCTCTCTGACTGCCTATTTTCAACTTCTAATTAAGACTCGTTGTTTGCTTCCATCAAGTATGAATCCATTTCATCCTGGTCTTCAACCTCAATCATAGTAGACATCTCCACTCCGATAATGGTCTTACACGCAATAGCACTGGCAGAAAATCTACCAGCGATAATGATAGAATCAGCAACACTAAAAAAAAGCAGACTAGAGAACAAAAGTATTCCAAGAATAGTGTGCATAAGAATCCCGACATCTAACAACCACCGAAGGCTGAGGAAAATAATATAAAAGCCCTTTCCGCTCCGTGACTCAACTACCCCATGAGCTTGGAATACACAGGGCACAAGCTCTTGACTGGCCCACCATTGGCTTTTTGGATGTTTCATTTGGATCCTGAGACTTAAGATTAAAGTTGAAGCTATATGTATGACAACTGCGAGGCCCAACCAGATTGGTAGAGGTGCGAGGGTCTTTGGTGCAAACGCGATCACAGCATTAACCGAAAGCGTATAAGTTATCAGTATAACGTTGGTAACCGCAACGATAGCGACTGTATACTCAGCAACACTAAACAGAAGCCAAAGAGGCAGCCTCGATTGTGGTGATATTCGTATGATTGGAGTACCGGAGGGAGCCAGTCGCTGGTTGATAGTTGAAGGAACCCAATCGCTAGTTCTTGTCATTGACGAGGTAGGGTTTGTTATTGAGAGAAGGATTGCGAGCAGTGGCCGCCGAATACCGAGTAGCGCGAGATCGATTGTCGAGTTGTCCAAACTTTGTAAGATGGTCGGGAGCAATCCGAGGATCACGGCACTTGCTGCCATCTCTATTTTTCGATACTCGGGGAGCTCTTTGAGCACACAGTCGATGACTCCGTATGCATTGCTGGCCCCGAGTTTGTATCCTAGAAGCTGGCCACCGCATGGGCCGTGAATAATATCCTGCAGCATGGGATCCCAGCTGGGAAAAAACTGGTCAAATTGTGTGGTCGGTCCACATTGTGCTGGCAGACTCAGGAACAGAACCACTATGAGGATAAGGCTAGGAGGTCTCATAGCGCACGAGAACATCTTCCCTCGGTAGCCAGTGAAGTGTGATGGAGGGCGAGTATCCTGGATGCCGATATTGGGCTTCTACTGGAAAGATATACCGTTTCCCCTGTCCAATTATGCAACACGGCTGAGACGACACAGAGCGGCTGGAAGCGCGCGCCTATCGAGCCGCCAGATGTTGAATTACTGCGTATTATTTCAGAACATTGGCCATTCTGTTGTTCCACTCTTTCCACTTTTCCTGCAATGGACATTGGGCAGATGTAAGTCAATTCTATTCATGGGTATTTGTGGCGGTCACCATACTATCTCAGTGGTGAAGCTGCAAGAAACCAGGCCGCCAAGACGGCCAAATTTCTGGGACAATACGGTATCAATGTCAGCCTGCAGTAAAACTTGAGCCCAGCCCTGTTCCTTTGCATATTAGCGCCACCAAGACCTTAATATAGCTTTTCATCGGACTTGATTATATGTGGTGAAGGCAGGGAAACTTTGATCGTAGGCAATGGATGCTGGCACGATATAGCGGGAATCAATGGCGGCCTAGCCATGTGAAACTTGATTGTAGCCTATATTGCTTCGTGTAATGCCGAAAGGGCTGGTCGGCGAGTGATGCGGCTTGCTTCCACTGCTGGAATGCTCACCACCTACATTGTTATCACCGGTTCATCCTGTGGCCGACGCCTGCATTTTCCTGTGGGCGATGCACCCGAGATATGCAAATAGCGGGAAGTCACTTTCCTAGTTTTTACTAGGGTTTGTGGAGGGAAGGTACATACTGGGTTTCTGGCCCGTATTTCCCAACTGACTAGCCGGAATTACTCCGTCTTCTAAAAAACCCCGCAGCCAGGGCCCACCAATCGCTGCCTAACTACCTTAGGTACAGTGACTAGCCTCCACAATATGATCCCCAATATGATCTGACCGGCACCTTGTATTAGCCTTATAGTCAGTATTTTCCCTCGCATCAATGACCATAAGGGTGTACAGCGAGGTACAATAACGCAACTGGCAACTGCATTGTTGACCGCCGCGAGCCCTCAAACACGAACAAGGTTCAAGGTTCGAACCTCCTGCGGAACCTTAAAAAAAAAAGGGCATACCTGATCAGTATGACGCAGGGGATGAAATGTAAAGTGCAGAGTTCCGATTACGGTTCAGAGACGCCTTTCCCTAAGGAAGCCAATCCTTAGTTTTTGCTGATTGGAATAATAAATAATCCTTCCTTTTTGTTCCTTTTTTTTTATTATGTACAAATATCGCAATATTCCTTTTACGCCGCTGTTGCTGGATGATGTTGGATGGACTCTTTTGCCTTCTGAGTACAACGACCGGGATGATAAGAAATGATTCTAATATTTGTCGCTACGGGGCAGAAAATCTTGCCCTGCCCTATACGTCTGAATGGACTGAGTATTATGCTCTCTGTGCAAAGTGTTGCTCAAGCATTCATATTCCATTATCTGTAGCCTCTCTTCCATTAGGTGTCCCATTTCTCTTGTCGCCAACTTGTCAAGCTTGGTTAAAGGTGGCCGAAGGTCATTTACCTTTCCGTATCTGTTCGTTCAACATCTCTCGCAGGCTTCCCTCGCAATCCTCTTGATCAAAAAATACCTCAACGATCACAACCCCCGTACCCGAAGTAAGTTTCCCAGATTGAATAATCGCTTCTGGTTCTCCCCATGTTCTTGCCTGGGGGAAACTTTCCAAGGCTGAGCTTCGCTGCCCTAGCAAGGGGAGGATATGGGCATGGTTCCAACTCGCGATGTCGTTATACCGCTGTTTCCTCCCATGTATTGCCCTTTCAATCGTATACCCACTATTGTTGAGAATTATGATAGTGATATTTACACCTTCCTTTATCATGGTGCTGATTTCTTGCACAGTCATCTGAAGACTGCCATCGCCAACAAATAAAACCACACGCTCTTTGCCCGAAGCTCCGTCTCTGCCGTTATTACTATATCCGAGAAGTTCCCTTTGTGCAAGAGCAGCCCCAAGAGCAGCTGGGACCATGTAGCCGATGGAGAGCCAGGTGACAGCAGTGAAAAGCCGGCTCTTGGGTGGGAGCCTGAACTGCCGACATCCATGAGCCGCGGTTCCTGTCTCGGCAAGAATTATGTCTCCTTGATTAAGTATGGGATTGATGCAGTGATAAAAGTGCTTCTGTGTAAGAGACGACGATCTATCCAGATCGACCGTGGGCAGTGGGTAGTGTGAAGGGCCTTGCCCACCGAGCTTCAAAGGCTGCAAGTTTGAGAGAATTTTAGACATGAAGCGGTGGGCAGGGAGATCCCGGAACAGCACTCCATCTACCCTCACGGTGTGTTGAGAGATGGCTATGGTGGCATTTTCTCTGGGAACAGCTGAAAAGCCAAATGAATTGGTGTCACTGAGATGAGGCCCAAAAATGGAGGATAAGATCGACTGTTTGGAAGTACTCGTTCCAGCTTTCGGGGGCGTATTTCCCCTGAAAGATACCATAAACGTTGGGCATGGACTTGTCGATGAGACCCTTTCCGAAGATTGTCGCATAAGTAGGCCACATTGTTCGCTTAGACAAGTCTTCTACTAGATCAAGTATTTGCAACCCCCTAGTTTCCCCATCAAGAAGGATAGCAGGCCGTTTCGCTGAATTGAGTCGGCCGAGGACTCTCTCGACAATAGTAGCCTCATGTTGGGCCTCAGGCACACGAGGGATAGATAGCACCGGCTTCTTCTTCAGATTATCAGTTGACACCAAGGCATCCGCCACGCCATCGGGAACCTCAATGTACACCGGTCGCTGGTGGAACAGAGCTTCTTGTAGAACCCAGTCGATTTGATCCGGGGCTGTCTGAGGGTCCACCAAGTTGACCTGAGCGGCCGTGATTTGTTGATGAACAGCAGCAAATTGGCGATAATCGCCCGTGGCAAGTGTATGGTGCATGAACACTCGTCGGTCCTGAAGGCTTCGGGCCGGTGTACCCACGATATGGACAATAGGCGCCTTCTCAGCATAGGCACCAGCTATGCCATTGGCAGCTGAGAGCTCCCCCACGCCAAACGTGGTGATGAGAGCGCTGATTCCATTTATTCTGGAGTATCCATCAGCAGCGTAGGCGGCATTAAGCTCGTTGCAATTCCCCACCCAGTGAAGCCCTGCCGGCTCAACAAAGTCCAGAAGACGTAGGTTGTAGTCTCCGGGAACACCAAAAACAGAACATATGCCGATGCTATAGAGCCTTGAAAAGATGTATTCTGCGCACTTGACGGCATCTGAAGGGATCGAAGTGAGCGACATGGTTGTGGGCAGTGGGAAGGCAGGGCTTAAGATTATGATGCATGATAAGAGGAGGGAAATAGGTAGAGTACTGGACTATATATAGAGATCAATCATCAGAGCAAACAAGGATGGCTCCAAGAGAGCAATTCGCCGTAGCTGAAGAGCAATGAATTCCATGGCAACCATTGCCTGTTCTGGTTGACTGATGCAGTGAAGCTGAGAAGGAACATCACACAGTCAATGAGGGTCTTCTCCATTTACACAGCACCATCGGACAACGCTAGTGCAGAGAATTCGCCGACTCTCCGGCTGTCAGCGTTTTGTCCGTATTCCTGCTTCACGGCTCTGAGACGCAACCACAGACAGGCAGGCTTTACTAGTCAGTGCCCTAAAGTGAGCCTACAATGACGTCCAGGCAAGCAGCTTGTGAAGTGTATCGCAAAGCAAAGCTTGCTTGCGACCACAAGCGACCTGTCTGTACACGCTGCCTCAATACAGACAAGGGAGGCCTCTGCTCATATCGAGATAGCCCGTTCAAGCGCAAACAACCACGTTTTCCGCCAGCCAGTCGCATCGAGACGAGACGTACTCGGGGCTCTCAGTACGTTCTCTCTAGTCCAATCTCGAGCGTAAGACCCCATCCAGACAGTAGCTAATAAAGTATTTTCAGTACAGAGTTGGCAGCCTTTCCGTCGGTACCCTGTGGGAAGCCAACCCGTCAGCCATACCCTAACCCGGGGTTTATGGGATACTCTAGTCATACCACCATCTTTAACCACATTGCAACAAATGAAGATGCAGCTGAACCCGCGGGCTCCCCTATTCAGATACTTGAAGGCTCTGACTTGGAAGAAGACGACTTGATCCCTCGAGGGGGTTTGTTAGTGTCAAAGATACTAGCTAAATGTGATGTAGACGCAATGCGTGATCTGATCCTGTTTTGGCTCGCCAAAGAAGTCAATCTAGCATTGGCTGGACCTTTCGTTCGTCTTTGTGCAGATAGCGTCGTTCACTTTACAAAGCATGCAAGAACAATAATCAAGGACTCAGAGCAGGACGCCTTGGCCAGAGTTTTGTTCCACAACTCAGCTCAACCCTTGGATTCAAGTCGAGGTTTCCACGTTGACAATTACATTGATCAATTCGCGGAAGATAATACTCGTTGGGAGACCCTTGGCTTCTTTTTCATTGCAGTTGCTCGGGCAGCCTTTGATATACCATTCTTCCCATCCTTATACCGAGATAATAGACAGCTGCTACGAGTGCGCAAGCTTGTCTCCGGACTCTGTGACAGTTGTGTGGATTTCTGCTTGTCTCTGAATCGCATCAACGACCTTCAACTTGTCCTACAATATGAGAACTTTATCCTGCACTCTTATGTCGATGGCCTCCACTGTAAGTGAGCCTCGTGAGGGAACGATCTGTATCCAGAACTAAAGTATGGTAGCTAACATCAGAGCGAGGTTACGAATATTGGAAGAGACTGGGTGATGTCATTTCTTGTTTGTATGCTCTAGGTTACGATCAACGAATCGAGTCTGGTCCAGACACTCCTGAGTTTGTTGCAGAGTTGAGGCGGACGGCCTTCGCCCGAATCTACTCAGCTGATAAGAACGTAGCCCTCTTTCTCGGCCGCCCACCTCGGATTAGCAAAAGATTTTGCCACTTCCAGCTCCCAATGAACCCAAAGCAAACCGACCCGAGCTGGGTGCCGAATGCAACATCTCCTTGCTGTGAATGGGATCAAGGAGCTAGGATTGGCTACAGAGCTGAAACACGATGGTCGGCGCTATGTGCTTTCCAGAAGGAAGAATTAATCGAACTCCTCTTTAATAAAAAGGTCATGGACTTTGATACAAGATTAAGGTTTGTTTGGATATTTCCAAGGCGATGAGCATCACATCAAAATTGAAACTGAAATTTTCATAGGAGGATTAAGGAACGGGAAGCGGCCCATTGGGGAGCGGTTCCTGCCAGCTTTCGATATGAAGGGAGCCTTAAGGATTACCCTCAGAGCCCCTTCGAACGAGATTTTGTGGCGAGCATAAGACTGAATCACTTACATGTCCTCTTCTTGCTACGGCTGCTGCATTTGGATCGTTTAGCAGAACCAGATGAACCTATCGTCGAAATAGCGAAGGAAATCACGAACCTCATTGTCGAGGTTATTCTGTTTCGAGAACAGCTAGCAAATTCGGGCACGAGCCTCATCTGCAAGGTAGGCTTTCACGCTACGTATAATGACCACATTTGACTAATAGCACTGCTAGGTAGATTACCTGCTATGGACTTCCTGCAATTGGAATTCTCCTCATGTCGCTAATTCGACAGCATCGCAAGGGCACAAACTCGTGGGCTACACAAACCCACACTCTTCGCAACCTCAGTGTTTTTGTGGCTGAAATCGAATTGGGAACGATCATCAGACCCGGTGATCCAAACTACAAACTACTCATCAAGGCGACCCGCATTATACTAGGTTTTCTCGACTCCCCAAATTCTGGTGAAGGCCAACTATACGACAAGTTGGGCTTTTCATCATCTGCTCTAGACTCTATAGAATTTGATCCCCATATTGGTATAGACACTCTAGACTTTGAGTTTGGCTTCTGGCAGGATATTGCAGACCTTACCTCATTTCGAGACATAGTCCCGTGAGCGTCTGTCGCATCTCCGTGTGTTATGGGCATATCAGGCGATTAAGATTCCAATTTATTCAAATATACTATGCTTAGTTTCAACAACGTGTGACTACATATACCACATAATAGAAATTCGCCGCATAAACCATGTCTTCTTCCAAGTTGGCGACGTTGAGTGCAGCTTGCCAAAACGACTTACTCGCTAGCATTATTCCTCCTTCGACGACGATACTAAGCAATCTAACGGCTATACTGGGTCTCTTGTGGATATTAAGTTCCTTATCGTACAGGATCATTACGGAATACAATTCTAGTGGTCATATTCTATCGCGTTTCATGCCACTACTTTACCTGAGAACGGCGACATACCATACCAACACACCGATCCGGACTCCACTCCAAACGAATCTGTGCACCCAACCGTCTGCCCACAGTGTCTTTAGGAATATAAGGAGCACCAGGATAACTTTCCCTTCCCTTCCTAACTTAAACTGTGTGTAGTTGAGTTAGGAATGCGTGTTATACAATTTTATCTTTACCATATCCCCAGCATAGCTTCTATCTCAAATCATGGCTCACAACGCTTTGGATGAAAAGGAAATTTCACCAATCGCGAAAAGCCCCGAGGTATTAACTGCTGCCTCATCCGAAGGCGGTACCAAGCCAAAGGCGACTTGCTTACAGCAACACTTCAGCGAGGAGAGCCGCAACTTCCAAGGATCCGCCCTCACGAAGACAACGAGACTGCTCTCTAACTTCATCCCACTTGGCACTGGCCAGCCACACGCTGAGCTTTATCCATGGACCAGCAGTGACGCGAACTGGCCAACATCTCTCAACAAACCAGGTGGGCCTGAGGATAGAGCCAGAGTCCCATCCACATACACTCTCGCCAATGCATTGACCTATGGTACCGCGTTGGGCGCGCCGTCGCTTGTTCAATTCCTCACTGAGCACATGAAATCAATGCGCGACCCCCATACCAAGACTAGGCCGTCTATCTCACTTGCGGATCAACTTCTGCACTCGACATCATCTTCCGCACATTCACCGACCGTGGAGATGTCATCTTGGCAGAAGAATATTCATACCCTGGCTTTATCGAATCATCAGCCCTTGCAGGAGTCGGCATACAACCAGTTGATCTTGACGACCAAGGTTTAAGTCCCCACAAACTTGGCCAGATTCTAGACCAGTGGAACACACTCGAACGGCCGAAGCCCAAGGTTTTATATACTATTCCCTCCGGCCAGAATCCCACTGGCGTAACACAAAGTCAAGAGCGCCGCCGGGCAATCTATGAAATTGCTGAGCGTCACGGCTTGATCATAATAGAGGACGACCCCTATTACTTTATCCAGCTAGGACCCAACACGGCCAGCGAAGATAGAAACCCCGAGGCAGTTTCTCGCCAATTGATTCCCTCATATCTTTCCATCGACAAGTCTGGGCGTGTGATTAGATTGGATTCGACATCTAAGATCCTTGCCCCAGGGCTTCGCGCCGGCTGAGTGACCGCCAGCCAACAAGTCATTGATAAATTTGCCGCATACCATGACTTGACTACCGTATCGGTGAGCGGCCTAAGTCAGTTTGTTTTGCATGATCTCTTCAACGTCCAGTGGGGTCAAGAAGGCTTCTCAACTTGGCTTCAAACCCTGTCGCTGAAGTATACGCAGCGACGCGATATAACCGTCGCTGCTTGCCATTCCTTGTTACCCTCCGATATATGCAGCTTCGCGATTCCGGATCATGGCATGTTTCTCTGGATATCAGTCGACATATGCATGCATCCAATGTACGCTGCTGAAGGACGAACAGTGCAAGGGTGGTGCTCTCAGGTTGAAGACCGTATCTTGGCCCTTGGACTAGCCAGCGGAGTTCAGGTTACCAAGGGATCCTTATTCTTTGCCAAAAACTCTGGCAAGGAAGCGGAATTGTTCTTCAGACTCACATTCGTGGCGGCTAGAGAACAGGACTTGGCCGAAGGTGTTAGAATATTTGCCAATGCTGTCAAAACAGAGTTCAACTGCCGGGAAGGATGACATGTTCTAAAGTGGATTAGGGAGAAAGAAGTAGATGTGAATAAATGGATTCAGGCTATGAATAATTTCAACTCTAACTTATTCATATGTGGGATTCTGAGAACTGACGTGAAATATGCCCGTAAACAAGCGTTCTTAGCATTCTCTCTGAGTGCCTCTCAGTGCAGTTGAATTATGTTGAAAGTGATTCATGCGCAACCCCTGAATTTGCTAGCTCAGGCCTGAAATTTTTATCCTTGTGAGTATGGTTTTATGTTCTTCTTCTCACCTGCAGTGTCATTTCTGCCAGTGTGTGCTGCTGGAATCGAAAGACTTCGCGATTTATTGGGATTACCTAGATGCCGCCAACTTGTTACCAGTGATGGAAATTGCGTTGATACAGAATGCAGTTTTTGCCTTCACTCATCAAGCTTGAACGGTCTCATGGCCCAATGGCAAGGCGTCTGACTACGAATCAGGAGATTGTGGGTTCGATCCCCACTGAGACCTTGAAACCTTACATTTTGCACTTTTCACTGCAAATGTTGTACTTTTTTGTTCTCCACTTTCAGCTAGACGTTTTTTATATTTTTTCGTAGTAAACTATCTGATTCTTCCCTGCTAGTAGAAAGGGAACAGTCTATCATCGTAGCCTGATTTGCCGTACGTGGCTCTGCGACATCTTCATGCATGCCCTAGAACAAATTGAGGTGATGATCTCGACCAGGGGGCTGAATGTAGGGGTGGTGGTTGAAAGATACCCCTTAATTTAAGAGGGGAAAATTTCTCTCTTCTACCCAGGAGCTGGATGGATGGCTATATGATACAGCATTAAGCTTCTTCTTATCTCTTATCTCTTCCAGGCTGGTTTTTTAGAGATATGGTTATTAGTGAATTACTATCGTTTCGGCGTCGGCAACTAGATCATCGCTGCGAGGCTCTAGTAAGCCCTGGCGAATCGATGATAAGTCCCAGGGGAGATAGTCGCGACAGCAATGCTGGCACATTTCTAACTTGGCATGCCAGAAATCTATCCCAGCTTTTCCTGCACCTCCTGCACTCCCTTCACTTCCCTGGCTTCCTTCTCCCTCTCCTCCTTCTCCTGGAGGTAGATCTGGACCTGGGTAACGTGCTTCCTGAAAGCCCTTGGCTTGATCTTGTCCTGGAACATCTCGTCGATCTCGGCCGGGGTTCGGCGAGCCATCTCAGGCAGGATGTACCACCCAACAGCGCACGAGAGGATACCGACAGTGCCAAAGCTAAGGTAGAGAAGGGCCTGTTAGTCGCACAGCTCTCATTTATACATACATGTTGGGTCTAGATAGGGGGGGCGTTGACTCACAAAAATCCAGACTTGACGGCCCAAACCTGGAGCATGAAGGGGACAGTGTAGTTGAACAGGATACCGAGCAGGAAAGAACCCATCAGGGCCACGGAGCCGGTTCTAGCACGGAGACGCTGAGTAGGAATCTCAGCGACGTAGGTGTATGCGATGCCGGCGCCACCAATGCAACCAAAGTTGGACACGCAGCCAAAGAAGACCTAGATAGTAAAATTTCGTCAGCGAACGTATCCCATATGTCAAGTTGTCACAAGGAAGTATCATACCAGCAGGCTACCCAGGTCTTTACTGGTATAATCGAAGCATCCGACAATACCGATGCAGAGGACAGCCACGGCTGCAGAACCGAACATGCCGATCGTGAACCACCGCTTACCGAACTTGTCGGCGAACAGTGCACAGGCCATCACGCCCACAAGCTGGCAGAGGGCGAGGATCATTGTGACGGTGAACGCGTCCGAGTTTCCGGCCAGCTGGAAGAAGTAGGTGCTGTAGTTGTTGGTCAAGCTCTGTCCGACCAGTTGCTGCATGGCCTTGGGCCAGAAGGCGATCAATAGACGCCAAAGGTTGATGCCGCTGAAGATCTCCTTGAGCTGGGACTTTTGCTCGACGCTGACGAGGCGATGACGCTCGATGGTGGCGATGATGATGGACAGCTGTTCCTTTACGTTGTAGCTCTGGACGTTCTTGTACGCCATTGTCAGGACCTTTTCAGCTTGAGGGATCTTGTCCTTTTGGACGAGCCACCCTAAGAAGTTTACGTCAGTCTCAGGACAGGGAAATACGGCCGCGGTAGGTAGAATAAACTCACAAGGACTTTCCGGAACAAACAGATTGATGCCAAGCATGACAACCAACATGCCCCACTGGGTGTAGATTGCAGTCTTCCAGTTGTACGGGTCGGTGTAGCTCAGCTGTCGGAGAGCCAACGGGGAAAAGATATGGGACAAGACGTTCCAGCTAGAGGATCTCGTATTAGCCTTTGTCCGTTATCGGCCGCAGCAAAGTTGGTAAACTCACAATTGATAGGCGGTTGTAAGACCGGCACGAATCTGGGTAGGCGATAACTCAGAGATATAAACGGGGTATGTAGCCTGCATCATGCCCAACCCGACACCCGCGATCAATTTGGCGACAAACCAGTGAATCCAGTTGCTCGAGACGGACTCGACGAGGACGGAGATCACCAATGCGAACCATGTGATGTGCATGGCCCATTTGCGACCCAGTCTGTCGATGCACGCCTGCAGACCCAAGACTCCCACAAACTGTCCCAGACTGAGACTTCCACCCCAGAGGGACACATGTTCGGGGGCGAGCTTGGTGCCGCCGTTGGCCATCTGCCGGATAAACCCTTTGTTCGCGACGATGGATGCCGTCAGAGTGTACTCTGCAACCACACCATGTTAGCAACGCGACCCTCCCAAGTTTTGATCAGGGGCTAGCTAAGTCAACATACGATATCCCTCGAGCGCGGACGCGAATGCGGCAAGCATGCACAGCGAGGTAACGCGCCAGAAGACGCGGAACGCCTTGGTGATGGGCAAGTCGTCGAGCTCGGAACGCATCTGGACGGCCTGGCCCGCGGCGAGCGCCTGGTCGATGGCCTTGGCATCGGTGGTGTTGTCGGAGCCGCCATGCTCCTCGACGGCGTGCTCGGCGACGTGCTCGGAAGCCGTCTTGTTGTCCTCGGGCTTGGGATGAGCGCTCATGTTGGGCAAGGGAGATTGATGAGGCTCCTGGAGTTGCTTCGGTTGAAGAGGCGATGTCCCTGGACGTGTTGATGCTCAAGGGACGATCTTGTCTCTTTATACAGACGTTTCAAATTTGCAAGACGCGCTCCCCCCCATCCCCAAAACCGGCCCCATGGGGACCTAGACAGACTAAGGATGGTAAGGTTACGTTCAAGGGTCCGCCGCACGGCTTTTTCCCTGGAATAGCCAGACAGTTGGTTGACAGAATTTGACCCAATTAGTCAACCGCCCTATGGACCAGTCCGCTCCATTTGCCATCGATCATGAATCAGGAGCTAACACACTCTCGACTCAGCGGCACCCGGGAATAGCGCCAGATCGCGTGTCGACGGAAGAACTAGCAAGAAGGGGGCCGAACGGGTAGCCGACGATAGGCTACTACCCCTGTTTCTGGTTAGAATGCGAGGTTTGCTGTTGAGTGGTGGAGAGTTCCACAAGACAACATGATCTCATGACGGATCCCAGTGACTAAAGGTGGTTGACACGTTAAAAATTTCCGGATGCTACTTTGAATGCAGGTAATCCTGCATGCTACTCCCAGTGCATTGATCCGACTGAGCGGTTCTCAAATTTGTTGTCCAGTTTTTGCCATCTCTCCTCGTTCTTGTATCCTCCGGGCTCGTCTACTCTACAGTCTCTACATCCCAAAACTCGTCTAGTTCAGCTGCCAGATCCATATTGGTATCAACTCAACTGTAAACCCATCAAAAACCTCATGAACATCAAGCCCAACATGGCACCGACTCGCATCATCTTAGACACCGACCTCTCCATGGGCGCCGGGGCAGACGTCGACGACGGCTTCGCCCTGGCCCTAGCCCACGCCGACCCCAATATCCAACTCGACCTCGTGACGACGGTAAACGGCAATACAGACGTTGAAAGCGCCACCATCCTCACCGGCGTCCTCATGGATCGCTTGAACGTCAATGCCCAGGACACACCTCTCGTTCGTGGCGCGGAAACACCAATGATGTACTCGGAAAAGCGCCGCATACCAGCGGCACACGTCAGCGCCATGAAGAACACGGCGCGGCCACCAGTCCCCGGCAAGTACGCGGCCCTGGCCATGGTAGAACATATCATGGCCAACCCAGGCGAGATCACAGTCGTAGCGATCGGACCGCTGACCAACATCGCCACGGCGATCCTGCTCGAGCCGCGCATCAAGACGGCCATCAAGGAGCTCGTCATCATGGGCGGTGTCTTCTTCGGCAGCATGTACAGCCACAACAAGCCCGGCGAGTTCAACGTGTTCACGGACCCAGAGGCCGCCCGCGCGGTGCTGTACAGTGGCATCACGCAGCGCTGGATCGGGCTGGACGTCACGCTGCAGGTGCGTTTGACCATGGAGGACGCCGATAGCCTGAAGAAGTCGCCGTCCAAGTTCGCCCAGTTCGCGGGGCAGGCGTCGGCAACATACATCGATTACCAGGCCGTGAGATTTCCCGGCAGGCCGAAGATGACCTCGGTGCCCATGCACGACCCCCTGGCGGTGGCATGTGTGTCGAAGCCGGAGTTGTGCGAGTACAGAGACATGGCTGTTGATATTGTGACGGGCGATGTGAAGGGTCGGGGCATGATGATTGGGGATCGGTTAGAGCTGCCTGACCCCCCGAAGCCGAATTGTCGGGTGGCAGTCGGGGTAAATGCCGAGGGGTTCAGGAACCATTTCTTGTCGTTTATTCAGACACTATAGATACCGGCCTGGAGAGCCAAGGAATTAGAGTATATATACTTGATAGATTCAATGCGATACTATGTCGAAGCGGGCATCGACGCTCGCGCTGGCTTCTCTGGCTGGCTCGACGCCGTGAGACTCTCGTCGTACTCACATCCCCACTCTGCCTCCAGATCTTGCAATCGCCACCAGGCACCCCAGCCTGTTTTGCGACTGATGGTTCTCAGTAGCCGCGCAATCTCCATGCGTTCCGAGACGTGCGTGAACAAGCGTCCTGCAATGTACAGAGGCTGGATGGCATCAATCCTGCTGCCGTTATGCGGGTTCGAACACGAGATGCCACAGATGCGGCGGGCGTGCCAAACAGGAAAGGATTCGGGAGCCGAGGTCTGTGCTGGGGCGAAACCCGGCGGGCGTATCTCCAACATGAGGATACACGCTGTATGGTAGAGCTGATTGCCGGAGATGGCAGAGTTGTGGGAGAAGAGGATGGTGGGAAAGGGGCTGTCTTTTTGCTGCTGATGTTCACTCAAGATGTTCGGCACCGGAAGCATGGCCGGCGGCCTCTCTTCCACCCAGCGCCGTAGTTCCCTCCATAGCTGATGCCATTTTTCCGAGAACGGGCGACTGTCCTGCGCATCAGGCTTCCCGAGCTCGAGGTGTTGCGTGCGTCTGAAGCGCAGATCACAAACCTTGGCGCAGAGATACGTGGCCCAGTTGGCATGCATGTCAGGATGCCACTCGCGTCCGTAGTGGTGCAACAATGCTCTAGCAAACTCAGGCTGGTCGTCTGGTGCCAATGCAGAGGGCGTAGAAGATTCGGCGGGAATCCATTTGGATACTTGATATACCGCCGTTTCCGTCCCGTCGGAGATGATGGCGCCGCATATTTCCATCCGTGCATAACACCAGAACATGGCCTGGGCAATCCCGCCCGTGAAGCCGTTCACACCAAAGAACCCCAGGATTGCGGCACAGCCTTCAAGATGCCGCCTCCAGTCGGTCGAGTTCCACGACATCAGTTCAAACATGGCGAGAATACAGACCGCCACGAGGACGTTAGGGTCCTTGGCCTGAAGGGCAGGAGTCAAGAGTCTAATGCTCTCCTGATACAGTTCGGGACTGTCGTAGCACCCCGTCACCTCCGCTGCACCTCGCCTCTCCATCTGCCGTGACGAGAACGTGAGCATGGCATACAGCACGGCGGGTGAGCTGCGCGCGATCAGCGGCACCTGGATCTGAAACTGACGATTCGTGTCAAACTTGTCAAGGATGGGCGCGCATTCCGTCAACCAGTTTTGCAAATACCGGATCAACCGTGACTGCGGTATCTTAAATGCGGTAAAGTCGAGGCTGGGGCCATCAAAGACGGCGTTCGCGGCTGGTGCTGCAGAGTCAACCGGCTCCGGCGAGGGCCACCGACTCGGACTGAGGCTGACGATGCCGGACAGCACGACGTGCCGGAGCTCCTCGTGGAGCTCGAGGAATCGGGGGTCCACGGGGAGGTGGTCGGTCTCGCTCATTGGTGCGTCCATCTTAGTCTCGTATGGGACATCGATATGATGCGGCCCAGATATGCGTCTGACAGTGGTGACCACGGCCTCGGGTTCCTCCTGCTCGTCGACGGTGGCATGGGTGGGTTGAATAGAGGTGGCTACGTGTTGCCACTCGGTGGGCCTGATTCGAGCATCCTGTAGGCTACGTGAGATGGAGCAGCTTGGCGCGGAGGTCTAGCCTAATCTGGGGGACGTAGGCACTCAACAATGCGACTACCGATGCTTGGCTTGCGGCTGTAGTCCAATTCATGCGGGGAAGAATGAGTCGATGGTATGACTTTAGTAGGTCTGGTGCTTGGCTTCCAAAACCTTCCCCAGACGACGAGGACGAGATGTTGTTTCGGTGACGGAACAGACGTTTCTCCGATGAGTGCCTGTTCTTTCACCGCTTTCGAGGCGCACCGGCAGAATACGGCACTAAAATTACAGGGGCTTGAGGGGATCGGCCGTTACGGCCAGTGGGCAGTAACAAAAACCAAACATTGCTTGCCATCAATCCAGCTTGTCAAATCAACGAAGTCAATCCTCAGACCAAACCGGAATTTTTGCCAAATTGATATAACCAAACATAAGATATCGCTGATCACTAATTCAATCTACACGGTTTATATATACCCCTTTCCCCTTATTTAGCTAAATTCTGGCCGAATCTCGAGGGAGCTGCTATCACGACCGTAGGGTAGGCGCACTGATTGTTAATTCAAAAAATCAATCCAACTGTGGGGTAGTTGAGAAGCGATGGAACGAACAAACCGTTGTAGGAATCGCTAAAATGGCTTTATGATTTAATTTTGACTTGCTTGTTTGGTTTGATTTATGATTTTGATACTTTGGTAAAACGAACTTCAAGAAGTAATTTTTTATAGAGGCTCGAAAGAGTCTATCACGAATTTTCACTTTGGATTTCTGACTTACGAACGTTCCTGCTGCATCATTGAATTTCCCGAGTGCATCGAAAATATCACAAAGATTAAGAAATTCATTGACCGGATTCGCTATAATAAGAGTTTTCCACCTAATATGTCCCAAATTCCCTCCATTCCAACCTTCCATGATTCATGTCCATGATTCATGTCCTTGTAAAAGCAGTAAAGCAGACTTTTTTTATGAATCTTCCCAAAATTTCCCATGCTGTGCAAAGATGTCAACCCCTTATAAAACTTCGTGGCCATGGCGGAAAGTCTGCCAAACGCTTTCCAGCCTTGCAATTTGATCATCCAAAACGATGCCCATCTTGCGTTCGATGTCTCGAAAGGCCTTCAAGAGAGCCACCTGCTGCGACTCATGCGTCATTCTCTCTGCCGCCAGCAGCAATGCCGCTACGAAGAGAGGGTCAAACTGCTCCTGGAAATGGTTCCAGGCGGCCATCCCCGCAATCTTCTGTGCGTGCCAGCTCTCCGAGCCAAGGCGGACTTCTGAGCGTGAGAGCTTGAGCAGCCGTGGCTTGTGAGCTATGAGGACGATGAACGATAGATGGATGGCCATGTTGGCCTGAAGGGCAATGGGCGTGGAGTATATCTCAATCGGAAAGGAGGCTGAGCTATCCGCGGACGGCTCGCCGCTGGCGAACCCAAAGATTGGCTCCATTTCCAGCGGTCGGGCTTGATACCAGTTTATGCAGCGCGCCCAGAGGGTGTGCCATGATGACCAAGCCTCAGCGGTGTTGCCGGCTGCATCCGCTCCTGTTGGTAAACCCACCTGGGGCTCCCCAGATCTGACCGTCAGTTGCGCGAGACAAGAATAGGTCAGATGCAGGCATTGCGAAAGCTGAGACAGGCACGCGAGGTATGATGTTCTGATCGCCGAGTTTGGAGCGGAGACGCTTTGCTCGAGGTACTTTACGAGCGACATCGACGGTGGTTTTTCCGTTAGTAAACAGGATGCTAACTCTGGTGACGAGTTTCCGGGTTAGTCAATGGTTACAAGCCTTATGGGGGTCTGAGGGGCTTACCGATCTTTCCTTGCATCTGCAACAGATACCGTAGAGGCTCCTCTAAACCATCCTTTGAATGCAGGTAACTACCCCCAACTTTACTCCAGTATGTTGGGCGCGACCCGAATAACCTCGTGACGGATAGGAGGGTCCTAGCGACATATACTGCCAAGGTGTCTTCCACATGGCCAAGCTCTCGTTCAACGGCATCCACGGAGCGGCTTCCATGTTCCCCAAAGTCTTTCTTGCCATTCGTAGAATTTAGGGCTTCCTCTCGTGTCCTGACGAGCGCAACCATAGCATTACGGACTACTGGTTGATGCGAGGCTAGACCGATGACAGAATTCGCGAATCTCGAACCGGGACAAGTTGAGACAATCCATGGCACGATGTCGGCCACGAAGCTCGTGAGAAGCCCCGCCTCGGCTGTACCGGTACTGACCGCGGGACAGCTACTTGCGGGTGCGTCTGGCTTTTGCCTGGCAGGTCTCTCTGTCAAAGAACGTGTGCCATCGACTCGGTCCTCCAATTGTAATTGCTGGATCGGCGCAGCATAAAAAGGCAACGAAGGCGAGGGTTCCCGACCCCTAACATCGGGCTGCTGGACAGCCAAATCCACTAGCTGCCCGAAGCGACCGGACATAGGGGCTGGAATATCAAGATTCGCATCGGGGCTGGCCGAATCGACGCGGGCAGCATCATTCTCGAGACCGGAGGTAGAGCCAGAGACGGATCCTTTACCCCTCTGGCTCTCGAAGACGAAGGTCGGTTGTGGGTAGACACAGGCAACGTTCCTGGTGGTGCAACTGCCACATTCCGGCTTCTGTTCGTCGCCTGCAGATTGGAAGTCGGCGGGTCAGCGAAAGCTTGGACGAGAGACGGCTAAATTCAAACCACTCACATTTGCGGCGGCGTTTACGGCAAGGTAAACAGCCTCTCCGCGATCGCCTCTTACTGTCGGGGATATGCCTTATCGAAGGCATCGGGCGGATTTGTGGGCGACGCGGTGGATGATGGAGATTCGCGAATGGTGAGTGGAGAGGCTCTATCCTGACCGGGGCAGTAGTCTACATACCCGGAAAGAGAGCAAGGCCCCGAGTCGCTCCATGTCACAGGACGCCAACGGCGAGTGGGCCAACGTTGCCGGCTCTTGGCGAGTCACGCGCCCAGACTAGCGACATGGATGATGGATTCGTCCTTCAAAGTCCAAGGCTATGGAGAAGAATCGCGAGTGGAGCCTCGTGTTGAACCGGAGCGACAGCCCAAGGCCAAGAGTCTCGCGAGAGAATAAAGAAATTAAACCTACAGAAACTATTACTTTTTCTTCTACATCATATGAATCTAGAACATGTTATGGGTAGTCATTCCTAAAAAACAACAATCGTCTCCATCTTCTATATCAGGTTAGTCTGAGCTGGCTCGTTATATCAGCAAAACGTTGCTGGCTTAATTTCAGCTCAGTTTCAGTTTGCTAAATTTATGAAACTCGTGAAGCAACTGTCTAACTGTGATAGGATGCATTCTTGGCCATAGTAGGGAAGCAAGTTAATTAAACTGTCCAGCCAGTGGCGTAATAGTAGAGAATGCGATTTTTATTGCTCATCATTCTGATATTTAACTTCGTAAAAGATTTCGCAATATCACCAGACAATGGTCGAGCTTAAGATGCGGTAAGTTTCTCTCCCAATCAAAAACTTCCTGTGGCCGACAAAACTTATTGACATTTCGCATGAACTTGCAAATAGGTACCTTGTTGCCCTAGAATTCAAAATCGTCCTTGTAGCCATCCCAAGAAGTGCTGTGAACAAATGTCTCCTTGCCGTCAAAGAAGGAAAGATCCGGCTTTCGTCTACAGTGATAATGTTCCCGATATATCAAGTCATACATATATCGATGGTCAAGTCCTCGTCCGAAGAAGCAACGAGCTGGAAGATCCTTCCGGGGATTAATCAAAAAGATGCGAGTCCAAAGAGGAACCTCGCCCACACTCCACGCCCAGTGTAGTCTCAAAATGAGACCTCGGACTGAATCTTCACCAAGATGCTCACGCACCGACTCCAGACTGTTCAGCCCCCTTTCCCAACCATCCTCAAATTCAAAGCCTATATTCAATGCCGAAGCTTGAGGAAGTTGATAAAAAGGCAGACGTGTAATGAGTTGCCGCCAGTCGAGCAGTCTGCAAGCAGCCAGGTGTTCTGGCGCAAATCGAAAACAAATAATATCCCTGGGGGAATAGTCCATATATATGGTCGATGGACCTTCTCTGATCGGGACGATTGTGCGCCCTGCGGCAATATCCCTCCTCCTCTTCCTAATTTGACGCTGAGTGAGTTTTTTCATTGGATCAGGCTCCTTCGCTACTCCAGGCTTCGGGTTCGCCGCTCGGCGCCTTTTCTTCACTAACGATTGCTCCTTTTCCAGCAAGTCCTTCAATATCGGCCCCCAAGACTTGCTCAAAGTAATGCGTGATTCCCAACAAGCTGTCCGAAGTCCTGCGTTCCAGTAGAACGCCAGCCTATTGCGCTTAGTCCAAGACAATTGAGAGCGGTCGGTTATCAGTATGGATTGTCGTTTCCCTTTTGACTTTGGACGCTACCCATATTCATGCACGAACCAGGGGAGATAGCTGCTTCGATGTCCTGTTTGATCCACGTTGAACAAGGAATAGTAGTGAATCCGCGCGGGTAGATGATGAATAATAGCCATCTCCCAGATCATGAGTCGTAACTCGAGGGGAAGTCTAGTAAAAAGATGAAATTCGGTCAAGGGCTTTCTCGCCACTGGTTCCCTGCATCGTGGATTCTTGGTTTTGTGGCTGTGGCCACCGTGCCGTTTTGGCTCTGCCATGGCTTTGGTGTCTTGGAGCTGCAATGGATGGTAATAAACCTGCGTTGGTGGATGCACAAGGCTCTTTATGATTGGAATATTTGCAGTAGAACGCCGATTAGGTTAGAACCTTGAGTATGCGTCGGTATAAGCGCTCTGGTCAAGGGGCTATTCGTCCTCGCTGAGTTGGTATCTGGAAGCTTTGAGCTTGGTGTCCTTGTGAGCGACGGACAGAAGATTGATGAAGGAAGTTGTGTGGTGTGGAGCTTCAGCCAGCCAAGGAGTAGGCGAAGCACGGCAGTTTATACAGGGATTCAACAAGCTCTAGGCCTCATGTCGAAGGAGTCATTGATCTGAAGGGTTACGGAGTTTTGCGCTGTAGCGTTGGACTAATGGAGCTTATCCTTGCCCCTCCGTCTGCATTTTGTTGAGAGGTCGTGTATTGAACTGTGTGAGTTCAAGCTACTCAAACTCACAGCCAAACGTGGAATACAAAATACTCGTACAAACGAGTGACATAAAGCATGGCACACCAAAGCTCTGTTCACGCGAGTCAAAGACCTTATTTTCTTATGAATAATACTAAATACAAACATAAGAAAATTAATAATTTCTATTCTGCAGTATTTAGCTTGATATTCTGTTTAATACCGGATCGGTTGTTTTGATATTGTGTTAATATTGTGTTGAAATTCAACGCTGGAGGCTCCAAGTGTGCCATGTTTTATGGCAGTCGCGTGCCTTTTTCTTGAAAAGCTCTCACCTGAATTTGACTAGTGAAAGGATAAATAACCTTGAGGAAGTATTAGCAGCCATGATTTGGACATTTGAGAAGCTATTAAGTACGTCATGTAGCTTATCGATCGAATATCGCGTCAATACTTAGACGAACCTTCCGTTGGTTTGAAGAGATAGCTTTTTTCTCCTCAGACATCATTTAATTGCTTCAATCAATCGCTTGCTTTTACTATAATAAGGTCGTAACCGCTTGTCAACTCACTCTGATATCGAGGTCAAGATAGCAAGAGCCAAGGGTGGCCTTCCAGGTCGTCTCCTTCCTTCACGCTCGACAAGCGACGAGAACAAGAACAGACCTAGATCCCACAACGTTTTGTTATTGTTCCTTTCCTCCTCTCTCTCCCCTTTTCTCTCCCTAGCTCCATTATCACCAAGATCCAGCCAGTATGGCCGCCAAGCCCATGAGTTCCTGGCTCATGTATCCTACCCACAGTCTAGCAGCTAATTCAGGTTACAGAAAAGCACAAACCAGCACCTACGTTAGGCACTGTAGGCCCAGCGACAAGAGACTTGTTGGCTTCCCAAGCTAAACCGATCCCAACTTCAGCAAGTTGTCGTAAACTGAGGGTGCGATATAGGGAGACTTCCATGAGGATCTCCATGAGGATCTAGAATCCTTGATTCTGTATTTCCAGATTTCATGCTGATTGTCTGAAATGTTACTCCTAAAAAGGTATATGCGACAGATCTCCTCCCACAAGGTTGACACGGAGATGGTGACGTATACGCCGTTGAATTGAGGGGAGAATTTCTGGTTAACGCACTGGATGGACATTTCGCCAACCGTGTATAGATCACGTGGAGTTTCAGCGTTTATGACATTTTCGGGCCAACGGATACTCATATCTCGTTGCGATCGGTGTTGGTACAACTGCTTGAGGACGGGCACAAGGTCACGTATTGCCGTGATCCCAACCAAAATACCTCTGTCCCGCGGTTCCCGTAGAAAGGCCATGAATGGATTGTCGAGAAACTCCCTACACTTCTCAAGAACACCGTATACACTGAATTGCAGAGGATCAAGCCGTAATCTTCTCAATTGCTGGACCTCGTTCCCACTTCGCTTCGTGCGTTCCAGAATTTGAACCTGGGGGCAAGCCGAAATGAGCTTATATGTCACGGCTCCATGCTCGTCCGTCTGGCGCCTTAGTAGGAGGTATATGAATGAACAGTCATCTATGTTTAAGACGAACAACTCTTCGTTCCCCTTTCCCGTAAGGACTCTATCCAGTCTCTCCTTAGATACTATGTAGACGCTCAAAAAATCGTGTCGCATACAGAGTAGGTGCAGCTCGTTGATGGTCCCAACTCGTTCTAATGTATGAGAAAGGGTCATATATTGCGTCAGATTGATGTTCAAGCTCGCAGTGGAGGCATTGATAAAGGCTCCTTTCCTCCAGTGACGTTCCTTTGCAATATAACTGTGACTAGGTCACCGGAGCTCATATATTTTGAGGGCAACTCTGTACCGAGACAGCAAGTCCCCCTCCTTATTCGCAAGCAGGTATTCTGGCAATTATAATTCTTCTAAACAACTCCTCGCTCGTTAATTTGGGTGCCTCGAACAGACTTATCTAAGTAGTCGCCGATGCCCAGTTCGGCGTCCACGTAGGATAACCGGGCTTCTTCCGCGAGAGGCATGAGGCGCGGTAGAGGATATTTGGTTTGTTCTTATTGAGTAGGCAATAGGCAAAGAGGCCAACAAACGTTTGTTGACACGAGAGCGAATAGTCAGCCTGGGTCCCCCCTTTGATGCTCAAAAGGCTATCACTGATTTTGGGTCTCTGGCTTGGGCTCTCAGTCTTCAACTCATGCAAAACGCCCAGTAGCCCGAAAATGCGGTCTCGAGGATCAGTAGCCTGTGAGGCCGAGGACATCTCGAGAAGTTCGCCAAGATTCATCTCTTTTGAGGTTCCTTGTGAGGTAAACTGCATCCAGGTCGCCGCAGTGGTCCCCCAATCCCACCTAGGGGCCTTCAACGAGAAATGAGTGGCCATGGTAGAGTCAGCCCAGAAATCGACGTCTTCAATGCGGATGACAACACGCTGTGACATAATAAGCTCTTGAATAACCCAGATTCGAGAAAAGTACCGGAGCCTGAGAATATCAGATAGATTATTCGGTGAGAACTGCGAGCCGCCACAGCTATTTGGAAAGCACGGTTGATTTCCCCGGTCTCAAACTCATGCAACCTCCTCCGACGCGGATGTCGGTCGATTAACGGCATAGCAATATCAGGACCCAGATACACGACCACACGGCTACAAGCAGAGTAGATTTTCCCCATATTTGCGACTTGCATACTCCTTTCAAGGGAATTGCCCTGGTTGATGCAGATAGCATCGACCCATATCATTCGGGGTAGTCGCGGTGCTCGCATGAACTGGAGCATCGCCCAACAGTTCTTCGTTTGCAAGAGAATGTCCCAAAATGGACCAATATAGATAGGTTGGCTGGGGTATATTGTCTCCGTTCTCCCCTGCCCAAGTGTAGGACACTGCCTCATATTCAGGGCAATCGTCCAAATTATAGACCTCCAGTAATAGATGCACCGGGCTATCAGGAGTTTCTATGGGATCCAGAAAAATCAGCCGGAATTCGGTTGGCTTGAGAGTGGTCCCATATGGTGTAGCTGGTAGTGCAGATATCTCGCTCTTTTCTTTTGCTGCCGTCGGTGCACTCAGGTGAGAGCTTGCTTCCGAATTTGTGGCCATTGATTTTGAGTAAGGGACGGCACGAGGCCACCAAAGGTCCATCTGGCCCGAAGGCAGGTCCGGAGGCACAAGTGGTACGGAGCTGGTAGATGCATTGCTCGATATCAGTTGTTCAATCTGAGGTCTACTGTGACAAGCTTGACATTGTGGTAATTTATCTGCGAGATTTATGACATCCGGGCTTGTGCAACCTGTCTTGTGCCAGCGCTACATGTTGTAAGTGGCAGAACACAGGAATCCTGAGCGTATGATCGAGCTGATATTCTGAGATCCTATAGCCCTGAGCTTGAAGTGTGTAGTTTTGTCGTTGATGCGACGGATTCAGTGTTGCTCATCAAATATCTTCTTCTCAATGGCGGCAGTTTGGGAGATTATGCGTTGATGAATCCGCCCACAGGACAAAATACTTGATGGATTCATTTATCAGGAGGAATATGCAGCCATGGACACGCCACGTCGACATTGCGGGGTTGTCAGCCGTCCAAGGCTTTCTGGCTGGCTGTGGCAGCAATGGTCAGCCCAGCCTGCCACCCAGCCGAATCGTGGATGGTGAAGCAGTGTACACAAAGAATAGTTGGCATGAAACTAAACAGGCAGCAAGCCCTCGGGTGAAATATCCCGGATTTCTGATTCTCAAGCCTATTAAACCATCAGATCCACCGGCGATGATATTCCGGTGTTTTAGTATTCTCGTCAATAAGATACTCAACTCTCGTTGCGGCCCGGTCATTCATTGTCCATATCCGCAAAAAGGCATATCATGAGAAGAAATAGAGGCAAAAAGAAGATCGTACATTCTTACGCATATCGAATTACTAAATATCACGTTTGAGCTTTTGTCAATTATTAGCTATTGTGATGTAACATTAACATTAAGGCTATGCTCCTTACCACAGCGATTAGGATGACGAGACATTCTGGACTCAATTCTTGATCACTCCATACCCGATGTACGCTGCCGGGACACTTTGAGAAAATTGATCAATGATGAGCAATAACTGAGATAATCTAACTCTAGATTTTCTTCCTTTACTTTTTAAGCCTCGGAACCCCGTACTAATGAGCGTAATATGTGTCTCTAGGAGAGTTCGTATTGGTATAGGGTAAGCTATGGGAACACTAATTTTAGTGATGGGATGATCTCATCGCTCAGCAGGAGTATGATGTTATTGCGGCGCAGCGCATGATTATTTGTTTGACTAGGTAATTTATGAGTCAATCTTGGGCGCACCCAACCTTGGCTTCATTCCAGCTTCAAACTCCCCACTTGCTCGAATCTTGGACGTATTTCACCCAAATCGTTTCCTTCAGCATGGCCAAGGAAACACCCTTGCTCGTGAGTTACCGAGTTACCCAGAGCGACCCCTTTTCAGCTCATCAATCATTTGATTGATTCTAACAAGTCCACTCTAGCCTACTACGGAGCCAAAACATCCTGCCACAGGGAACAAGCAATCCGCGACCGAAAAGAAGGCGACGCTCCTCGAACGCATCGCGAAAAACCGACTGTCAATCTTTTTTACCGTCTGCGCCCTATCGACTGCGTTCATTCCGCCGTCCTGCGCCTTCTTTTTCTGGGCCAAGTCCTTCCCCGAGCCGTACTTCGACGCTACATTATGGGCTGTCCACGGCTTCTTGATCTCCCAGCTGCCCATGGCAACCTGGAGCATTGCGGGCGTGCTGTCGACCGAGAATAAAATCGCCGTCTTCTCTAGTGCGCGATATACAGTCCCTTCCTCCATCGTCCGAGGTGTGATGGTAGCGCTGTCTATGGCTTCGTTCCTGCATTGGCATACACTCTTCAGCCATAGCCCGCTGCACAGCAGATTGCACGATGCATCGATACTGGCATGGTGCTTCCTTGCGGTGGTGTTCCTGCCTCGAGACCGATGGTTACTGGTGGCGAAGGCGTTGTTTCACGTAACAGCAGCCGTCTTCTTTATTTCAGTGTGTCTGAAGATTAAATACGAGACCGTTTGTCGGTCGGGGGTGGCTGAGGTCAATGATATCCATTCTGAATAACGGATAGCAAAGAGGAATCTGGGTTTCATGGCCGATCACGACGATGGCTTCCTTGTGTAGTCTATGAAACCAACATTCTACATTACTGTAAACAACGATGGGGCTTATGATTGACATGTTGCCTTGGTATTGATTATTATTAGGACTTTTGAACGGGAATGGTTTCTATCCTCAACTTTTTGAATTTTATCAATCTATTTTCGCTCGTGAGAAGGGTTCCATCCCATAATTTATGGCTCTTTAGTAGCTCAAAGGAAGCAGGCAATTGGAAAGTCACAACACATGATATTGCTTAGCGACGAAGGTTAATGCCCGAAAAAACACCAAGCAGTATCCGATCTAGCAAGCTCTTCAACATCCAGAAATGTCAATCATGCTTGTTTTGGAAAGTCTGGGCCTCGATGCGGTAGCTTGGATTGGAAGAGGCTGCAAGAAAGACCACCGTTGACAGGATGTCGACCGTCAGCCGAAGAACAACTGCAACCCATCATCCAGCGGTTAGGGTAGGATCTGCAGAAGTAAAGAAAATAGCGGAGTTTGTGGCATCATGTTATTGGCCGTACAAAATGAGGCTTTCTGAGGTTATCGGCAATCGTTATGATTCGATCATTTCTAGGGCTGAGGTGAAAGTGCAACTTGGCTAGTAACGTGTCCTTGCACGGTTGGTTTTCCAAGCGAGAAGAGCATGCAAGTTTACACAAATGTGTGGTTCCTATCCTTCTTTTGAGTCTGTAATAATGGAAAAAGCCGCTCACAGACAACGAGCGAAAGCCATTCTGTCAACAACCTCAAGAAATAGGAGCCGAACTGTTTCTCACTTTCATTGTTGGTCATCTCGCTTTTGCGTTTCTTCGAACGGTTTGTGTTCTGTCCACATCAGCGAACCTACTATAGAAGGTAGCATTTGTGGTAGCCAAGATGAGCCCTTCCAGACACACATTTACGGCTGCGTCTACCATCCGCGGTGGCTCCCAGCAAGACCTTGAATCTCTGGCCGACACGTTGCTGGATTCATCAATTAGCCAAACAAAGAATGATTCTAAGCCCCCTACAGGGAGCTCGGGATTGCGGCGTGATGCTACGGCGTCTAGTACCGGGCGCGCCAAACGAGGTTCCCGTCGAGCGGGTGACAGTCGTCGCTCATCGCATACCCAGAAGGAGGATCCTAACAGAGCTTCTGTTTCTTCAAGTACAACATCGAAAACCCGCGAAAGACTACGAGAAGTGGAACTAGAGCGGGACAAGCTCCTTCGGGATGTCGCATATGGAAAAGGCGTCGTAGAGCGACTCAAAAAGGAGGGCGCTGCCACAGAGCTCGCAGCGTCTCGTACCAAGGCCCGTGTCGAGAAATTGAAAACTGAAGCCCATCGCGAGGGATCGAAAGTATCAAGAAGTGCTACGGATGGGTTCTTCAAGAAGGCTTCCTCGACCGACCTGCTCTTTCTCATGGACACAACGTCCTCCATGGATCCTTACATGAACGAGGCCAAGGCACAGGTCAGAAGCATCATCAGCGAGATCAGGGAGGCCTTTTTTGGTGAAGCTGAGGTGCGAATCTCCATCGTCAGCTACAAGGACCACGGTGATGAGCCCAACATTCAGTGGTTAGATTTCACTCCCGACGCTGATGCGGCGAGTTCATTCCTTGAGAATCTGTATGCGGAAGGCGGAGGAGATCCTCCAGAAGATGTTCTTGGCGGCATCCAGCAGGCTATCAACGCGAGCTGGAGAGCCTACACACGCTGCATGATACACATCGCTGATGCACCACCGCATGGGCGGATTTTCCACGATTGTGATGACGATACGTACCCCGAGCCTGGAAGCGAGCCTCACCGGCTCACATATAAGCCATTGATTCAGAAATTGACGGAACTCCGTATAAATTATGCCCTACTTCGCACAGGAGAGTACACTGATAAGATGGCGGATCTCTTCATGCAGGAATACAGGCCTGCCGCAACCGTTTGCCGGCTGCACACGTCAAATGGCTACTACCCGTTGTCCATGGTCAAGGGAGCGTCGAATGCTGGATCCCCCGGTAAAAAGGGAATTCAGTTTCAAGAATTGGAGTTGGGCACGACTTACAGTGCTCTCCGACATCTAATTGTCCAGAGCGTGACGAGTTCGGCCTCTCTCACTGCCACATATCTGGCAAGCCGTAGGACACCTGTGGCTAGAGCCACTTTAAAACTACGAGCTCCACGTTTAACGTTGGTGGAAGAGGAATTTGAAGGATCGGATGAAATCAAGATATCACTGGAAACCTCACCACCCCAATGGGGCTCTTTGAGCTGGTTTGGCGAGAAGGTCAAGGTTGAAGGCTTCTCTCCAACTGTGATTGTTCACGGGTTCCAGACGCTTAACGACATGATGGCCTCTGATGATAATATCATCATGGGGCCTGTAGAACTCTCACTTCGATGGCGGTCCAAGCCATTTTCAAATGGAGCAACTCGCCAGGCATCTTATGCTCGCACCGAAGCTTCAACTGACCGGTTTGTAGTCAAATCGCCACTGAAGAGCTCCTCAAAGATGGTCCATCTTGTCGAAGACATGCGATGTCAAGCGCTCTGCCGAGCATTCGCCCTAGAGTTCAATGGCCTCGTGGGATACAGGTTCAGCCTGAATTTCATTGTGACAATATGCTTCGAGGGGAAAGACAAAGTGAGGAGCGATGCTGATTGTCTGTCTCTTGAGCCATTTATCCCGGGCCACTATGTCAAGTACAATGGCAATAACGGATGGCTACCTGAGGGGCTGGAAGATAACGACATCTTCAAGGCTTCCCAGGCTTTCTCTCATTTCACATATGAGCGCTCACATGGGGAATTCCTGGTGTGTGACTTGCAGGGTGTGAACAACTTGCTTACCGACCCAGCTATTCATACTCACGACCCGGAGAGGTTCAAGCTGTCGGCGACGAACTGCAATATGGCAGGAATCAAATTCTTCTTTGTCAGCCACAGATGTAACGAGATTTGTTCCAGTTTGGGACTGCAAAGTACTGCATACGGTCTGAAAATGGGCTACCAGAGTTTCCGTACCAACTGGCCCTCCGTGGAGAATACCCTGTTTTGTTCCAACAAGCTCTGTGGCCGGATCGTGTACGCATCACATGCCAAGAAGTCCGTCGAATATCCAGACTGCAGCTGGTGTGACCAATGTTGGTCTCAGTTAGAGTCATCCAAGATATCGAGGCTTTGTGTTGGTCCTGGATCCGACCACGAGTTTGAGGTTTCAAAGTTCTTCTTCGAATCACAAGGGAGTAGGTTACCGCGAGTGTGTCCACTGCACCGCACAAAGGAGAACGACCTATCTGAGGCGGCCTCCACCTCCCGGAAAGGGCTCTGGGCAAGGCTAAAGTCCAGAGCCAAGAGGATAACTTAGTCTAGTGAGCTATGTGGCAAGTGGGTGGCATTGAAATTGAGACACTTAAAACATTAGGCTGCTTATTGTCGAGCCTGCAACTGGTATTATCAAATTATTAGGTACTGAAAATACATGCCCCAAAGGTAGTACTGGATTATTTATTACTTTAACTCTCTATATACTCCCGAATTTCTCTATTCTTTGCAGAAAGTAGTCGATCAATAACTACTCTTCCATAAGCTGTCTTATTTCGCCTGTCAACCATTTGAGTGGGTGAGGTGAATGTACCGTCATGCGAATGGTTATCTTGCGGACAACATGTTTGTGTCGCAATTTTTAGAAATTGGCGTTGTAAATAAGATAAGCATCCGAGTTTACAATTATCTCTGGCTTGTCGACGAAGGAGACGGTCTAGGGAATAAGATGGGTGCCAGTAACGGATTTACCTTCGCTCCAGAGCGGGGCGCAGCACTTAGTAGGACAGAAACAGTAAGAATTAGATTGAAGACATTCGAGGAGAATTTAGGTCGGGGTTTTCTTCAAAGAACTTGAAAGGAATGTGCTTTGTACAGCGATCATGAGCTCAGTATGGTGAAGGCATTATGAGATGCATCCATATGCAAAGATGTGGCCTCAGACTTTCTCGAGATTTTTGTTGCAAAACCGAGGAGCCCTTTCACAGAATTGATTTTAGAACTTTGTGGCCGACTTAATGGCTTCTTAAATTAGAGAAATTAATTCATTACACGGTTGTTTTATACAAAAGGGGACCTAGATGGTCAACGCTTGACCTTCAGAGTATTCTACACCATGCCGAGAATAAAGGCAGCAATAAAGGCAGCTTGGCTCTGGTTGCGCATTTTCGGGCGGCCATGGAATCCAGCCATGGTGTAACCAATTTCAACAATGGCAGAAGGGAGGAGGCTGGTGATCAGGCACACGTGGCTACAACGTCATCGCCGAGCACGGTCATATGATGCAACATCATCATTGAGCAGCCTTTCTGTCACCTTCCAGATCAACGGTAGGAATTGGCCCAGTCTTTTCTACAATATTAATATTTGAAAGCCATCTAGAAAGCCGTTATCATCAAGAAAATGGTACATGATCTTACTGGCTGTCCACTAAATCCAGGGGTGTCTCATGTCTGAGATGAATGTTGCAAACGGCAGAACCCGAACTCTATTTGCTTATGGTTGTTTACGGCGAGTTGCATTTCCTAATAAAGACTGACGTGTCGCATTTTCAAAGTTGCGTCCGGCCAATACCAATCAGAACAAAAGCTTATCGAGTGGTGACATAGACGACTCAAAGTCACATGTCATCCATTATGCCACTGCTCCCCCAAACGTTTAACCGCTCATTTCCCCAAATGATTGTATGTTGAACTCCGTCATCTCATTCCCCACGACGCTGCTGCATACCTGTTGTGACAGCCGTTGACCCGACCCCGACTGTACGTTGTGCTCCCACAGGAGGTCGGAGCGAGACAATCATGACACACACTGGGCCAGACCCTGGAGGGGACAGAAAGCTCATGGCCTCCCCATCTCACTCGGAGGGCATTGAAAATCGTAGCCAACGCTCGAGCCTGGAGTCGCTCCGGCTCAACGGCCGCACCATCCAGGAGAAGAAATGCAGACTCGTCAATCAGGAGATTGATCGCCAGGGCATGGGCAAGTATCAGTGGTACATCTGGGGATTGTGCGGATTCGGCTACATGGTCGACTTGATATGGGCGCATGCATTCGCTCTCGTTCTCAGTCCTCTGCAGCAAGAGTTGGGATTCGGCAACGGCCAGTCGGGTAACATCAGCACGAGCTTCAATGCTGGATTAACTGCAGGAGCCTTCGTTTGGGGATACTTGTCGGACGTGATTGGTGAACATTAACAATCCTTTCTGCTCGAATCCATCATTTTCACTGGATAATTTTAACCTTATCTGGAGTTAGGACGTCGATGGGCATTCAACCTCACATGTCTCATCTCCTCCTTGTTCGGGCTTTGCCTTGGTGCATCGAATAACTACACCACATTTCTCGTCTTGACAGCCTTTGTAGGCTTTGGAGTGGGTGGAAATGTGAGTACATCTGCTCCTCTTAAAACTGCACCTGAAACTGACATTTAATTCAATTCTAGGTGCCTATAGATACCACCATTACACTTGAATTTCTTCCTCAGGTAGCACAAAACTCCCCTGATTTCAAGCCTTTCCCGGGAAAAAGACAAACCTAACACTCTTCTTGTGCAGAACAGAAGATTTCTCCTTGCTTGCCTCTCGGTATTCCAACCCATCGGCGTCATCATTAGTAGCGTTGTTGCACTCGCCTTCATCCCGACATATTCTTGCTCCCCGAACTTCTCGGAAGAGGGCTCGCTGCCTTCCTGTGTATCAGTTTCATCTGAAGACGTTAAATGTTGCACTCGATCGAGCAATATGGGTTGGCGATATCTGCTGTTTACACTCGGGGCTATCACCATCGTCGTCTTCTTCATCCGATTCTTCGTCTTCAAATTCCACGAATCGCCCAAGTTTCTGATTTACCAAGGTCGAGATGCCGCGGCGATCCGAACGATCCAAGCGATGGCCAAAATGAATGGCCAAATAGCCCAGCTGAGACTTGAGGATTTGACTGCGCTGGACGACGAGACAAGTCACGAATCTTTTGGCAGTGATCCCCAGCTGAGGGGATTGATTGAGACCAAGGCTTCGTGGAAAGAAGGCTTGGCTCATGAGAAGTCTCGATACCAGATGCTGTTTAGCAGTTTTAGGATGACACGTCTGACCATCTTCACTTGGTTGACCTATATTATGGACTTTTGGGGGTTCACGGTGGCAGGTGAGGATTTGCACTCGAACTCATTGAGTGATTGCTGTGGCTAACGTTGGTAAAATGCTAGGTCTCTACCTGCCTCGCATCTTGGCTCTGAAGAATGGCGCAGCATCCGTCAGCTTGAGATCGACATACACGGCCTACGTTTATACCTACTCCCCAGGCATAATCGGCGTCCTCGCTGGCGCCGCCATGTATCGAATACCGTCCATCGGCCGTAAATGGACCATGATGTTCTCGGCTGGGCTCATGGGAGTTTCCATCTTCCTATTCTCCATCGTCGACACCGTGGCTAAGAACGAAGGCATGTTTGCCATGGAGTACTTCTTCCAGTCCATGTTCAACGCGGTGCTGTACGGATGGACACCGCAAGCTTTCCCGGCAGCTGTGCGTGGAACAGCATGTGGAGTTGCGAGCTTTTGGGGAAGGCTGGCTGGGATTGTGAGCCCTTTGATTGCACAGCATTTATACGGCCGAGCGGAGAATGGGAATGGCGACGGTGATATAAATAGTGTCTTGTATCTTGCCGGTGGCGTTACTTTGGGATGCGTGATAAGCGTGGGTCTTCTACCGAACGACTTGATGGAGGCGAGGGACGAGGAATCATGAGGCTTGCGGTATCGTTCTATGGCTCGTAGATTTTCGAACATGTCTTTTTAGAGATATACAAGAAATAATCTAAATAAGAACCAAAGCTACTAGAAAGTTGGTATAATTTGTCGAACATGGAGGGTCGGCAGGTGTAAGACCTAATTGTGAGGCTTTGCATGAGGCGGATCATGGGGCGGACGGGCTGAGAAGCTGAGGAGATGCATCATATAAGTCCCCAGAATTCAAAGTTATAGAGCAAACCGGGGAGCCATGATTGCACATGGGATATGGTCTGTACGGCTGGCAGATTGAGCGGGGTAGATCTGATGTGAATGTGCCGTGGAGGCGCAGCAAGGCAGATATCACTCGCTTCTCATGTATGTGCGAACAATACATTGCCCGCTGTTCTTCCGGCATCTTCCCCGGCCGAATACTTCCTAGGCCTTATTCCTCCATCTTGATCTATACAAAAAAAAAGGGGCATTAATTCTAACCGGTAGTGACGGAGGTAAGGCATGCGAGATTACAATGCATGTTCTCAGCACTTTGCGAGCGTCTAACCATGACGCTAAAACAGTCACGAACTCAGGATCTGGGTTGGGCAAGAAGCAACTTTCCTTGGCGATCAGAGACGCGCGCATACCATTCACCAGTACACCATCGCTAGTTGATGATGTGTGTAGCTTGCTCGCCTCCCGCACCAAGTTGTGCCATGTCTGCCAGTCATTCTCATTGCAGTTATCATCATGGATAAGACAGCCAACGTTTGATGAATTGCTACAGTGGCCGGTGCGAGATTACGCAAAAGACCGCATGGCTGCTCTTTCAGATGGCTATCGTCTCCTCCCTCCAGAACGCGTTGACTCAACCACACCTCGACCAAGCAATGTTTTTGAGCATCATAACGCTGCTCGAGATCTGCTGAAGTCAGCTAAGAACTGTCGATTTTGCGAATTGCTCAAATTGGCCATCGTACTGGACTCGAATCGAACGCGCAGTTTTCCATATGATAAGACCGGAACGCCACTGGGAGAAATTCTGGTGCAATACAACCGTAAGCCAGGCGGGCCTGATGTTACCAACATTATTGAAGGATTGCGGGCTAGCGAAGATGCAATTTACTTGATGGTAGAACCGTATCCGATGGGCGGTTATATTAAAAGTGCTGGTTATAAGTCTGCTCTTGGAAATATTCGAGTGATCTGGCAAAAACCAAAATCAATGTTGACAGAAGATACTCGAGCTGTCGTTTTTACTCGGTTGAATATATACACGACACACAACAGTGAGTCTCTTCGCTCTTTCCTTTGGTCGCGCTGATGTTGACAGAATCCTAGATACGGCCTTGCAGCCATTCATTTCTACACGGCAGCCACTACATAACTCTGGTACTCCGGACGCGATGGCTCTGATCAGAGAATGGCTCAGTGGTTGCCGATCTCGCCACGGTGAATGCTGCAGACGAACAGTATCACGCCAAGTGATTCCGGAAGACGAGCTTCATGTCTTGCCAAGTCGAGTGATCGACGTAGGACTTGACAGCCCCAACCAGGATCCTCATCTTGTTGAAAATCAAGGCGAGAAAGTAGGGCATTGGGCCGCACTTAGTCATTGCTGGGGGAAAGCAAAGAATCATCCATTAAAGACTACTCGACGGACTTTGGCTCGGCATCTCAAGGCTATTTCTATGTCATCGATGCCCAAGACTTTTGCAGATGCCGTCGCGGTTTGCAGATCGCTAGGGCTACGCTTTCTTTGGATTGACTCTCTCTGCATCGTGCAAGATGATGAGGATGAATGGGAGAAGGAATCGCAGATGATGGGAACGGTGTACGAGCATGCCGTTCTTACGCTCGCCGCTTCAGATGCTATTGATTCGACATGCGGCTTATTTCTTGAGCGGCCATATGCTGATATCAAATTTCCATCGATTCAGCTTCCGCTTCTCACAGCAGAGTCAGACATCGGGCGCCAGACGACACTCGGTAGCTACTCCGTCGGGATCGATTGGCGACAGGAGCCCTTCATGACTCATTTGCATCCTCACTGGACCCCGTTGGCGAGAAGAGGGTGGTGTACGCAGGAACTGATTCTGTCCCGGCGCGTCGTGCATTTTCTAAAAGAGGGCATGCTATGGGTATGCAGAGACAAAGCAGAAGATGAAAATGGGCAGATGGTTTACGGCCGGCTAACTGAGCGTGATTGGAGTACTGAATGGGGTAAAATCATTTTGGAACACTCTCAGCGGGAATTTACCTTCGAGAAGGATCGTCTCCGATCGCTGGACGGCTTGGCGAAGGAGCTCAGCAAAGTCAAGAATAATAGTTGTAACCCCGGTGAGTATTTTTACGGAACTTGGTTGGCTGACATACCGGAATACATCCTTTGGGCGTCTTATCGAGCCGGGAAGAAGAATACACGTTGTCCGTCGTGGACATGGGCATCCTGTGACGGAGCTGTGTGGTTTCGATTCCGAGATTTCGACAACCTAAGGCAGGATGATTTCTCCCAATGTTGCAAAGTGCTCGGAGTAAGTAACACAAGTGGCGTTTTGACAATAGAGGGCAAGGTGGCGGATATTAGCCACCTCATCTTGCATCCGATGCGACGAAATAGCACCGAGGACCTTATGGGACAGAATGCAAATGCCACATACCGGCAACCCCTTGTACAAGGGTATGCTGTCGGCTCTAGACGTGAGGAGCCATGTGGCTGGATCGAGTTTGATGACGACCGAGATGCACTCGCCTTGTCAGAACCAATTCTGTTTGTCCATTTAGCTGATGGCGAATACTACACACCGCCTCTCATACAACATTGGGGACTCATTCTGGTGAAGGAGACTGTATATGATAACAGATACAGCCGCGTTGGAATGGGTTCGTTATGGGATTCAGAGCTGCTTGCGGGCTTAATAGCCTCAAGAGTGGAAATATTTTAAAGGGGTAGCCGTTAGCGTGATAGCCAATAAATGAATACAAGTCCCGGTATTATAAGATGCAAATTTTAAACGTCTGCTTGATCGCCAGCATAAATGACACCCAACTAGATCTTCAGACCAACGCAAAAGTAGAGCTATTACACTTAGCAATAGCGATTCCTCCTCGCTGAAGCTACCAGATCCTCGAGTGCCCGCAGATCTTCCTCATATGTTTCTGCCCCTCGGTCTAGTATTCGCTTTTTGTTGTATGAGGTTGGGGCCGAATCTATACCAATTGGCTCAGAGTCGTTATTGCCGAAGGTCATATGGCTCTCCTCGTCAATCCAACCCGAACAGTATCCAGTATCAAAGGTAAAATAGCGAGCCAGATGCGGCTCCTCATTCTCCATTAGATCTGGCCGGCAAAGAAAAAAGGTATGAGGGTACCGGGAAAATCGAAAGTCTAACAAGTTGGGAAGCGACGCACGAATCGCGTTGAATACATCCGCCCATGTTCCCTCGAAGGTGTAGATCTCATCATCTTCTTTATTGAAACCAAACGCCCCTCTCGGATGCTCTGTCCAGTCCGTATCCTGTACATCCCAAAGCTGTCTGTGGCCACCACCAATCCGCAGATGTGAGGCAATAGCACACCTATCAAGACGCAAAGTCTGCAAGGTCTTTTGTCTCAATACCCAATCAAGCTGGCTGTGGCGAGCGATGATATAAGCCCCCAGGTGCAGGGTCCTGAGATTGGGAAATCTGAGGTCGCTCTTGTCAAATTTGCCAGGCATGACGCCCCAGCCACAATGGAAGAGTAATGAAAGAGAAGTGAGCTGCTCGGCAATGGGATTAAGCCAGACTTGACGGAGATGGGGCTCGAAATTCCGACGCTCAGGGCGATACAAGTCAGCCTCACGCTCGCCGTCCAAGGTATTCTCCTCATCCGCGACTAAAACATGCAGGCCTGTCAGGCCCTGCATTACCTGCTGAAATTTATCAGAACTAGTAAAATCGTCCAACACGAAGTTTTGAAGATTCTCGATAGTGAGAGACCGAATGGCAGTAGTACTAGGAGACTCGTTTGTGCGCCGAGCCAAGGCATCAAAGACAGCATGGAGGGTACGTCTCCTAGTGGAAAGGGGTTCGCCCCGTTCCGAATCGTATTCATAATCTCCGGTGCGACATTCTCTGACAAAATGCAAGACGAGCGATGTCAGATTCCGCAACTCACTCATGCGATTAAGAGAATCTATGAATTCTGGGTATTCCCCCTCATCTTCCCATAGATCCCAGTCGCACTCATCCCCACGATCTTCGAACGGAAAGGGACTGCTGTCAATATGGACCAGCCTAACGCTTGATCTAATCATTTCGTTGTCAAGCATTGTATTCCACTTTTCGAAGCCTTCAGACCCGTGACGTAGGTGAATTGAGGAGAAAAGATGCCGTGAGGCCAGCTCATTCCATTGCCGACATACAAGGCGAGCATTGGCGAGATGCTCTGGGTTTTGAGCAGCGGAACTCTCATCGTACTCATCAGCAAATTCGAAGAGATGACTTATGATGAGATTCAGAGTCTCATTTGGGAAGTCTTTGAGTTCCATTGCGCGGGACGCTGGATCTTCAAGTCGTTTGTCGCGTCCGTTTGATTTGATTAACGGAAAATGTTCACGGTGTGGATTCATCTCGGGCACCTAAACATCCGATATTATCCTAGCGGGCTTCTACCAGTAGGACTGGGATAAAAAGAAACATGGTGTGAGGGTGACCGTCAGCAGGATTCAATCCACACCGCTAAAGGCGGGATGTTCAGCGGAGATAAGATATTACCGGACATGGTCAATCCTACGGTCCGAGGGCCACACGGTTTTCTCATTGAGCTTGTTTGGACAATTAGACGGTTGAGTTTAGTAAACTTCAAGTTACGGGAGGGATTGAAGTTGCGAACCATGTCCCCTTATGAAAAACGAACTAGAACAGGGAAGCTTGCATATTTCATTTCAACCCATCAAGGCTTTGTTTTCGTTGTTTGAGGTTCTCTGTCTACAACGCTCGCTCTTTTCGGCATACCATTGGGTATTTAGCCATTCACGATATCCCCGACAACATCCAGCAGCTCCGTGTCGATGAATCGAACCTGCCATTGAGGAGTCTTCCCACTTGGCGTTGACACGTTGACGTTCTCAGCTCGTACGTTGCGGCAGCTCTGGGAAACAGTTAGCCTTGGACTGGAAACAAATAGTGATGAAGCTTGTTTGCTTGAACTACTGACCTGATCGTCGCTGCAAATGAGCGAGCCCACAACTGGGTCTCCCTTCTTCGACGTGGTGCCCCAGAAATTCTTGAAAACGACGTCTTCAATGATCATCTGGGAAGGATTCTCCTCGCACGTCGAAGCATTGACAGTTCCATAGCACTGATCAATCTTGAGGACTGCATCGTTCCCTTTCACGTGGAATCCGTCATAAGTCACATTGAGGACATGGCCCGTGCCGCCTCCGCCGATCCACCCCGGCTTTGTGACGGCATGCTCGCCGGCCCAGATCTTGATGCGTGCGCTGTCTGTGGCGTTGCTAAGCGTGTTGTTGTAGATGTACAGATTTTCTATGACGTCGAAAACACCCGGGTACTGAGCGAGGGAGCCCACTGATATACCGTGCGATGAGTTACAGACGAGACCTTGAACAACAATGTTGGTACTGTTGGGCTTGAAAGAGACGCAGTCATCGTCGTGGTCAATGTACGAGTTTTGGATAACGATGTTGTCGGACCGGTAAGTGTCCCAGCCGTCGAGATTCTTAGCCTCGTGTTCAGACGTGGACCGAGAGTAGATATCGATGTCGGAGATGAGGAGATCCGAGCTGTTGGCGATGAGATTGTGCCACTTTCATTCACGATTAGCTTTCCTGATCTTAATACGCCTCAAGCTCGGTAGCCTTCTTACCTGTGGAGAATTCCGCAGCTTCAGACCAGTGATGGATCCCCCAACCCACCCGTCGGTGACGAACAACAAAGGCCGCTGGACGTTAGAAGTAGCATGTGCATCATACCAAACCTGTCCATTGCCATCAATGGTTCCCGTGCCAGCTCCGTACAGGTTGATATCCTCTCCTCCCCACAGCCACCAGGTCCCCTGATCCTGGAATGGGAAGTTGAAGAAGGCTGGCACCCACTTCTCAATATCCTCGCAAAATTTGACTGTGCCAGTGAGGGCAATGTCAATGTGCTTGAGGAAGCGCAGGTCAAGTGGGCTACAGATGGTGTACTCTTCATCCAGCACGACCGTGCCGCCGTTGTTGCACTCCTCAATGGCCGCGAGAATCTTTGGTGCATCGTCCCGCCCGGGTGTGCAGCTCGGCTTCACGAAGCATGATTTCGTTCGTGGAACTGAGGTTGGGAACGGCTTGAAAGGTTGAATAGGACCGGGCACAATGTTGGGACGCTCTGGCACCTGTCGAGCCTGTGCTATACTGCTGATTGCAATGCCTGCAACAGCTAGGAGAGCAGTGGAAACCATCTTGTGAACTTGGTCAGATACAGTTCTGGTCCATAACCGAATTATCACAGATCAAACCGTCCATTTTCAAGGCACCGGGCTGCATTTTATCTATATGGCGTAACAAAGTATTCATTCAGGGTCCAGGCTGTCGGTAACAGGGAGTTGCACGTTGCCCCAATCGATCCGTCGGTTCTCGTGGTTAACGTTTAGCCTGAACTCATCATTAGCTCGTGCCAGGGGTTTCAAAGCTTGGCGTTGAGGGGGAGAACGTATTAACAGGCATCATCATCGCCCGGAGAACATGATGTGGGCCGTAATCAGCCAACAATATTCCTCCAATGAAAAATTCGCCATGCTTCGCTGTCAGGATACAATCTTCAGGTATGCAATTGGAGTACTTTATGGAGCTGTATTAGTTAGAAGAATTAGCGTCATTGTAGTCTCAGTATATCGTCAGACTTTCAATGGTACTGATTTGTTCGTCATCAAGCACCTTGAAGAGGCTCCCTGATTCAGTGTTAGGAGTATGTCAAGTTTAAACAAAGTGATAACGAGCATCATTGTTCAAGGATTTACCACATACTCTACATATATTACATTATATCTATTAGTGAGCTCTAAATGCGGATTGGTTGTCAGTCCTTGCGATTTCCCCAGCTCTCCTTGTGAGTGGTTTCAGTGTATCTAATCAGGTTAATGTATGGGCTATGAAGTTGTCCAAGTATCAATAGGTCATAACTTGTAAGATTTCAGAGAATCATAAAAGATAGCGACAATCAATTATGTCTGATTTGAGACAAGCCATGACTCTGCTCAAACTTCATGCACTGTGGAAGACGTCAATTAAAATCTACGGCAAGTAGACTTAATGGGCGTGGATTTTAATATATGGACGTTGAAACTAAAAAACTCATGCTAACTGTCACATTAAACCTATCGGTCCAACACCATCACATCATTTTCAACCACTTCTTCTCTCCGGCTAAGCGCCGAGAGCCGCCCACAAAGAACTCTTTGGACCCTAAAGCCCTTAACAATGACTTTCAATGAGTCTGTGTTGACGTTCATTTTAGCTACGCCGACCAAGACATCCAGTGTAGACTCCCTACCCACAAACAACCTGTTCGCCTTTGGATACTGCGGAATGTCGATAATGACGAGCATCTCTCTTCCACCAGTTTAATCCTTGGCGACATTTTTTCGAATTCGACAGCCTGGCACTGATTTTGTATTACTGATTTGCAAACGAAATTCGTCTAACTTTGACTAGGTATCAACCGCATGGTGATTTGAAATTCACAAATGCAACACCTTGCTTACAGATTTTCATCATGAAAATCCCATCACCTCATCTCGATCAGGCACCGTGCTTCCGTCAGTTCTGACGCCTAAACTCTTCCCATGCCTCTTTCGTGTAATATCGTAAACATGTCTCACAACCCCCACAACCGCCGCACCCTGGGGCTGCCCAAGACCCTGTAAAGGGATCAAAAATCCAGGCCGGGTCCCTGGCTGGAAACGGTCCGGTCTCGAGATCATACTTGTCTGGTATTTTGGGGAAACCAAGCTCAGGAATCGGTTCGTGCTGGTTTGACAATGTACGGACATAAACACCCCGCCCCTTTGCAGCTGTCATTGTCTTTTGAAAAGATATTTTGGTTCTGGGCATCGAGGCCTGCTTCTCGACTTGTTCGAGGTAGATGGCCTTCAGGTTTGGGAATGACCGCGAATTGATTAGCGCCACAATGGCATCGTCTAAAGCCTCATTTTCCTCGTAATCCCCTCGGTGATACCAGGCCTCATCCTCCGATCCCCAAAGAAGTAAAACTTCGAGAGTTGGTGGTAAGCACATAGGAAAGTGAGTTACAACGTCGTCATGGTTTACAGCTTCGTCGGCGGAGTTGTCGTCTGTCGTCTCCCCGTGCACCTCTGGCATGTCGGGTAGTGGGGGTGTGGCAAGGAGAATGCTCTCGTCGTCATCATGACCGATGGGCTCTTGATTGAAAAATTCGTTCATCTCGGGATCATTACGAGAACCGCCGTAGAGCCAGAAGAAGCAATCTATCAAAATGTCCTCCACACAAAGTTGTACCATGCGGATGTTTCGCAATGATGACAGACTACTCGGCTCGTAATTACGACAGCTGTCGCCGAACATGCAATCTGGTTGATAAAGGAGGAGCTGGCGAAGAGACCGTTGGGAAACCGAAGAGTTGAGCTTTTCGATGAATGTATCCACTGAGAACAATTGCTCCCCGCCCTGTGCACGGATGACTATTGTATCCAGGCCAATCGACGTCTGCACCAGTGCTCTTCGGAGGTTGACATTGTCTTCTCTGATTCTGTCAAGAACTAGGGTTCTGACGGTCGAGGTTTCAAGGGGAAGTAGCCACCCCCCGTCGGATTCCAGGCCACCTGTATCTAAATTCCGGTAGTAGATCTCCTCAATGGAGGGAAGTCGAAGCAGAGCACAGAGGCTCGTGGAGTCTGACGTAGCTTCAAGCTCGGGACGATCGAGAACGGGGACTCCAACAGACACCTTGCGAAGGGAGTTCAATCCAGGGGGCCAAGGGAAAACGTCACGCAAGCTCCATTCGATCATTTGCCCTAACCAATTCAGGGTATCATTTGGAACATCAGGGTTAACGAATACAAGGTTATTTAGTCGCGGTAACATGGAAACTATCATCGCCTTTAAGTAGCCGTCTTCTCCATCTTTGAAGGCTTCTGCGATGAGCTCATGATCGTGGCAGGGATGAAACATAAGTTGCATCTCCTTGACATGGTCAGCCACTTCGTGGGGGCTGAATGGTGAGGGTAACGGATCTTCGTGGGCGGCAAGGGAGAGAGTTCCGTCAGTACCAATCTCCCAGCTTTTCCACTCGTCCCATGTCACTCTAGATCCCCATATTTCGAATTTCCTGACGTGCCATGCCTCGATGGCTTTAGGACCAACAGAGGCCTGGGCGCTGCGATACACGCGTACGAGAAGCTCAAGTGAGCAATCGGAGATGACGCGGTTGTCTCGATGAGCATTCTGGTGGATCTCAAGGATGGGCTTTGATCGAGCGTAGATGAGCTTACATGCCGTGGCAAGCGCAAAATGGTCAGAGGGTTCGAGTTCGTCGTAGATGCCGAAGAGGAGCTCAGTCGGCAGCTTAGCCAACAGGCCTCGCCCCTCATCAGCTACCCTTGCCGCCATGGATGCGAGCGGTGGGGAGTGGGTAGCTTGGAGCTTACGCGAGTCTGAAATGAGTAAAGAGCAGAAAAGTTGTGGATTGCAGGCTAGCTTTCTTGCTTCATTTGGAATGGGATTCGCAGGGTAACCATCGCAGAGATGATGACTGCCTGATTGTTGAAGGTGCAAAATCTCAGACTTGGAGACGGTCAGGCAAAAGTGAGCGCGAGTTCCAAGCTCAAACTCAGGGCAGAAGCGAGTCACGTGATTAGTCAGCCACCCCACACTTGACCACTATCATCACTCCCAACTTTGATACCCCAACATTGACGAGCATTAATCTACCTAGGAGCAAGAAGATATCACATATTCATACGGAAATATTGTACCTAGAATCATATTTACTTAGTTACCTAGCTACTGTTGTTGCTCTGCAGCTGGAACTGATGAACATTATCTCCCCATTCGTGTCCGGCTCTAGGGCTCCTCATGCTACAGCTTAGTGGTGATCTCAGTGAAGAGGCCCCTGGAATATAGCCCAATACCGGCCGCCAATGCGCTAGGTGTAACGATAAGGAGAGTAGGTATGTATGCATGTTCCTGTCCATCCAGCCATCAATCCTTATTTTCCATCGTCATTTGGACTCTTCCACAACCTGGATTTTTTAACAATCTGGTACGAATCCTCATATTAATCTAGCGCAGATAGTTCAGGCAACATGGTGCCGGCCGGTTACCTCTCCCGATAGCCTATCCCCAATTGCTTTAGTTCAACGGTAAGCTGTGGTCGAGACCTGCCACCAGCTGATCGTTTGTCTTTCTCCCACGTTGACAACACGAATCTGATTACGACTGCATATATTGTGCTCAGTGACAAGACGACGACGGAGTATCTCGTACGTTACCTTCATTGTTTTCCCACAGACAGCCTCACTACACAACAGGAGCGTCATGGCACACTCATTTTCATCCCACTATATGATCACTAAGGACGGCGCTCGGTTGAGTTACTACAGCGTCGGAAATGGGCCAGGACTCATCATTCTGCATGGCTCTGCCGGCTATGCGCTCACCCACCAGGAGCTCGCGCTTCAGCTTAGTCCATTTTATACTGTGCATCTCCCATCTCGAAGGTGTCGCGGCCTATCTGATCCATATCCGGAGTCTCTCGACAAAGACGGTCCCCTTGTTGAGCCCGAGGACAGCGATGATCCAGATCAAAATTCTCACATGATTCGCATTGGTGAAAAGAGCTACCAGGAAACCTATCGGCCAAGCTTTAAATCATCCCTGCTAGATGTGGAAATTTCTGATTTGGAGTCTCTTGTCGCAAGCACCGGGGCATCGTATCTGATCGGTGTCTCAACCGGCGCTTTAATTGTTCTTCACTCTTTGCTCAGAGCCGAGACTCTGCCTTGGATCAGGCAGATCCAAAGGATGATCCTTTTCGAACCCCCTCTGGTCTGCAGCGATGTTTATCCGTCACTTGAAATCAACGGAATTGGCAAATATGAGCGTGATCTTGCCTCAAAAGGTGAAATGAGCGCTTTGGTTACGGCCATGTACACTGTGCAGCTGGGACCCACGTGGATCCCAAGAAGAATTATGGATGTCCTGGCTTGGGTTGGATTCACACTGGCCGGACGATCTGGACAAGGCCCCAAGGGACCAAATGGAGAGGATCTTGGAAAATGCACACTGAAGGATATGGCACACATAATTCGCTATGACTTTGCCGTCGTGGAGGGGATGATACAGGATTCAAAGAACTTTCAAGCCTTGAACAGCCCTGGCCAGAACCTCATGCTACTTCAAGGGGAGAAAACGATGGAGTACATGAAAGAGGCGATGTCAATTTTGAGGAACTCTGCTCCCGACGCGACTCACCTTGATATTCCTGGGGTTGGCCATGAACTTCTAGTCAACTCGGATATGAGAGGTCGGCCGGAAAGAGCTGTTCCATTTATCAAGGAGTTTTTCTCTTCCCACGTCAGTAACTAAGGATTTTTTACAAAATTCAGCAGTCAATATGTGGTCATTTGGTTTCAACTACACTATTTTCTACCCGACTCTAATTAGATATGTTCAAGAGGCGACCGATGGCACTTTATGTACTCATCGTCGCGGTATCAGTATATTCACTTTTCTGTCTGTAATTTATATAATAATTCTCAAAATGATAAATAAATAACCCATTCTAGATGTGCTGATGGTTACACTTGGATGAAGCGCGCCCTAGTGTTTCCATTTTTTTTTTAATCTTCTCTCGATCTTGTAGCCTGCTCTCTTTCTCGTCGTCTCCTTGCTTCATTTCTTCTCTCTTGCTCTTCCCTTTGCTGCTGCATAGTCCGGAGTCGCTCTGCCTCTTGTCTTATTTCTTCTTCTCTCCTCCGTTCTCTTTCCCATTCCATTGTTCTCTCGTCTATCAATATGCAATTAAGATTAGCCACATAGCTTGAAATTGATCGCAATGATAAAACGGCTCATGAATAATTAGCGACTTCTAGGAAGTCAATGCCACAGAGTGGAAGGGTCCAATATGATGATAGGGACCGATTTCTCAGAGAATGCGAAAAAAAGCATTCAATATAGAGAAAGAAGTGAGGGAAGAAGAAGAAGAAGAAGAAGAAGAAGAAGAAGAAGAAGAAGAGGAAGAGGAATAGGAAGAAATACCTTCAGTTTCCCCGTGTTTGTCAAATGCTACCATTCCAACGAGGTTATTGTTTTCAGTCCCAGGAGAGAACAGAACATCGTGGTTCTTGTAAAACCAATCATCAAATATATGGAAGGTGTCTGTGAAACAGTTACGATTGTCTCCAAGATAGTAGTCTAGGTCGATTGATCCGAGCGTTTCGAGTCTTCCGGTCAAGGTAGTCCCAGTCCGGATGTTGTTTCTATTCACTTCGGGCCACAAGCCCATCTCGTCGATGGCGCTCTTGCTGACGAGGTGACCCAGTTTATTGCCTGTGTCAAGCAGAGATCTTAGTTCCATGTGGTAGCCATTACGATTCACAACTCTCATTGCCGGACTGTCTCGTGAAACTGGAGCCCTGAAATTGGAAGTCGGCGGCGGTGGTTCGTTCATCCTGGCAATCTGAGGGGTTAATCTTGAGAAGGGGTTGGGCCCCCCTTGGTTGGAGTCGTAACGTCTCAAGTCATTCCTTGCCAATACCCGGCGACGAGGGTGCCTAGTTGGGGCAGACTCATGCCAGTCGCTGCTTGTATCACGCATCTCTTGGTCGTGGTCGCCTGGGTATTGCCGGAGCCTTCTCCTCTGAAATGGAGAATTGGAGGAGTTACAACGATAGAGCTCTTGTGTTGATGATGGCTGGCTAGGTGGAGCTCTAAATGGTCCATTTTCGTATTGCCAAGGAGACTCATACTCATCCATATCTTGTATGGGTTGTCCGTCTTGGGTTCTCCGATTGGGCCTTATATCCAGTGAAAACGCATCAACATACTCTCTAGATCCACGATTACCTCGGTAGGGTCCGTGTTGAATAGAATTCGGTCTCATATGGTCAATATTTTGGACGTTCATTTGGCTGACGGTGTTAATCGGAACAACTACTCCTCTTTCGGCGCTCGTGCGGTTTCTAGATCCCAATACTCGACTGTACCCATCCAGTGGTAATTCGAGTCGATAATTTCTCCTTGGTACTCTGTGTTCTGAAGCTGGCTCTATGGTGTATTGAGAATGATCACCATAATATGGATAATGAGGCTGTGATGTCGCATACTCGATGGGAGGTCCATTGCCAGATCTATTATAGACTTGGGTCGTCCCGAAAATTCTCGGAGCTGGTTGGGACGACCTGGAGCCTATGAGTGAAGTGGAATGACGTCTGTCATTACGATAATCTCTTTGTCGCTGCGCCTGAGTGTCCGATTCGCCCTCATCTTCTTCCCATTCGGTCATGTATTCGCTATTACCCTCCTCGAAGTACCAGTTATGAGACATCATTGCAGCTCAGTAGAGTAGCAGAGGTTGATCTCTGAACGATATACTTTGGCGCTTAAAACTTCACTGTGATAATGTTTCGTCCTTCCTGGTTAAAGGCAATGATAATGCGATCTCATGGGATAAGAACCCGAGAACAGAGCGCAAAGAATGTGGCTCTTTCAATGTTGTTGAAATTTGGAGGTTGTTTCTTGCGTTCAATCGAAATGTGCAGGATAGAGGACATATTGGTGCCTAACATACTATGCTGGCTTTGCTCATTCAGCGGCTTAGGTGGTTCAATCAATGGTCATCGAAATACAACTTTTTGCCTCGTAAGGCAGATTAGGGTCTCAGATGACACCAGTGCGAACCAGGAATCCCATCCCGAGTGAGGCGGGGAGGGTGATGGTTGGGTCTTAGTAATATAACTCTGCATAACAAGGCTTCGTGGCGGTGGCAGAGATAACTTGGAAATGATGAAGCAAGATTGCCTCGGGATTTTACCCAATAATGTTTCGTTTTAATCGCTCTGTTCCCCTCTTCTTGGAAGTGCTCACTTCAACCATCTGGTCGAAGGTATAAAGACCGTGTCAACGTCGAGCCAGTCTCTACCAACCGTGCGTCCCTGATTCATGAAATATCAGCTACTCACCGAAATGTGCACCGGAGCCGAGGATAGTGAGAAAGGCAATATTATGAGATACAATCCCTATGGGGGATACCCGCGATTAGCCAAATCTATGGGCGATACTCCTGATGTTGCTATTTTCTCTCGTTTTCTTGATTTGTCTACAGAAAGCCTATTGCACTATCAAGCCGAGCTACATGACATCCAGTCGGACCTCAGAAGATTTCAGGAAGCTGATAGGGATATACACGCCGGTGAAATCAGAAACGCGTATGAGTTCAGCTCTACAATCCTACGCGAAGCATTCTTGTTAGACTTGGATGACAACAGTGATCCGGACCTTGTTAAGACCTACTTCGATGGGAAAAGGCAATGGAGAATGATTTTACGAGCACAAAAGACAATAGAAGATTATTCTGAGTTTAGAACAGCACCTTATTTATCCTGGGCGAACATAGTACTGAGCTCGCTGACGCAACTGCGCGAAGATGGGGCTTTACTTTTGCACCGACGGATCGTGAACCTTTCTAAACGCCCCCAAGGACTAAAAGATAGTCTCAATCATTGGATGCGACTGCCGGCAAGAGGAATCGTGTTTCTGAAAGGTAGCGATAGTGAGCTGTGGAAGGATTCCAAGCTCAATGAACTCACGACAATGGAGCAGACTACAAGCGACGATACAGCTAGCTCAACCCTTCGAGTCGTCAAACTGTACCATGTTATCATTGGCCGATTCATTCAGGTATGCTTAGTTGAAAGACTATGAGTGCCCGTTGAATATATTCGCTAACCATAATTTAAACGAACAGGATGAGACGGACAAGCAACACAGGAGAGACGATTATCGTCAACACGTCAACTGGGCCATTAAAATTGAAAGAGGAGCGAAGACCCTAGTAGCATGCATGATTCCCATTTTGGGAGTACTAGTGCTATATTTCGTCCAGGATAAGGGAGCCAGACTGGGTGTCATTGTTGCCTTCACCGCGGTTTTCTCAGTGACCCTGAGTGTCCTTGCAACGGCAGCCATAAAGGATATTTTCAGTGCCACAGCAGCGTAGGTGTCTCTGACCTAGAGTCACCAGCTTCCAAAGATCTCAATACTGATATTCAATACTTTTTTCCAATAGATTTCCTGCCGTCCTTGTCGTCTTCGTTGGGACATCATGATATGGAACGATTGTACGCACGGCCACCTTCATCGGAGAAACGCACGCTGAGTTTGGTTGTTTCTAGCCATTCTATGAATTGTTTGATATGCTAAATAATGAGCTATTGTGCTTTGAATTGCCTGTGATTAATGTGTTGGTTGTAATGTGAGTTCGAGTGGAGAGTGACTCCTCGACTTCGATCAATTTATGGGAAGCAACAATCAACTGCGGTATATTTCCATTTAGCTGCATTTAAGTTCATTTGGTTTCATCCATTGTTGCCGCAAGGTATAAAACAATGGGACACGGCCTCCTAACTATTCAACTACAACCTGAAAGTAGACCGATTTCTTGACCCGGAGACACTCTCAGTTGAATTCCCAAACTTGACTGCCATACGGCCCCTTGCCTCATGATTTTGCATCTTTTTCACCATTAGTGGCAGCTCATCGAGAGTAAAGTATTCCAGGCGTGAATAAATGTTATGTTTCGCGCTAAACTCAATGGCAGCCCGCATGTTGTAGCCGGTACCGTTGTTGGAGCCCATAACTCTGAATTTCCCCAGGGCGATGTCGTATGCGTTGAGCTCAATGGGCTCGGCAGGGATTCCCACGACCATCAAAATACCTCGTCCAGGACGAATAATGGTAGGCATGGCACTGTATGCCTTCTTGCTCGCGGTGAAGTTGACTGCTGCGTCAACACCACCACCAGTGATCTCAAGAACACGCTCAAGGTATTTATCCGCTGCGGAGTCGAAGACGTATTCAGCACCCAGTGCCTTTGCCTCTTCTCTCGCCGCAGCTGCGATGTCGAGGCCAATGACCCGGTACCTCATTGCTTGCGCGTACTGAACTGCTAAAGCGCCGAGCCCACCACAGCCGACGATAGCTACCCAGCTACCGGCAGGAAGCTTGAGATCACCGATGGCGTGGAACGCAGTGACTCCAGCGCAAAACAGGGGTGCTGCAGCAACCGGGTCAAGATTCTCTGGCAGGACCATGGAGCTTCGGTAATCAACAACTGCATATTCGGCAAAATATCCATCTGAGCCAAAACCTTGCATCACCGGTTGGCTCTTTTCACACCACATATTATGCCTAGGTGGAGTTAGCACCACGTTACATGGTAAAAGGGCTGAGGGATACATACACTTGCTTACAAGGGATGCAGTTAAAGCAGACATTTGTCGCTGGGAGGAAGCCGATGTTGTCGCCTTTCTTGAAGCCCTTCACATTGGTTCCAATCTCAATCACTTGGCCTGTAGCCTCATGTCCCATGGTGGTTGGCTTTTCGGGGTATACCATCTCGTCATTTGGCTCAAATATCATAATGTCCGAGTGACAGAGAGAGGCACAGTGAATTTTAACCAGAATCTCATTCTCATTTGGTTTCGGAATAGGCACATCATTGACCTCAACTTTCAAGCTCTGGGGGTTTATTCTAATCCGTGTTAGTTTGTTGATGCATGAAAGTGATTGCTTAAATTTCAACATACTGTCCTGCCTTCATTGTTCCCTGTCTTGGTCTGATGAGAGGCCCTGTCCACCTTGTTGATGACATGGCCCTTGGGTTCTGTGATGTTCGGGGGTCGGTTTTAGGTATTACCGACTTTCTCATTCATGAAATGGATAGACAATATGTTATTTAAATGAAAGATTATGGATGTCCAGGTATTTACACACAACAACTCGAGGCACTGGGAAAGAGGCAATACTGTCTCATATGGGAGAATTGACAGAGTATTCTGGGAAACCAACTTCCGGAAGGCGCTGGAGAACCCCGTTTGTGCGATGAATGGACTCCCCAATCCGTTGGGGTAATGAAAAGCGGTTATTCTATCGCGGCTTCTTACCGCGCGGTCCAACTACTAGCCGTTTCTCGCAAGGAACATCTCAGCCGTGGGCGGAAAACAACTACCGAGACTCGGGAGTGACCGTTTAAGATGCATAGCGTTTCTTTAATTTAATAACCCCGTTGTGGTTTTACTCGATCTATTTTTTTTTCTCCCTCTCTTTTACTTGTCCATCTTTGATAACCTCAAGCACATCCGAAACCACGTCACTGGCCATACAAAAAAACAGCCCCTTAGCTCTCGCGAAAATAACAACGCGTGAGTGGGTATACCGTGTGTATGGAAGAAAGCCACGCGATTGGGGAACCTAGCGATCCTGAATTGCTCCCTCACAAAATGGGTGGTTTTTGTGTTGAGCACAGCAACATCCGTAATGAAGGTGGTTGACAAACTGACACAACTAAGCATGGAGACGAGGCGTGAGTTTCACATGTTACGCCATCAGCCTTCTCTCTAGTGGATAAGATGGGATACGGGGGCGATTTTAGAGAAATCTTGCCTTGACCAGCGAGTGAGATTATATATGGGTCGGTCCCTGAAAACAAGGTTACCTGTAACATGAGTATGAGGCCTCGAGCTTCACATGTCAAAGGAAGGGCGCGCACAAACCTCTCTCTTTGGTTCTGCAAATGATGGACAAAAACCCTGTTAATTTGTCAGCACTGAGCAATGGTGTGACTGGGATGGCACAATCTTAACCCCCACCAGCACCAATGCAGAAATCCTTCAACTGCTTTTCTTCATTCATATTCGCAAGTAATCCAGAATTATCTCTCATAATCGCTGTTATAGACAACATGGCTTCTCTTTTGTCTGCATGTGAAATTGGTGATGGATTCCCAATCCTCATCGTCCACGGATGGGAGATGCGGGGAGAGGTTGAAGAGCGAGATTTCGAGCCAGTCTTCAGCAAAATACCAGGCCTTCGCCGGATTTACGTGGACCTTCCGGGCATGGGCGCGACACCGGCGAACGGTGTCAAGGATCAGGATGAGATGTACCATCGACTCGTGGAATTCATAGATTCGCGACTTGGCAGCTCAAGGTTCGCAGTCGCAGGCTCATCGTGCGGCGCATATCTTGCACGCGCTGTAGCCCAGAAATATCCCAACCAAGTTGATGGCTTGCTATTGCGGGTGCCGCTCATCGAGCCAGCCGACAGCAATCGCGATGTCGATTCTTTCAAACCGTTGATTGAAGACGAGCAATTCTTGTCCAGCATCCCAGTCGAGGAAAGGGCAAGCCTTGGCAACATTCTGATCCAGACGCCGGAGTATGTTGAAGCCTTGAAGAAAAAGTACCAGGAAGTCTATGCTCCCGCCATGAAGGCAGCAGACAGTAGCGTTTTGGATCCAATTCGTGAAGACCCAACTCGCTACGGACTGTCTTTTTCGCTGGACGAGGCCAAGTTCTTTGCACCCACACTTATCGTCTGCGGCCAGCAGGACACGAATGTAGGCTATCGAGACAGCCTTCGATTACTAGAGCTCTACCCGCGTTCAACCTATGCGGTTCTCGATCGTGGTACGCATGGACTGCCTATAGGTGACCCTAGCATGTTTGAGGCCCTGGTTCGGGACTGGGTCTCTCGTGTTAATGAATGGCGAGGTCGCACGAAAAGCTAGGACTTCTTCTATCGAAAGTTATCTGTATATAGGTAGAATAACAGCAGGCAGCGGTGTGGTGGAGTGATCAGATAATGAAAGACACCACTCTTGTTTTGCTGACGGCCGTATGTTCCTCCTTTCGTCAGTTCAGTCATGCATTACCACGTAAGGGTAGGTTCTTTGTAACCGAATCTGGTCGTTAACTTGAAGTGGTAGAACTTTCGCCTTGTTTCGAGATTTGCAGTGGTCCGAGTTGCTAGACTTTGGGGCGGATATTTATCTTATTGGCTGGAACATTCCACACCCACGATGGATGATGAGGGCTCATCGCGTGTATCACAAATACAAATCAAGATGGTGCCATTCAACTTGATCCTTTTTTTATGCCAATGTAACTGAAGTATACTTTTAGCAGCACATTATGAGCCTTATCACATTGACCGGCGCCGGAGGGAGGCAAATTCAAGGTACGCGAACTGCTCTCCATCGATAATCTTGTGCATTTAACCCACAAAGCTTAGAACTAACCAACGTTATGCTGCTAAGTCAATACGGGGCTCTTTGTAAACAATGAATTCATTGCAGCAGAGGGAAATGAGGTCTTGGAGGTTGAGAACCCCTACAATGGCAAAATGTTAGCGTCATGCTCTGCAGCAACCAAACGGGATGTTGATGCAGCTGTTGCATCGGCCGAGACTGCATTTTACAAGTCCTGGAAGGGCATCCGTCCATCGCGAGGATCGCTGCTTAACAAGCTGGCGGACCTGATCGAGAGAGATGCCGACGATTTGGCAAGCCTGGAAGCCTTGGAAGCTGGGATTCTCTTCTCCGACTCAAAGGCGTTGCACATAACCCAAGCCACAGAAACACTGAGATACTTTGCGGGTTGGACAGACAAAATCACAGGACAGTCGCTAAACATTCCACAAGGATATGCCTATACAACCCGAGTCCCGATCGGAATCTGTGCTGCCATCGTACCCTAGAATGCACCTCTGTAAATCTCATAGCCTAGTAGGCATGCTAGTTTTGATGATTGCGACTGACAGACAGCTACAGGATGATTACTATCTGGAAATTGGCTCCTGCTATTGCTGCGGGCAATGTGCTTATTATCAAGACACCCGAGTTGACGCCATTGTACGGCCAAAAGCTAGCCAGCTTGATCAAGAGGCCGGCTTCCCACTGGTGTAATCAATATCCTCGGTGGTCATGGCCCAGTTGCCGGCCAAGCACTAGCTGAGCATCCAAAAGTCAGAAAGTTAGCATTTACAGGAAGCTCGCCCGTTGGCCGTCAGATTCTCCGTGCAGCTGCCGATTCCAACCTTAAAAAAGTTACGCTCGAGCTTGGAGGAAAGAGTCCGTCCATCGTGTTTTCTGACGCCGACCTAGACAACGCAGTGTTCTGGACAAGTATCGGCATCACAGCAAATAATGGCCAGGTTTGTGCCGCTGGATCTCGATTATACATCGAAGAGAGCATATTTGATAAATTTGTATCGGCGTTTGCTGCGAAGCTGAACCAGACTAGTTACGGTGATCCTCTGCTTCCGGAGACTACCAAAGGGCCAGTCATTAGTCATGGCCAGAAGGAAAAGATCAACAGGTACATTGAACAGGCCAAACAGACGGGCTTGAAGCAGATTGAAGGCAACAGCATTCAGCAATCTCCCACGGGCCATTTTGTTGCCAACACCGCGTTCCTAAATGTTCCTGGTGATGCACAGATCATGAAGGAAGAGATATTTGGTCCTGTTGCGGTACATATCTGGTTAATGATCTCTGACTGGACCTCCCGTCACTAACGAGCGAGAAAATAGTCAATTTCAACTTTCAAAACCGAGGAGGAGGTGATCGAAAAGGCGAATGACAACGAACACGGTCTGAGCTCAGCGGTTTTCACCAAAGATGTCGACAAGGCGTATCGTGTTGGAACAGCATTGGAAGCTGGACAAGTGACCATTAACTATTGGGGCGGAATCAATGCCAATGCGCCCTTCGGGGGGATTAAAGAATCCGGTTTTGGTCGAGACATGGGCGAAGAGGCTCTAGATGGTTGGTTGGTGTCCAGAACACTGAAGTATAGCATTCCGTGGTCCAAACTATAGCGCAGGCATCTTTACGGGATGCTTGCTGTATTACCACAAAGCAAGGTTTCTTTTATCTAGATCCTTGCAGGTGGAAGATTGAATTCCTATTTTGATATGAATTAATAATAAAATCCCTTATCGGAAACTGACAACTCGGTATGAAGGGGCATGATATTCATTTCCAAGACTTCCTAGTCTCATGACGATATCAAAGACTACGACGTCAAGTCATGAATGCAACCTACCTATTTATTGTGCCTCTTAAGGCACAACTTAGGAATTAATGACTAGGATTACTCGCTTAAGGGAGATCGATCTTCTAACTCAGGATAGGACAATCCACCAACAGCTTGTGCGGCCTACCCACCGCAAGATCGGCCCGATAAGCCGTCAGTCGGCACTAAACTCTCTCGAAACAGATAAAAGCCCTCACATAAGACCACTTACTTCTATCAATGTAGATTTCCAGCCGTTGACAATTTGTCAAACGAATACGAGAGCGAGGTATTTGCACCTATTTCGACCCACACGACTCGGGTGAGGTTCAATGACATTATTAATCATATGGGGTTGTGCCGAGTTAAAAGACTACCTTACCCCTCTCTGTCAAATAATAAGGTCAAAATATTGATTACCCACGTCGCAAGTAGTTTGTCGTTGATCACAATGAAGTCCGATTACGTTCTCGACTCCGCTCAGTTTTCTCCTCTTAATGCTAGCAAAGGTGCGGAGATTGCATGTGCGTTCCTACGAAAAGGAGATGAAGAGAACAAAGATAGCCTTGTACGTCAAGCTTCATTATTTATAGAGATCCAATCCGATCTGTTTTGAGTAAGTTGATGACTTTTAACATTCTAACCGGTCATTTGAAGGGCGACATGGAGAGGATGAGAGCAAGGCCAGGAAAGACTGTCCTTGAAGGCGAAAATATTGAGATTCAGTCAAGAGATTCCGGCCGTACCATTCCTTGCCGGGTCGTGCTACCAAAGGCCGGACGAACCAGCGTCACTGGTGTTTTCCTCCATTTTCACGGGGGAGGCCTTTGTGAAGGCGGCCATGACGAGTCAGTGTCCTTCGTAAATTCTATTCTGTTGTGAAAAAGGGCCTAACTTTCTCAAATGTAGAGTCGACCCTCTTCTGCATCGATTTGCCAATGCCTCTCGATGCACCGTTGTCTCTGTGGGCTATAGACTTGCTCCGGAGAACGCATATCCCAGCTGCATACACGACTGCTTTGATGTTGCAGATTATGTTTTTGAAAATGCAGCCGAACGTTTTGGAGGTCCTTTGCAATTTATTGGGGGAGAGGTGAGAATGACTCTTCTTTGTCAACGAAGTGGTTTCTTTCTTGACGTTCGTTCAACTAACTTTGCGAAAATTCAAACCAACTAGTCTGCTGGTGGTTACCTTACTATGCAGACCTTCTTCCATTTGGCGGGAGCCCATGAGGACTGGAATTCCCTGAAAGGATTGGTTTTAACGTACGGAGTGTTTTCGCTCTCATATCTCCCGACGGTGTTCACTACTCCTGATCCAGTATGCGTTGATGCCAAGAAAATACTTTGGTACTACAAGGCCGCATTCCCTGTAAATGAAGAACAGCACTGGGAGGTGTGCAAGGAACTGGAAAAAGAATTTGGCATTCTTGCACAGCCGGAGTTGCCATACGACGCACCCCCCAAACATCCAGCCATATCCCCATTATTTCGCAGCTTGGAAAAGCTACGCTCACGGCTACCAACTGCATTCTTTCTCTGCGGTACGGCGGATCCTCTTGTTGATGACACAATTTTGATGTCAGCTCATTGGCAGATTGCTGGTGGTCGCGCGGTTGTAAAATTTGTCACTGGCGCTCCCCATGCTTTTGTCGAACTTCCACTCGAACTTGCTGATTGTTGCGTGAAGGGGAATGAACTCATCCAGGAATTTCTTGACGAAACTAGGCTCTCTACATAAATAGCTTAATCCGTAACTGCTTGTCAACGCTCTATATAGCTATATTTTTGAACATATTAGGTCTAGCAAGCTAAATATTTGGTCAAAATAAGTCTACCTTACTTCACACTTGTTGAACAACAGGCTGGCCAAAAAACAAATACTGCGTTGAACGGTTAGGTCAATCAATACACTGAAAACTTTGACGTTCAGCGTGGAGAACAACTATCTTGACGCAGCCTAGATGTGCGCAGATTGATAAAACAATAAGACTGGGTGTATGTTCAGTAAGAAAGAGTTAACGCGGGGGCGATTTCGACTTTCCACCTTACTGATACAAATATTCCCGTCCAGTGGATCAGTTATGTTATCTAAAGGTTCGAGTACATGAATGGACACAATATTCGGTGGGTATAATGTCCCACTAAGGACAAGGTTATATCGTATTCATCCTAATTCTTTTCAATTGTCTATGCTTAAAGTAAACTAGGGGTGATAGCCCAATTCCTATGGCGGGCAGCACTTTTGAATGCAACTGCATAGCGAGGAGTTTGCGAGGAGTAGAGAAAGTGATGGTGCTGCCTCGGTGAATAAAAAATGTATCACCAGGCTGCAACTTGGCGGAATTGCCCTTTTCATCTACAATGTGCAGCTCGCCTGCAATATTAAAGATTAGCCACTGACTTGTTAAGTTGATTCTAGAAGATATCACGTAGTATTTCCTTACCTTTAAGTACGACTCCGGTTTCATCGTAAGAGTAGGTTGGTGCTGGCTCCGGCTTGTCGATTTTCTCGAGGAAGGAAAAGCTTGATGTCAACGGATTGGAGGCATCGCTTGAAGCAGTGCCGTAGATGTCATCTAGAAGAAGATTAGACTAGATCCTGATGAGCAACTGGCTACTATCTTACCAAACCACACATTTCGTGGGCCAGGATCCAGTTTTGGAACTCTGTGGAGCTTTCCTTCGTCATGCCACTCGAAGCCCATTTTGCTTGCAGGTGATTGTTGAACTTGACGATAAAGGTTTCTGTTCCAAGACCGCCTATAATTCAGAAATGGTTTGGCAATTCAAATGGGAAGTACAACCAACATGGATCTCTCATATAGAGTTCAGAGATAAGTGACTAAACCCATTGAGGGGTGCGTTGCAAGTGGTGGGTTACTGGAAAAACCTGACCAATTGCATGTTGATCCTGGAAATGGAGACTTCTAATCTACAGACACCACGAGGAAGATTACGCCTTGGTTTCGACCTTGGAGTTTCCAGTAACTTGCACAGCCTGGCCAAATACCCATGTAACAGGCATTACACGCCGTTGGACCGAGAGTGTAATCCAACCTGGATGGACTTGGGTATCACTTGTGCATAAAACAAAGAGTTGTCCACCAAATCAAGAAACTTCATATCCCGCCTCAAATCGACAGCACGCTGAGGAATTCTAATTCATCCAAAAACAAATTCTCAACGATAATTACTGATTCATTTGAGCGCCACGATGGCACCAACTCGCCCTCTCGATGTCATCATTGTTGGCGCCGGTTTCGGTGGCCTCACTGCCGCTATTGAGTGCAAGCTACGCGGCATGAATGTGACCCTTGTTGAGACATATCCGACAAGTCTAAACTATGGCGACATCATCGACTTCTTCCCCAACGGTGGCCGCATCATCGAGAATTGGGAGAACGGCCAAGTCGGACGTGACCTGATGAAAATTTGCATCAACCAGGGAGACCAGTTCGAGTACTTCAAGGCTGAAAGTCTTCGCTGGCGACGTGGTCGTGGCTGCTGATGGACCTCGGTCTATTGCCCGACAGCAAGTTCTTGGCCTCCCGGATACCAAGGTGAACAGCGGCTATGCCATCTTTCGCGCCTACTTCGCCCTCACCGAGGAGCACGCCAAAAATCCTTTACTGAAGGAATTCTGCGACCAAACTGTTGATAAAACTTTGCTATGGATAACAAAGGATCTCCACATGATTATTTACACATGGAACAAGGGCAAGGATCTCGGATGGGTTCTGACTCACAAGGTACGAGTTGATTTACCAACGATTGCTAAGAAGTAACACTAACATGGTTCTTGTAGGGTACGGAGAATATTGGTGAATCATGGTCTTTTCCAGGTCGCAAGCAAGATGTGTTGGACTGTTTGGCGCAGGGCGAGTTTGAGAAGCGTCTTGTTGAAGTTGTAAACGCCACTCCTGAGAAGAACATTGTCGATTACAAGCTCGTGTGGCGTGACCCTCTGGAGACCTGGCTCAGCCCCTCAGCTCATACTGTGTTGATTGGGGACGCCGCTCACTGTCACCTTCTAACTTCTGCTCACGGCGGATCCCAAGCCATGGAGGATGGTGTTGCCTTGGCCGTTGCCTTGGATCGCAGCCAGGGCGACGTCGCTCTGGGGCTGCGGGTATTTGAAAGAATCAGATTCAACCGCTCCCATGTCACTCACATGGCATCCATTGCGGTGCGAGATGGGTATCATAACGTCGACTGGGATGGTGATTTCATCCGGGAGAACCCGCATATTCTGGCACTTCCTCGGCCTGAGTGGGTTATCGAGTATGATATTGAGAAGGAGTCAGAGAAGTACTTTGAGAGGTTGGCAGCCGATGTGAGAAATGGGAGGCAAGGAACATTTCAGCAGCTGGCACTTCCCGCTAGAGGCGATTATGAACCGAAGACATTGAAAAGAAAGGGCCCTCAATCGAAGTTTTGAGGCTGCGAGCATGAAATGTAATGTGCAAGGATGGATTTAGAGTTGTTTATAGAGCCACTTTGATGGAGAAATTAAATCTTTTCGAATATCACTTCCTACATCCCAGACTCCAACAGAGTCATAATGGTTCTCGAGTTAACTTACTCCTGTGCATAGACGATGGGAAGCGTAATCTGAGGATGGATGATAACCCAGCGTGCCAAACTCTGTGTAATATTTCCGCCTTGTCTGACATTGGGATGCAAATGAACAAACGCCGCCGGTCGCTTTCCGAATGGTAGGTTTGTATGCTCCTCTGTGGTCCCCCATGGTCTTTATACGAACTACTGTAACCTAGACCCCCCTCGTGTCATTCTCAATATCGATGTCAAGCAGGTAGAAGTTCCGGGCAAGCCCGAATAAACGAATTGTGGACCCAGAGAGGGTTTCCTTATTGGGCTTTATTCAAGCAGGATATTCCGCCATCTTAAGTGTAAATAATACTTCAGCCATTGTCAGCTATGAAATGCCTACAATACAGGTAAGATCAGGTTCGTGAAAGTTTTGGCTGTGGTTCGCCGGCTCTCCGTCATTGGCAGGATTGCATGATACGAGTTTGAGAAACACAATCGGCATTCTAATTGCTGAGTGTACCTTGGGGTGGGCTGATGTTACATTATCTCCTCAAATATATGTCTCGTTCTGTCACTGGTGAATCTAGCGACCATTATTAATCCCGATCTCTGGGCAGCTAACAGGGCTTCAGTCATAGAGACCACAACGATGGGCCAACTAATTAGAGAAAAAGCTGGAATTTTCTCGATTTCCTGGTGCATCAATGAGTTCCATGTTATCAATCAAATGTCCACCATTTCCGCAGTTCCTGTTCAATTTTAATAAATGAAGACACATATTTCTCAACTTTTCGTCCAGATCCTACTCGTGTTCATGAAGAGAACTTTGATGATGCTGAGGTCATCAACTAATGGATAATGCATGTGTCTGGTGACTTCTCGTTTCTCCTCACAACCAGGGGTCTTATTGAGGGAATTTCCGGCCATTGCACCTATACGCTGCTTTCGCTTTACTCATAACATATTCATCCATTGCCAAGGCACGGTGACGGCAGGCCGTAGGCAAGAAATAGGATGGTTAGGCGCTGTCACCAGAAGTTCCTGCATTGTGATATCGACTTTTGTCTTCGTATCGTAACGGTTAGCAGGGGTGCATAGTGAAGATCACGCGCGGGGAGCCATCTGATAGGCCCTGCAAATGCACTTCGCCTCGTGTCATCCTCCGCTATTATCAACCCGGCATGCTTAACAATGTACTGCCGCGGCCTTGGCTCCTGGGGTCGCTCAATGGCCCGCACAACAGAGTTACTGGTTTAGGCAGGTTCTTTTGGAACCGTCATTAGCGTAGGATGTCAGCATAGGAAGGCCAAGAGTGTGCTCATCGTCCCTGTATACAGAGGCCGACTTGGATACTACCTGCCGCCGATCAGTGACATGGGTATGCTTATCCTTGGACGCTAGACGGAGCTTTCTCACGCGAGGCGAGCCCAAGGCTGTTTTCCCAGAGTTCAGGAATCGCGATGGGAAACGATTGTCACTCTCGTGCTTGACAGGTCTCTAAGCCTTAGATGAATCATACACAGCGCAATAAGCCAGATGTTTATTAAACAGAAATCAGTTGTATTGACAACAGGGAGCCCCCCTTTGTATGCAGTGTTCACAATCAGTAGCTACGGGCTGTTACCGTTGAGAACAAGCCAATCAAAACCTCACAAGAGGCGGCATATTGGCCGCATTTCACCAACCGACCTGCCTCGCTGCGCCTTATCTGACCACTCTATGGAGAAGTATCCCTCCACTTGCATTGTCGCCCACCGAATTGAGTGAGTGTGATTCGTATTAAGCTTCACCCCGGTCACGGCACGGCAGCTTCCCTGTCAGGAAGGTGAGCGAACTTACTAGTGTCGAATGAATGACTATTAGTGATCATGAAGCGGAACGTTGAGATGATAAATAGGACTCTCGTCTCCCGATCAAATAGTCAATCTCCAGACTTTGGATATCCATTGAAGCATAAGGGAGAAGTCGCTGCCATCACTACCATTTTGTTGTCTTTGTTAGTTGGAAAGCCAATCTCTGTCAACAACTTCACCTACCAAGATGCGTACTTCTCTGCTCCTCGCGGTCCTTCCGTCGGTGTTGTCGGCCCCCGCCGGGCGATCTGAGCCTGCCCGACTCCTGTCCAGAGGTGAAGGTGCAGACGTTGTTCCAAACAAGTACATCGTCAAGTTCAAGGACTCTGGCGCAAGTGCATCTGTGGACAGTGTTTTGAGCACGGTTTCCGCATCAGCTGATCACGTCTTTGAGCATGTCTTCAAGGGATTTGCTGGCGAGCTCACGCCAGAGGCTCTAGAGAGTCTTCGCAACCACCCCGATGTACGTTATTGCTGCTCCTGTCTGAGAATATTGTTTGTTTCTAACATTGAGGCTCTTAGGTCGACTACATTGAGCCAGACACTGTTGTCACTGTTGATGGCTTTGTCAGTCAAGAGAATGCCACATGGGGTCTTGGTCGCATCTCACACCGCGCACATGACGGTTCTACAACATATGTATATGATGAGAGCGCCGGAGCCGGCACTTGTGCATATGTTATCGACACTGGAATTGATGTCAATCACCCTGTAGGCTTACCATCTTTCCTGTTGTCTCAAGAGTTGTGCTCAAATTGACTAACGATATGTAGGAGTTTGAAGGCAGAGCCACTTGGTTGGTCAACTTCGGAGATGATGAGGACACCGACGGATTCGGCCACGGCACCCATGTCGCTGGAACAATCGGCTCCAAGTCATACGGCGTTGCCAAGAAGACTTCCCTATTCGCCGTCAAGGTCCTCGACAGGAACGGTGGCGGCACCACTGCCACTATGATCGCTGGCTTGGACTTTGTCGTATCTGACGCAGCCACGCGTGACTGTCCCAACGGCTCAGTGGCCAACATGTCTCTGCGCGATACTCCTTCGGAAGCTCTCAACGCAGCCGCTGCTGCCCTGGTGACGAACAATGTCTTCCTGGCTGTCTCTGCCGGCAATGCCAACCGCGATACCTCCAGCCAGTCTCCTGCGGCTGAGCCCACAGTGTGCACGATCGGTGCCACCGATATCAATGATGTCCGCTCAACATTCTCCAACTTCGGGCCAGGAGTCGATGTCTTTGCCCCGGGTACTAACATTCTTTCTACCCTCCCCAACAACGCTACAGTATGTTTATTTCAGTGTACGCTTCCTAAAAAGCAATGTGGAAAACTAACAGTTTTTGCAGGGTTTCAACTCTGGCACATCAATGGCCACCCCCCATGCTGCCGGCCTGGCTGCTTACCTCGCCGGTCTTGAAGGCTTCCCTGGTGCGGATGCTCTCTGCACACGCCTCAAGGACCTTGCTACTCCTGATATCTTGACCGGCATCCCCAGTGATACCACCAACAAGTTGATCTTCAATGGAAACCCCAGCGGCAAATAATTGAGTTATCTCTGCAGCTGATACCTATTTGAACCTCATCATTTATCCAAGATTAATTCCATTAATAAATAGATAAAGATAGAGTAATCATAACTGAACATATATAAGCCACCAAATAAGAGCGCCAAATGCACACTTCTTATTCTCGCGCGTGCTCTTGGACTTTGGTTTCCTTCAGACCCAGCTCAGTTGAAGAATATACATAACAAATATTAAGGACTCCCGCAATGAATTTGTAATTCGAATGTTGTGTTGGAGAAGAACAACAACCAACCCACATCGTAGATAAAGAGAGAAGCCACATATACTGAAGGGTCAAGACATGGATGAGGATCTATATGTCATATAAACTTGGGGCTTTTCTTCACGGTTCATTCATTAGATCAAATGATTCATGCCGGTTTTCGCTTTGCACTCAAGAAGGCCCAAAAGCACGGCGGGATAACTCACCTTCCAAAGGTTGGCATTTCCAAAAGAGAACGTGATTAGAGGCAAAGATTATGTGAATTTTCTAACTACGAAATCTAGCTACCTTATACAGGCCTTTCCACAGATAGCAGGTGGTCCGCTATCTACTACATTCTCTCCGCCATTATGGCGAAATAAAGGTCATGCTATCATAGCTTGCTTTGAGAGAACACTACTTTCTAATCTCATTTAAATCTCAAAATTCAAGAGAAAGGGATTGCGCATTGCCGAGCATGAGATTCATGAGCAAGTTCGATAGTCTTCAGTCCACATGCTGACACCACCCACCTAATTCACCCCTTCTTCCACGCCTTAGCCATCAACTCAGCAATCGTCATAGGTTTGACCTCAGGATACCGATCGTTGAGGCGCCCTTTCTTGGGTAGCTCCAGCCCTCCCTCAATGAGTTGCAATCCAATCATAGAAATCATCATCCTCGGATCCATTCCGCCATAGCTTGAATCATCGAGCAAAGTAGCTTCATTCTTCTCTAGCTTCTCTTTGCTGTCGTGGGTTACGCTGAAATCTTCACCTGTGGTGACGTTAGCTTCTTGTTCTCTTTTTTCAGCTCCCGTCCATACTTGCCTGTATACTCCTGAGCAAGAGTGAGGATCTGGTTGAATGACGTATCGGATCCTGAGACAATGCTATACTCAGGCCAATCTCCGTCCTCGAGCAGGCGTTCGATGAACCGAGCGACATCCTTTGAGTATGTCATAGATAAGATTTCATCGCCGGAGCCAGGTATTGCAGCACGGCGTTTAGCAATGTTAACACCCCAGACAAAAGGCTTAAGGTGGGAGGGAATGTTGGGGATGCCAAAGTAATCCATGAAGACGCCAATAGCAAAGCGTGTATACTGCAAACCTGACTCGCGGAGTGCATCTACTGCGCGTAAGACCTCAATGGTGAAGTCATTCTCCTCGGCGCTATCGAAACAAGTAAGCATATGGGTGTCTTCATATACATAGTGCACCCGGGGTTAACCTACTCAGGAGGAGTATACGCTGCATACTCGCTTGGAATGAATCTTCTAGTACTCAGAGCCTTCTTCGCCCCGTCAATTAGCTTCAGCTGCCCCTCTAAACCATGTCCCAGTGCAGAGATAACAGTATCAACGGCCTTGGCGTCGAGAGTTGCCGCAATAGCGTCCGCGTCGTTATAGTCGATAACGAGAAGCTTAGCGCCAGGGACAGGCGATTCACCTTGCTTTAGCTTAATGTTAGAGAATAACGCTTTGTAGAGGGGTTATAGACATTTGTAGATAGTACCTTGCGGGATAGTATGTATATAGTGTGCTTTCCAGACCCGACCAGATGCTCAGCGATAGTCCGACCGACATCGCCGGTACCACCTGCTACTGCAACGATACCCATGGTAGTTCAATAGTAGTAAATTTAGCAGTAGAGATTGGATTTTGCTTTGATTGGCAACTTGGCTGGCAAATTGGCTTGTATTTATATACTACGTACTTTACAATCCTGCGGACTTTGAAGGCGGGATCCATTCACCCACCACTTGCATCTCCGCGTGCTACAAGTAAATACTCGGGCCCCGCGGGTACCGAACCGCGCGCGTAGGTCTGTGATTATGAATCGCAAGCCATTTTCATGTCCTTCTACGATGTCACTCCTCTAACTGCTATGGATCTTGCTCAACTCTCAGTTCAAGGTTGGAATTACTCCGCAGCACACGTTGTGATCATGCAAAGGGCATCGGAGATTAAACCACGACATGGCATTTCAGTCTAGGCCTTCTGGCCCCTTTAGTGCCTTGTAGAATTGATTTCGCAGGCATTTCGCTTCTGAGAAGTAGCAAGACGTATCAGACCATGTTTAACGGGTCTGGTTAGCACCTCAGTCTCTAGAACGAGTTCATATCTCGATTATTATTGTGTTTAAACTAGCATCAAACCTGCTTCTAATTCTCTTGAATGGTTTAAGGAATAGCCCTCTTTTCCTATAAATCCTAAAGTTACTATTAGCTCGCTGTGAAATGAACTTGTTAATATCGTCACGAACACTAACCGCGAGAGGCGAATATCCTGAGCTGGTCAGTTAGCAATAACATGGAATACAAGGACATGAATGATAATTTTTCAGAGAAAAGCAATAATACCCTCAATAGAACTTGTGCAGAGAGGCCATATTCTTCATCCACCCTCCTCTGTTTCTTCTCTGCTAGCGCCCCAGCCCAAATTCTCTCTGGTGCCTCCTGCTGAAGATTAAGCGAATCTCACAGCTGTACAACCTAGTCGATCATCTCTCTATAAACCCGGGCCGGCGGATCGAATTCCACAGAATGGCACTCCAGGGAGCATCATATATCAGATGTCCATGTGACATCGTGACGTGACAACATTGACGACGGCAGGGCTGCAGCTGTGGCGTGACTCCCTCTCGAAACAGGAATATAGCATAGAATACGCTCAGCATTTGGGCACTTTGGCGGGGTTTCAAGGCTGATTTTTGTTCTGTTGGTCCATTGTGGAGACTTCTAGGCAGCTTCGACATGGCTTTTGTTGGTAGGCAGCATCAGCAAACCCAGCAACACCAAACGAAGCAGAATGGGAGATTTATTTAAAGGGACAGGTTGCCGCCATGAAAAAAAAAAGGGGGGGAAAGAGCCTTGATTGAGGGTTGAATATTCCTCTGCCTAACGATCAAGTTACCTTGTTATATTGATCCTTTAGAAAAGCACGATGGCTTTTCAGAAGCATCCAGCCCTTCTCTTTTTACCTCTCCTATGGCAGTCCTCAGCCGTTGCTGCACTGCCACACACTCTCACCTCTACCACTCCTGACCTGTTGAAGCGGGACTCAAGCCCCAACAAGGATTGTTCATCTTGCTTTGGCGCCATAATTGCCGTCGTCATAGTTTCGGCAACTCTGCTATTTATGTGTATATTCACCTGCATCCGCCAGTCATGTTGCCAGTCCCAACGAAGAGCAGAAAGCGTTCATTCCGTGCCAGATTCGTCTACATCAGCATCCACTGGGATGCCTCAAGAGCCTCCGCCTGCTTATACGCCATCGGCTGACGGTAAAAACGGGCCGAAATGAAACACGATCTGAGACCAGAGTGTGTCGAGAAAGCCGTTGCAGCGCCTCTTCGTAGGCTTTTAGGCGACTCTAGAACATCATCGTCCTCTGCGACAAATATATTCTCAGCCGAAAAATCAAATAAAAAAAAAACGACTTTGTGCTTCTGGGTTTCTGACGCAGCTCGCCATCCAATCGCGAGGTGCTACCCTAGACCGCATTCATGAATTGAAGAATGATGAAAGAGGAGGGCGGAGTAGATTTTTTCAGCCTAATACCCAAGTCGGGAGGGTTATTTGCATTGATTTTCCTTTAAATATTAATAGAGCATTACATACCCGTTAATTCCAGACATGAAGTTGGATGATGGTGGACAACACGTTCTGGCTTCACCTACACAAGATCCTCAGAACCACGCGAATTACTGTTGTATTTTGCTAGCGCCATAGCGTCTGTGCCTGGGAGCTAATACAGGTCGATCATTCGGTCTAATTTCTGTGTTAAGAATAAGTCCCGCCGAAACTTGCGTCAGGACTGATGTCTGCTACTGAAACTTTAACCTGGCAAAATGCTCCCGCGTGACACGAACAAGGATGTGTGAGGCGCGAACTTGTCACTGCGTAAGACGGAGCATTTAATGGTACAGAGTTTGTCCTTACCCGTCCAGGTACGCTTTTATGACGACATCACTGAGATCTACCGAGTTCCAGCTTCGGTCGTATCACGGCTTGGGCTTGGCCAGTCGTGTTCTCCGGGGTGGTGAATTGATTAATGGGTGATTGGAAGCCACAGGGAACGGCCAGAAGCGCCTAGGTCACGAGCAACCACGCGATCCCACGCACGCGTACTCCGTAGACGGGCATTAATTCAGGGCAAGAAGAAGCAAGCAAGCGCTCTTCATTAATTTGGTGCATCGCCCCTGTCGCTGTGGCGCGGGCTGAAGCGTGACACGCGGGTCTAGACTCTCACCCACCAGCGGTGTACGCGATGGTGGGTGAATCAGTTACGCCACATGCTGCGACGCAACCCATTCCGCTCCCCTTCATTTCCTGCTTTATGCAGTGATCAAGAGCAATCATCATGGCCTTGATCGCTCCTCCCGAATCGTGTCTCTTGGGTAGGCAGCACCTCGTCATGGCAGCCTCCCTCTGCAGGGAGCCGACCTGAGTGTAAGACAATTGAATTAAACCAAACGAAAATCACAACATTTACCCTGGGCACCTGCAGACTGGTCAAATGAACAAGAAACCTGATGGTGCCAAGGTCTCAGCAGCCAGCCGAGTAGGACAGAACTTGGTACCAAGCCATCATCTTGCCATGATGTAATCAATCGCCGAACGTGCCTCCATTTTCTAATTTTCCAGGCTACTTTTAGTCTTCTGCGTATGCGTACATTCCATGATTGAACGTGGGGAAAACCAACAATGAAAGAGTGCACTTGTGTTGATGATCAGTGTTGCTGCCAGTGGTGCAAGGACGCGCGTCAAAGGGCTTGACTGCTGGATACATGCATCAGCCAAGCGTTTGGCCAGTGGCTGGGCGTTTCCTTGTGCTTGGCATGCGAGGGGATCATTTGTGAGACTGACATGTCTTACCTTGCTGCTCGTCCTGCCCTGATTGATGAGTGCGTATTGGTTGTTGTCCTACGTGGCTCAGCCTAGAGCCAAGAGAACGGCATTTATGAGCCGGGGGGAAGGCACTTGGACTACTCTAGCTGCATCTTCAGCCGCTATTCCTGTTTGGCGACTTGGCTTGTCGTCGTCATCTCATCACGATCACTGAATAACAAGGGAGGCCGCGTTAATAAAGCAGAGAAGCTCGCAGTCCAACTCGTCTAGCTTTTTGTTCATACAGTTATCTTCTCAGTTTTACAATCATACTACGAATTCCAAGCAAAAACGCCTCAATTGCTGTCCCAGGCACGCCCTACGACCCAAGACCAACATGGCTGCCCTCCAATCCAACCTCCTCTGCATCGCTGCCCTGCTGCTCAGCGCAGTGAACCAGTCCTATGCCTTTGCCCTCCCAGCACTCGAAGACCCCTTTGGCAGCCCTCTCCTGGACGCTCGCTCCAGCAACAACAACAATAAAAAATCCTCCACAGCCAGGAAGCTCGCCAAGGGTGCTATCATCGGTATCGCGGTCGGTGTCGCCGTCTTCGTCCTCATCATCGTTGCCCTGATTGTCTGCTGCTGCATGAGAAGACGCAAGAGCAAGAAGGCACGCGAGATTGGCCAGTAAACAACCACCCCTCGCTTGGATAGACGACAACGGAAGCGATACCAAAACGAGACGACACTCTGCCCTCTCTCGGCATGGTGGATAACGAATTCCTTTTCCTTTGGCAAGATGCATGATGTTGGATGTTGTGTGAAGCACATATCACTCTATACCCGCTTGGATGAACACCAGGCATCACGGTTGGTCGCGCAACCAGGGCGATACGAGGAGTCGGGCGATTTTTGGCTTTGGGTGCATAATAATAAGTTGGAATTGGTTGGCTGTTAGATGGAACTCTACACAGTTCAAAGAAACCACCTCTTCCGTGTACCCAGTTTTTAAACCAAACAATACCCCGACGAAGTTCATTACCTATACTCTAATAAAATATAATTTAACTAGTTCCAATTACTCTTGAGTGACATGATACAAGGAGGGGATAATTCTTCTCAGCAATAAGGACACGCAAAGCAATGTTCTACCCAAAGAGAGGGTATCAGATGCTGACAGCGTGCTGTCAGTTCCCAATACCTGTTGCAATATCAATTTCGGCTTCTATCTATTAAGCAAGGAGCAGAGCTCCAGCACGTGCCCAAACAAATGTTCGGTCTCATGATCCCCTTCAAAGTCAAGCAACGTCAACATTAGCCAATCCAGCAATGGACAACTATCTTGCTAGAACATGTTTGCCTCGCCCACTCCGGCTTTTTTTTTTTAATAAACTCCAGAATGGATAGGGCAAATAATTCATAATTCTCGAGGGCAGCGCGAGTGGCTTGCAGTCAACCTTTCAGCCTCTTTTGTTGTGACTCATGCGGCAACAATCCATCCAGCTAAAAAGAAAGATTCATCGCCGGACCGTGAGTCGAACACGGGTCTCATGCTGCACCATAGCATGCATCCTACCACTAGACTATCCAGCCTTTGTCCTTTGTTGGTGGTATTGAAGTTGAAAGTACCATATAAAGATTAACTCAGGGCCGTCTACCCTGCTGCACACTATGTGATGCCCGTGGTTTAAGCAGTAAAGCAGGTTGGAAATGTAGGGAGAGTTCGACTTCCGTGACTCTTGACCAGATGAATCGTTGGTCATTTGATGTTCCATGATCTAGACAATACTGAACACCTCTGTTTCCTCCTCCACCCCAGGTCTTGTCAGATATTCACCATGCATGATGCTTTCAACAAAACACTCCCCAATAAACACAAATTTCGCACTGGCACCTCCCGCGTCTGGCTTCTGTCGGAGGAGATACGGGATATCGCCTCCGTCAAGAAGGACGACGACGTCCCCGGCTTTTGCCATCCAGGGGCAGAGACCCCACTGCCCATCTTCCGTCACAAAAAAGCACGGCTCGAGGCACGGTGTGAGCTTCTGGGTCGGCTCATATTGGACCTCGCCTGCCCACGAAGGAAACAATGCCTGGAGTGCAGGTTGTGGTAGGTATCTCCAGTGGCTGTTCAAGTGGTCGCCGTACTCCCTCTGTCCCCGCTCTCTGGTGTTCTCCTTTTCGGAGAAAACAGTCTTCAGACTCCAGAAGCCAGTGTATCCACAGGGATCCAAGATCTTGTCAATAACAAAAGGAAGATCTGGCCGCTCATCCATGTCCATCGTGTACGGGCTGAATAGCTCCATGGGTATGTGCCCGAGAGCAGTGATGCGTGAGACTCGACGCCCGGAGAGATCCAAAACCAGAGGTTCAGGCGATTGGAGGAGTGTTAGATCAACTTCTCGCGAGCTGGCGGCGCGAAACCTTCCCAGTTTCTGTAGCGAGGCGGTTGCCCAGCGGGACAGTCCCTCACCGTGGACCGCCCAACTTGGTTGGTTGGGATCCGGTACGTTTTCATGCGTGTCGCAGCTGGTCCGTTGCCAAGTACGCGCGGTTTGGCTATGGATGGCGGACAGGATGGCCAACGAACGGTTCTCTTTGATCCACCATCTCGTGAAATCTGCGTACACTTGAGCCGTCGACTTCCGATAATCAGGTTTGATTAGTTCATCGAGATCTTGTATTTCATTCGTTTCCTTTCCAAACGTCAGAAGCGCAAAGACCTTATCTCGAGGGTCAGTAGAACGAAGATCGTGGCCCGCGATGAAAACATCCAAGATATTGGGTAAATAATCAGAAAGTGCCGCTGCGGTTTGCCTACCATTAATGGCAGCTCTGAGGTTCTTCCATATAGGCGCCATGAGGATCTCAGACTGTATATGCTGCGCCTGAAGCTGGTAGGAAAGGTCTCCTATCCAGCCATTCACCTCGGCGACTTCATCCCAAGTCACCATCTCCTCCGAGCTGTAAAGGAAGGCCTGGCGAGCAAGTGTCGCTTCCTGCACAACCCAAACACGGGTGAACCAGGGATGAGAGAAGAGGGCTGACATCATGATCTGCAGGTGCATCCCATGTTGCCCACCGGCCCAGTCCACCTCATCGGGGGAAAAGGAGTGCTGGAAGGTGTCGAAAACCTCATCCATGCGCTGCCAAGATACAAACTCTCCAGCCTTTTGCTTCCTCTCCACCAAGTCATCCACCACTTTGAGCTCAATCGAATGATGGGTGCCGGTGCATTGGCATGCATCTCCCCCGGGACAGGCTCTCGAGTTGTAATTGGATATGTTGCGGACGAGGCGGAGCGCGGTGTTGACAATGCTCTGGTCCTCCCCCAGCCAGATGTGCACCTTGTCCGCAAAGGAGTAGATTTCCCTCATCAAGGCCACCTGCTGAGATCGTTCTATGGGGTCCGCTTGGTTGACGCAAATGGCGTCGATCCATATCACCAGACGCTCCTCCTTCGTCCTCAATCGACGGATCGCAGCTACAACCGTCCCCCCAGCACGAAAAGGCCTTTTATGAGTTCCGTGTTCATCCGTGACAGAGATACTCACGTCTACGGTTTGCGTAGAATCGCCCCAGCAATAGGATAGAGCACTAAAGCTCAGATGCTCGGTCAGACTGGCAGACAGCCAGGACAATTCCAACTCGTCATCCACCTTTGCTGCCGGTTGCACGACCAAGAGGCGGATCTCCTTCGCCTCGGGGTCCAAAGGTTTGCTATAGTGATATTCTTGAGCAGTTGCCATGGAAGGAACTCTAACAATTTCGATGGCTGGTTTGTACTCAATCTCAATACGGCACTCCTTGATGATGTTGGTCCAGGCTAGATATTTGGCTTTAGGGATGAGCTGGATGACATCTCCGCTCCGAAGGGCCTGCAGCCAAGTCCAGCGACGCGCACCGGACTCAGCACTCCAGCGAACAGTGTGCTCGCGAAATTCCGGGACACCAGGATCATTGGCCATGATCCCGATGGTGCGCAGACTGGATCGGCCAAGCGGGCGCCGCACCGAAGCCATGAACCAGGTAAACGACGCCTCCCTGGAGTCAGCCCATCCTATTTCCTGGGGGTTAGTGGCGCATCATCAGTAGACAAAGGGGGTCGTCCTCTTCACCTTGATCTCGCGAGACGGATGTGAACGTGACGCAGACAACCTCTGCTGCATCTTGAGGGACTTCCAGCTCGATGTAGGCTCGATCAGGACAGTGATCATGCACCGCAGTCATGTGTGCGCGGTGCACATGGTACTTCTTCACGTCTGCCATGGCTTGGAACTGGAAAGCTGTATTGATGTTGAGGACAAATGGAGATAAAACCTCTCCGAAGCTTCTATGTGTGGTGTTATGCGCTGGAACCAGCCTTTTTGCATCTGCTGGTAGGGCTGGAGCTCAATTCCGAAACCCATGCCAATTTCTGGGCTGATTTTTCCAGATTTTCCCAGTTGCATAAATAGCGCAATCCTCCGACGAGCTGACGGTCTAGCAGCCAATATTCCTCCGGCCTCCTCAAAAATCCAGCCATGAGGGTACGGTAGCCCTCAGCCCTACCGAGAGGTGAGATCCCTGACTGTACGGAAGAAGCTTAAATTGATACCCGAAAAGGAAGGTGAAGCAAACATTCTAGTCTGATAGTTCAGGGAAGGAATTCGAAAGGGGGCTCGTTGCCAATCGACACGGACATAGCATTTTGACATTAGCCGAGATGACGAGGACATTGGATCTGAGTGCACCTTCATTAACTTTGCTTACACAATTGTTCCGTGTTTTCCATGAGTGGAATGAACTTGCTAGCCTTGTGGCTATGAGGTTCCGGTTGTCGAAAAGTTGCAGATTCAAGGTGACAAAGTCAACTTGAGCTGACTTACTACTACGGGGATTTACAAGAGTGTGGATAGTTGCCTTGATATCGTGTAAGTCTTCAGAGCTAAGATATCTTGGAAATTTCTGTCTGCTGTTTTTGCCAACGCCGAAATATGACCCAGTGGACAAGTAGACTCCACTAAGAGAGATACAGTCTTTGGGCTGCTGCAGCCATTGTTTCTGGGGGTATATGTACGAAACGATATTTAATCGTATGAGTTCCACCGCTTTATTGTAAGGGTATCCTAGGATATTAGTGGCGAAGATGACGAGATTGCTGGAAAGCCGCGGTCCATTGTGATCACTGACCATTATTTTAAGCATCAGGGTCGCTTTTTGGGCCAGAGAGTTGAACGGATCACCGAGTATCTTAAAAATTCGCTTACTATGCACATCTACGGTCTGATCAGATTGTTTGTACCTTACCTCGAATATACCAGATCATGTACGGTGGCGTTGGAGAGACAATCAGCACCTTGTTCCATAAAATGAGTGAGCATAACTTTAATTTGTTCTGGCACCTTGCCATTGACGTCACATCAGACAATAACAGGTGCAGATGATTTACACCCTTCTAGATACCTCCAAGTCAATATTATTTTTGTCAGTTTAGTAAAATTCATTGGTACAAGGCAAGCCAAGTCTCGTGAGGGTACTTTTGTGACGATCTTTATTCCTAACGAGACGGTTTGATTATGCTTAGAATCCCCGGCGGAGAGAAAGGTGAAACAGAATACATATCACGATGTCAAGCCAAGCTCGTGTCTCAGCCATATATGATTCAGCATGTCCAAAGATCTAAGCCACTTACTCGTTGTCCCCAATCAAAAGAGCGAATGGGGCATCACTGGCATGTATCACAGTTCCAGCAAGCGAATTACTCCGAAACCAGTCATGATTTCCGCACAAAAGGACTATTTCATGGGCTTCTTGACAATCCGCTCCGCTTATACCTCAGAAATTTGCGGCATATACGAAAATTAAAGTCTTTCATGACGCGGCCTGCCTTCCGAGACGCACCAGATTGAACTCAATCATAAGTGGGAGTGATCTGAGATTCAACCTCCAGGATAGAGCATAAATTGACGACGATATCCGTCTTCTTTTCCTTAGTCAAACACATCAGCAGCATTCACAACACAAGCCATCATACAGATCTCAATTAGATACTTTTCATTATCTACTATCTTGTAAGAAAGATTTCAATATGCTCTTCACAACCCTTGCTGCCAACGCCCTTCTCGCTTGCGCCGCCCTCGTGCCATCGGCCATGGCGGATGCCGAGGAGGTTTCTAACGCTGCTCCACTGGATATCACGGTCAAGTTCAACAACAACGAGCGTTGCACCGCTCCGGGGCCAGCGCGAGACTATAGCAATGGTGCTTGCATCCCACTGGGCGCTGCGGCCAAAGCGGTTGACATCATTGATCGCAGGGGAAGTTGCAAGCGTAAGTCTCCACATGTACTGTTTACGAACTCGGTTTACTAAGGAATATATCTGTAATTAGTGGTCTCCTATACTGGTGGTGCCTGTTCTGGAAATGCTAGGAATCTCGACAACAACGGATGCTGGACCCTGAAGGGAAGGAAGTCTATTAGGGTCAGATGCTAGACTGTTAGACAATGGTGATCATATCACCCGTAACCGATATAGAGCTTTTCTATTTTTGGTTATCTCTTACGCATTCGTCTACTCCGAAGTCAAATACTCAACTTATTTGATGATAGGGCTGTTTGGGGACTGAATTTTGAGTTGCTAGACATGATTTCTTCGTATTTGTGAGCAAAACACTCATATGAGATCAATACAACGCGTTAAATTGGCTATCTTGAAGTTTACCGTCTCTCTAATCCAATTAAAATGCTTCCAAGAGTAAGCCATTAGTCGTCTACATCACAGCCATTTGGTCATGAAATCAAGAGTATGCGGGCTCCCTTGTTTTTAGGTGGCACGAATGGAGGGCACAAAGGACTGTGCTTGATTGTGGCAACGCATCAGCAGTGCTGAGCATAATGGCATCTCATTTTATTGCTACATGTAAATTCACCGTTGCATAGGAAACCTTTGATTGCGCTTTGTTTTGTTTTCAATTTCATTTAGTTATTTAGCCAGGTTTGCTAGTTGCCCAACGACATATCCAACACTGCAAGAGATAAGCACAACATTTTCTGGCCTATGTACCATCCATCCAAACTCCTTAGGCTACTGGGGGTTTGAAGTGCCGTTTAAGCGGAACCCATGATTCAGAATTGTACTGCCACTGAACCTTACGACACTCTTCCGCTGCCCACTCGGTCACTCCAATCATGAGCGGGCTCTCAAACATGAACGTCATGCTGCCCTCTCCTACCTTGGAAAGTCTTAGCTCTGCATTGCTTGCCTTCTCACGAGTATCTGCATCTGGACCGTGTGCGCTCATCACGTTATGCAAACTCGCTCCGGCCGGTTTGAAACCCCCGCCAGCCTTTGCGTCATAGTCGCCCATGATAAGCCCCATGAACTCAGACATGGTATTACGGTGGTACCAGGGAGGGCGAAACGTGTCCTCCTGCACAAGCCACCGAGGAGGGAAGATGACGAAATCGGCTGTTGGATTTGAGAGGACGGTATATATGCTAGCGTCTGGGTGATCAAAGCTCGTGCTTCCAATGATGTTGAAGCGACCTAGATCATACTTGTATGGATAATACACCCCATGCCACCCGACCACATCGAATGGTGTATTGGTTTGCTCTGCGGAGAATATCTGGTTGTCATATTTCGTGAAGATGGTCCATGTCCCTGGCTCCTCGATGTCCTCAAAAGCGGCAACGGGAGCTTGGAAGTCACGCGCATTGGCGAGGCCGTTGGATCCGATAGGCCCTAGCTCTGGCAACTTGTAGTGACCGTCGTAAAGTTCGAGGATGTAGCCGCGAATTTATCCAGAGGGAAGTCCAACTCGGAACTTGATACCTCGAGGGATGACAACAATCTCATTAGGTCGAACCAGAATGTGACCCAACTCGGTTTGAATATCCATGTCTCCAAGTTGCGGAACGATCAACAAGTCGCCATCGGATGAATAGAATGCGTGTTGTGGAGACATAGAGGCTCCGGCAGCATAGATGTATATTCCAAGCCCAGTTTTGGTTGCCGGGCTCCCAACACCTCCAACTTGCTTTAAGCCATGAAGCCAATCCGCCTTCTCATCAAGGTCAAATGGATCCCATCTGAATTGTGTAGGAACTTGGCTTATCGGAGTCATGATGTTAAAATCGTCCCGCTTCTGAAACGGGAGATGAGCCGCAGAGGGGAGAATGCGGTAGAGCCACCTTTGTAGATTCTCATGACGTGGCGCGATAAACGAAGTTCCAGATAGCTTTTCGGCATAGAGACTGTGGTTCGGCTTCTGAGGCGAGTTTGCTCCAATGGGTAATGTATTAGGAACCGCTTCTGATCTATCTACCATTCAGTACGTTGATTTGAGGTGGGAACAGCTATCAGACATACTCATGATAAGATTGGAAGCCGTTGAGATATTTTTACTTCTCGGCTGTTGAAAATTTTGAGATAGGCATGTTGTTGAAGTCGGTTGCAGAGAGTACTCAGTCTACCTTGCTTTTGGTCAAAGGCTAACTTGAATATTCAGTGAAGATAACGGATCGCTATCTTCAATCCGGCTGCACTATTATAATGAAACTTCCAACCCTTAGAAAACTTCTATCATGCCAACTGATTGACGTTAGGTTGGGCTCTACTAGATTTGACTCGCTGGAACGGATTCCATCGTCCGACTTGGTGCTCCGGTGGGAAAATTGGCACTGATTGAAGGCGGATAAATCGTTCATTGACGAGACTCCACGCTTGTTATGCCACATGCGGTAATATACAAGAACAGCAAGCATCTTAACCATGAACTCGAGAAAGTCACATGTTGCTTCGGAAACTGCATTCGTATCCTGAAAATCGTATCATTATGGCTCCCAAATCCTGGCTCCCGATCGCGGCTCATCCCATTTCTCCCTAGCCAACATCCCCTTTGGCATCATTTCCACCAAGGCACTACCTAATCTTCGCCCGGCATCCATCATCGGAACCCATGTGATTGATCTTCAAGCTTTTGCTGAAGGTGGCGGGTTTTCGCCCCTGGAAGCACTCAAGCCTCACATTGGTGTTTTCTCGCAGCCTCGACTGAATGCATTCGCGGCTCTAGGGCGCCCTATTCACTCTCAAGTGCGGTCGTACCTCCAGGAAGTGTTTTCTGAAGATGGCTCTTATCCTCACATTTTACGAGACAACAGTGACCTTAGGAGCAAGGTACTTATTCTTGCTTCAGAGGCAACCACGCATCTACCTCTGGAGATCGGAGATTATACCGACTTCTTCGCCGGTATCAACCATGCTTTCACTGTTGGCTCATTGTTCCGAGGACCTGAAAATGCTTTACAGCCCAACTACAAGCATCTCCCAGGTACCTACCACAGCCGAGCGTCTTCGGTAGTTGTCTCTGGCACTCCGGTCCGGCGACCTTGGGGCCAAATTCTCACCGCGCCTCCAAGTGTCACGCCTCAAGCGCCAGTTGTTGCCCCTTGCCGACGCCTAGATATCGAGCTCGAACTTGCTGCATTTATCTGTAAATCAAACCCAATTGGCGAGCCTGTGCCTGTTGACAAAGCCGAGCAAAGCATTTTTGGCTACGTCCTGATGAACGACTGGTCAGCCCGAGATATCCAAACCTGGGAGTACGTTCCCCTCGGGCCATTTAATGCAAAGAATTTTGCCACCTCCATCAGCCCATGGGTCGTCCTACCCGATGCCCTTGAACCATTTGCCACGTCCGGGATTGCCAATGACACGGATTTTGCTGCTTACCTTAAGGAAAGTCGGGAATTGAACCAATACGATATCCGGCTCAAGGTTGATCTGACAGCCCAGGAAGGCACCACCACCACCATTACAGAGACAAGTAGCAAAAACTTAATTTGGTCATTCCCTCAAATGATCGCACATCACACATTTTCAGGGTGCCCGATGCGCCCCGGTGACCTTCTCGGAAGCGGGACGATCAGCGGTGTTGTGGGGTCGTGCCTTCCTTTTCGTCAACTAGCTAGCTAGCCAAGAGGCCTCCGTGGCCTCCGGCCACCACTCAGATAACTTGACATCTCCATCCCCTCTTCAATCAATCGGTTCTGACCATAATCCATCCCTTTCCATCGCTATCGTGACCGTGAATAATTGGCGACAACGACAGGGTCGCAGCAAGGGTTGCTACACCACAGCTGCCATTTTTTCTGTCACTCGCGCGCGTTTTTACGCGTCCTTTAGACAGTTTTGCCTGTCTGACTTTGTCCTTCCCCACGCGTCAGTGTGACGCGTCATCACAACAAACCTGGATCATCAATCTGGTCGTGTTTCACCATCGTCGGAGTCATCCGAATCATCGGTGTCGCTTAAATCAATCCCTGACGATCATCTCCCCGTCAGCCTTGACCAATCGCCTGACCTGACAATCAATCAGCTGGCCACTGCCCTGAGATTGGCCCTCAGATCATCATCAGACCCACACAACCTTGCAAACTTCCCTGCCCCTGCTACAGTCCAGGATCAATTGAACCCATCGACAGTCCATCCAGCATCATTGGAGCATCACAGTCCAATCAACATGACCGACTCCCCAACACAAGCGCCGTCCTCATCTCTGTCCTGGGCAGACACCAAACTACCTCCTCCGTCCGAATTTGGCCCCTTCAGTGGTGACGAAGAGGCTGGCCGATGGATTTCACGTTTGAAGTGGGCGTTCAAGGCTGTGAATGCTGGCAACCCACATCCTGCCTGCCTAATCCAAGCTATCTACGCCTTCTCCAAAGGACCTCCAGCTGTATTTCTCAACAGCAACACAAATCTGTCCGGCATACTCCTTCGCGCGGAAAACGGACAGGCCACTGCCAATGATCTTGATTTGGTCACCACTGCCCTTCGAGAGCGATACCCCGAACAGGTCGTGGACGATGACCTGGAAGAAGATTTGACAACACCCCAATCGTCTGGTGAAGCCCTGACCGCCTACTACACTCGCTTCCAGGCTGGATTGAAGCGTGCCGGTGGACGTGATAAGTCTGTTGGCACCAGTAACCTTTCCCAAATCGAGATCTATACCCTACGGACATTTGTCGAGAAGTTTGTCAACGGACTTGAGAATCCTGTCCTTAAAGCCGAGGCTGTCAATCAATCTGCCCTTTCTGCAGATGGCCTGAGAGGTGCCCTGGATATTGTGAAGCGGTCACAGGAGATTATCGCTGCTCGAGAGCGTATGATCAAGGTAGCTGCCAGAGAGGCACGATCCACCATGCTTGAACACTACATCGAGAAACATCTGGGCATGACCCCTGAGGAGATCTTGTCCAAAACCTACGGCGTTGACCCCGAACTGTACAAGTCAGAGAAGTCTGATGCTGGCCCATCTACACCCGTTCATGCAATGTACGCTTTGCTCGACAAGAGCAAGATTCCCTTTGCCCCTAGTCAAATCCCTTCCCCTTTACCAGTACAGGCTGACCACGTCCACTACTCACAAGACCAGAGAAATGGCCCCGCTACACAGTTCAACCAATATGCCCTTCCTGCCCCTCCTGCTCAAAATCCCTCAAATGAGTCATATCATCAGTCAAATGGCTATGGCCGTGGCCAGGACAACTGGCGAGGTAACAGACAGGGATATGACAGAGGGTCGTATAATCGAGGTGGTTATCAAGGATCTTCAGGCAACCGATATGACAACCGATCCAACAATCGATCGACCGGTGATCAAACACCATATAACAACCAGACCTCTGGTCAGGATGTCCGGACCAGTCAGAATTACCAGAACAATCAGTCTGCCCAACACCGACAAGGCAATCAAAGTGGTCGAGGTGAACAGTCCGGAGGACCGTCCACAGCCCAAAAACGAGTCCACTGGGACCAGCAGAGATCAGACCTGCCAACACTTCCCCCGCGAGAGTCGTCTGGCAATCCCTATGTCAATGGTTCACTGGAATTTAAACAGGGAACAATCCTATGTATCAAATGCGGTCTGGAAGGGCACATCAGCCCAGCCTGTGGACAAGCCCCTTTGCAGCGATGGGAACAGTCATATCTCAAAGCCCTTATTTACCCGGACAAGCATGCTAATTCGACTGGCCGCGGACCACCACCATCAGGAGGCTTGGACGTTCAATCTGCCCAGCTACATTTTGTCAGCATGCCCATCATCGAAGAACAGGTAGATGAGGAAATTGTATCCCCTACTGTCACAAGCAACAGTGTCCAGTTTGTTGTCGCTCGAGAGGACGGTGTGGGCAAGACACCTGAACCGGTCAATATTAATTCTCTTGTTGGAGCTGAATTGAAGAAGCTTCTCACCGATGATCCGTCAGCCAGTGATGATGTCAACCGCTGTCTGACCAAACTGCGTATCCTTTCGTCAGAACTTGGTCCACGCAAGAGAAGACGTGGCGCTGGTGGACAGCCACTTATTGAACCTTTGTTGGACCCGGAATCTTCTCCTTCCCCGGCTGTCGCAATCCCTACTGATCCAATTGAGAGCAATGACCACGCTGCAGGGCCTTCAAACACAGCCAAGACCAAGAAGAGTCGCTCCAAGGGAAAGAAGCCTGCTAAGCCTGTTGCTAGGCCCCCGGACTCCGCACTGATTCGAGGACGTGAGAACCTGGGTCCAATTGACTGGACTACATTGGCAAGAGACACGAAGGTCCCAATCTCTCTGCTTGACCTCATGCAAGCCAGCCCAGAAGCTACCAGACAACTTCGGTATCTCGGTACTCGGGGACGACAAGCTGTGCGACAGGCAGCTGTAGACATGCTCCCGCTTACAAACCAATTCTCAATGAATGGATCAAATTGTCAACCCAAATCCTTCCAATTTGACGTGACCATTGGATTCGGAAAGGGCGGCAAGAACAAATTCACTCTGACCGCAGAGGAAGTTCAAGGTGACCAAGGCTCAGACTGCAACATAGTCGATTTTTCACTGGTAAGGGAACACGAGATTCCTGTACGAGACTTGTCGGAGGTCAATTTCCATGGATTACACATGATCACAGCCGATCACAACATGACGCCAGTCACCCAATTCATACAAATGGTCGTTACCTGTCAGGGTATTGTACGAGAACAACTGGCCATCGTCAGGCCTGTCCTGCGGAACAGACATCCTCTCAAAAACTCTAATCGCCTCCTGCTGGGCCTTCCCTGGTTATGGGATGTCAACGCTTTTTTCGACATTCGAGGTTCCTGCTTGACCATCGGCGATGCCAGTCTCGGAGAGAAACCTGTGGTCCTTCGAGGACCAGCCATGTCCCTGGGCCCGGAACAGCGATTGATGCTCGCCCTAGCTGATGATGTGGAAAGCGACAGCTCAAGTGATGAGAGCGCAGACTATACCGACTCAGATGTCAGCTCGTCAAACTAGATGCCCTACCTCGACCTAGACAAGTCGTTAAACTATCTCATTGTCAGTCAACCATCCCCGGGTGGACTTGGAAGCACGCTGCGAGAGTGACTCGAACGATCACTTGTAACAGCGCCATGTTGGCTGGCAATGTCGCTGAAGAGGTTGATGATGACCTCTATGACCGATTAGATGGCCTTGGAAGAGGAGATATGCCTAGTCTTACTTCTGACACGTGGCCCGGTCCCGTGGTCACTGAGGAACCATCCTTTCCTTTCCCAACTGCTCGAAGAATTCTACGTCGGCCTGTCGATTGGACGACGTCCTGGGAAGCCGTGAAGACATGGTTTGATGACTGTGGTGCAATCATCGGACCTTTGGTACCTCCCGATATGATACCTGAAATTGTGCGTACTCTGTGGACGTACAGAGATTTGAGCGCAGCATCCGTGGTGGATGTTCCCCCGACAGACATTTACAGCCACATCCCTCGGTTGAAGGAAGATGTGAAACCTTGGAACAGGTCACCGAAGAAACGTTGGAACGAACCTCAGAGATACTGGATGGATCGACTTATATCTGAGGGAATCGAAGGCGGACAATTTGAGTATACCATGGCGTCAAATGGTGAACTGTCTGATTGGGACGCACAACCAGTTATGGTCGCCAAAGATGAAAATGACCCATGGGCAGAAATGAGACTGACTTTCAATTACTCACATGTGAACGAAGATCTGCCGGGATCAGCTATCCCCTTGATGGCCGAAATCCATGACCGACTTGCAGACCCCCGAGTCAGGTCTTACTCAAAGTTTGATTTGAAACATGCATATTGGTCTGTCCCAATTGCTCAGAAATGGCGATATGTCTTCGCCTTCTCTATACCCAATCATAGCCAGCTGCAACCTACCAGAATGCCCCAAGGCACACAGTCGGCACTGTTCACCATGACTGAGGTCATGAAGCTAGTCCTTGGACCAATTCCAGCCCCTCTACCAGAACCATCACTTGTCGCACCGACTACCATTGATGGACTGTCGCCTGTCGAGAACTATGTGGACGATGTGTTCCTCAAGCACGAGACCTTTGAGCAGCAGTGGTCATTTATTTCGGAACATCTACTTCCTCGGCTGTTGTGGTCCTTGCTTAAGCTGAGTTTCAAAAAGGTGGCCATTGGTGTGAAGTCTGTCCTCGCCGTGGGCTGGGTACACGAGACTGGAGGTGTCATGAAAATCAAGACGGAGAGATCCCAGAAGTTGAGAAACTGGCCTACCCCCAGGACACAGACCGATGTCCGCAGTTTCTTGGGAGCCCTTGGACCGTGCAGGAGATGGATCCCCAACTGTGCTGAAATTGCCAGACCTTTGAACAGACTCACCGGTGATGTTGAGTGGCAATGGACTGCCCCAGAAGCCGCTTCACTGGCTCTTTTGAAGAAGATAGCAGCCGACGCCATGGACATGTTTGGCTATGCATTTGACTTGCCAGTCGACATGTACACTGATGCCAGTGGTTATGGTGCGGGATGTGCAGTCCTGCAGACTCGAGACAACCATGCCTGGCCAATCCTCTATGATTCATTCCTGTTCAACAAAACTCAGCGGAACTATGGCACATACAAGCGGGAATTGCTTGCTATTGTGGAGTTCTGTCGAAAACACACACATCTCTTCACGTTGAGAGGAATGTCCACTATCTGGACTGACCATAAACCGCTCACTTGGTTTCTATCTGCGTCTAATCATGAAGGGATTTACGCTCGATGGGTTACAGAACTGAGACTACTGAATGTCCAAATCAAGTATATAGAGGGAAAACGCAATGCGGCCGCTGATGGTCTGTCGAGAACTATTTTCCCTGGGGACATGTGCTCTGATGCTGTGGAGGATTTACAGACTTGTGGTCATATGGAAGGAGGCGAATGGATCTGGAAGGATGGACTCGATGGTTACAAGAACTTGCTGGAGCTGTTGGCAAGACAACCTGATGCCACCCTGCCTCCACAGATGACCAAAGCCCTTGGCTGTCATGTGGATTCTTTTATGCCCTCTTGGGACCAAATTTGTTGGTCGGACAAGACTTCGTTGGGGGATGATTGGACCAGACTTGTTGGAGGCGATCCCATCTGGGTGAGAATCAACGCATCAACTATGTCAGACCGGCATGAAGAAATGGCAGATTTTGCGGCAAGTTCGTGGTATTCGGACGTGACCAAGTACCTGTTGTCAGGCGAGATGATGGACCAATATGACAGACATGAATTGAGAAGGATACGGGCCAAAGCCCAGAGTTACAGGATCAAAGATGAACGGTTGTGGAAGAATATCAGAGGGAAGTGGTTGAGGTGTCTGTTGGACGACGAGATCGCTCAAGCCTTGTACGATGCTCATGATGAAATGGGACATTTCCACCCAGAGATTACCAGACGACATTTGGTGAGGACAGTTTGGTGGCCTGGAATGACTACAGATGTCGTTGATTACTACAACGGGTGTTTGGTGTGTGCTCGCCATGCATCAGCCAAGACAAAGGCCCCAGATCAACCACTGCGGGTTGATGCCCCATTTCAACTTCTGGGTTGTGATCACATAGGTCCCTTTCCTGTGACCTTGCGGCATCACAAATACATCTTGGTTATCGTCGACTATTTTTCTCGCTACACGTGGTTGATCCCATGCAAGTCCGTGTCTGCAGATGATTCGGTAGCTGCCCTGGAGCAATGGTTTTGCTGGGTGCCTGAACTCCCTATGGTTATATATCTAGACCCCGAGTCTGGATTCAGGTCAGCGAAGTTTGTCAATGCCGCAAGACGAAGGCATGTCGAAGTTGTCCACTCACCATCTACATCCCACAAGAGTACGGGCATGGCTGAGGTCACTGTGAAGATATCACAACAAATCCTGGGGAAGATTGCCGGAGGACTCCTTGCCTGGGATGATAACCTGGCTGCGGTCATGTCAAGTATCAACAAGCGACATATTCGATCCCTGGGATTTTCTCCATCAGAGATATTGTATGGCCTTGGGCCAAGATCAGGTCTGGATCTGAAGTATGCCTCACTGTCTACCATTGACAGGCGATCATACATTCGGTTGGGGAGACACCGAATGGACAGGGATTCTTTTCAAGCTGAACTCGTGTTGCGACACTTGAGCCAGTTACACGATATCCAGCAGAATATCAAGAACCAGCGCTACGATACCGCCGCTGTCAGACAAGCTGCACATGATGCTCGACAGTCGAGACCTTTGGACGTTGATGATTTGGTCATGCTGTTACAGGAGGGAAAACCGCCAAAACTGAGACCTCGTTGGAGAGGACCATTTCGAATCTCGCGACGCACTAGCAGGGCATTATATTAACTTGTGAATGTAAACGGGTCTATTACAGCCTTATCCTCTCTGGACTTCTACGAAGACACGCTGAAGCGATTTATCCCGAGGTTAGGCAGATTAGTAAGTTCTAGAGATATATCTATTCCTCTAAGATAAACCTTATAATACCTGAGAAATTCTGAATAGTACCTGAGGTATTATTATAATAAAAGCAAGAGGTATTTAGACTATTAGAGATTAAGAGGCTTAAGGATACTATTCTCTATCTAGTTTTTATATAATAAACTACTAATCTGGAAGATATAAATCTGAGTATTAGAGCTTCTTTAATTTCAGCTTATCTTTACTTTATAATTATAGGTCCTATTATAGGTATATTACTATATTATCTATAGCTTTATCTTTCCTTCTTTTCTATTCCTATAATATTACTCTGCTATATATATAGTCTTTCTATAATATCTATATCTATAAATAGCTAGCTTCTTATTATTATAAAACTAATATTACTATTACTTCTATAGCTTTATTTCTAGCTGCTAATTACTAGCTTTATAATTAATAGCTATTTAGCTTATTAGCTAGTTATTCTAATATATCTATTCCTACTATTAATAGTTCTTTTATATTTAAAGCTATTCTAATTAAGCTAGAATAGAAATATATTACTAAGTATATCTTTAATAAATATAATAGAGTTAAATTAAACTAAATTAATAATAACTACTATAAGTTTTATATTTATATTATTATCTAGAACTAGTATTTTTAGATAGGTTTAACTATAATTAATATTAATTAAACTATTAGTACTCCTACTACTAAATAACCTTAGAGAGCTATAGCTAAAAGTTCTAAATAGTAAACTCAGGCTATTATATACCTGCTAAGGGGTATATATTCTTATTATATATCTCTAGCTAAATTAATTCAGGATTAATAGATTATTCCTATTATTAGAAATAATATTAATTAGCTCAGAATATTACTACTATCTATTATATCTTTAGTTACTTTAAGTATAATTAGTACTCTAGTTCTATTAACTACTACTAGATATACTCCTACTAATTAGTAGGTTAATCTATATCCTAATCTTTTAACTATAACTAATAATAATATATTATTAAATACTCTAGGATTTAATCCTTTAGATACTATATTAGGTTTTATAATAGTAATATTAGATATCTCTAATCTATCTATCTAAGCTCTTATTACTTAAACTATTAATAAGTTTCCTCCTGATAATATAGCTATTACTATACTTAATAACTCTATTATTATTATTCAGGATAATAATCTGAATAACTATAAATTAATTACTATTAAGAGAGAAATTACTTATAATATATCTATATCTAAAATACTAGTAGGTTTTTCCCTTAAAGGAGGTAATTAGATTTAATAATAGGGTAATAGTTAAGTTCAGACTATTAGTAATAGATATATAGATACTTCTTCTAATTATATAACTAAATACTTTACTTCTCTTAAAGTACTAATTAATAGTCTAGATAGTATATCTAATAATTAGATAGATCTTAGTAGTAATAATACTATAACTAGTACTAATATAGTTATACCTATAGATAATAAGTTCTTAACTAGAACTAACTAATCTATAGATAAGTACTTTAATAAGATATAGATAGTACTCTAGAGACTCTATTATAAAAATAATAAACTATAAGCTAGACTAGCTACTAGGAAGATAGGAAATACTAAGATCTAGAAATAGATTTAAAATATAGTAATTTATTAGACCCTTATTATTAACCTACTTTAATATACTATTAATTATATTAACTATCTAGTCTAAAGACTCTATATAGGAGTTCTAGTTTCAGAAGAAATAAAGTCTCTACTAGAGATATTAGAACTACTTACCCTATTAGTTAACTAACTAACTTATATCTATATATAATAGTCTTTAGTAATCTATTATCTTTTCTCTGAATATATAATATTAATATAGCTAGCTTTTATTAATTAGCTTATATTATATAAGATATAGAATAGTCTTTATTAATCTATCCCTTTATTATATTTATATATTTATATCTATATAAATAATAGTCTTTAGTAACTTATTATAATATCTTTACTTTTTTATATTTATAGGTTTTATTATTAAATAGGAGATTTATCTAAGGAATATTATATTATAGGGAAATTTAGAACTATATCTAGAATATTATTAAACTCTTATTATTATAGGCTTATATTATTTAGAGTTATTATTATACCTAGCAGGCTTTTTCTTTCCCTAGGATATATTATAAAGTTATATCTTTCTTTTTATTAACTAGCTAGCTAGCTAAGAGGCCTCTATAGCTTTATATTAACTTATAAATATAGATAGATCTATTATAGCCTTATCCTCTCTGGACTTCTATAAAGATATACTAAAGTAATTTATTTCGAGATTAGGCAGATTAGTAAGTTCTAAAGATATATCTATTCCTCTAAGATAAACCTTATAATACCTAAGAAATTCTAAATAATACCTAAGGTATTATTATAATAAAGATAAGAGGTATTCAGATTATTAGAGATTAAGAGGCTTAAGGATATTATTCTCTATCTAGTTTTTATATAATAAACTACTAATCTAGAAGATATAAATCTAAGTATTAGAACTTCTTTAACTTTAGCTTATCTTTACTTTATAATTATAAGTCCTATTATAGATATATTACTATATTATCTATAGCTTTATCTTTCCTTCTTTTCTATTCCTATAATATTACTCTGCTATATATATAGCCTTTCTATAATATCTATACCTATAAGTAGCTAGCTTCTTATTATTATAAAACTAATATTACTATTACTTCTATAGCTTTATTTCTAACTACTAACTACTAGCTTTATAATTAATAGCTATTTAGCTTATTAGCTAGTTATTCTAATATACCTATTCCTACTATTAATAGCTCTCTTATATTTAAAGCTATTCTAATTAAGCTAGAATAGAAATATATTACTAGGTATATCTTTAATAAATATAATAGAGTTAAATTAAACTAAACTAATAATAACTACTATAAGTTTTATATTTATATTATTATCCAGAACTAGTATTTTCAGATAGATCTAATTATAATTAATATTAATTAAACTACTAGTACCCTTACTACTAGATAATCTTAGAGAGCTATAGCTAAAAGTTCTAAATAGTAAACTCAGACTATTATATATTTACTAAGAGGTATATATCCTTATTATATATCTCTAGCTAAATTAATTTAGGATTAATAGATTATTCTTACTATTAGAAATAGTATTAATTAGCTCAGAGTATTACTACTATCTATTATATCTTTAGTTACTTTAAGTATAACTAGTATCCTAGTTCTATTAACTACTACTAAATATACTCCTACTAATTAGTAGGTTAACCTATATTCTAATCTTTTAATTATAACTAATAATAATATATTATTAGATACTCTAGAACTTAATCCTTTAAATATTATATTAGATCTTATAATAGTAATATTAGATATCTCTAATCTATCTACTTAAGCTCTTATTACTCAGACTATTAATAAGTTTCCTCCTAATAATATAGCTATTACTATATCTAATAACTTTATTATTATTATTTAGAATAATAATCTAAATAATTATAAATTAATTACTATTAAGGGAGAAATTACTTATAATATATCTATATCTAAAATACTAATAAGCTCTTCCCTTAGAGGAAATAGTTAGACTTAATAATAAGATAATAGTTAAGTTTAGACTATTAGTAATAAATATATAGATACTTCTTCTAATTATATAACTAAATACTTTATCTCTCTTAAAGTACTAATTAATAGTCTAGATAATATATCTAATAATCAGATAGATCTTAATAGTAATAATACTATAACTAGTACTAATATAGCTATATCTATAGATAGTAAGTCTTTAATTAAAACTAATTAATCTATAGATAAGTATTTTAATAAGATATAGATAGTACTCTAGAAACTCTATTATAAAAATAATAAGCTATAAGCTAGACTAACTACTAGAGAGATAGGAGATACTAAGATCTAGGAATAGATCTAAAATATAGTAATTTATTAGACTCTTATTATTAATCTACTTTAATATACTATTAACTATATTAATTACCTAATCTAAAGACTCTATATAGAAGTTCTAGTTCTAGAAGAAATAAAGTCTTTACTAGAGATATTAGAGCTACTTACTCTATTAATTAACTAACTAACTTATATTTATATATAATAGTCTTTAGTAACCTATTATCTTTTCTCTAAATATATAATATTAATATAGCTAATCTTTATTAATTAGCCTATATTATATAAGATATAGGATAGTCTTTACTAATCTATCCCTTTATTATATTTATATATTTATACCTATATAAATAATAGTCTTTAGTAACCTATTATAATACCTCTGCTTTCTTATATTTATAGGTTTTATTATTAGATAGGAGATTTATCTGAGGAATATTATATTATAGGGGAATTTAGAACTATATCTGGGATATTATTAGACTCTTATTATTATAGGCTTATATTATTTGGAGTTATTATTATACCCGGCAGGCTTTTTCTTTCCCTGGGATATATTATAGGGTCATACCTTCCTTTTCATCAACTAGCTAGCTAGCCAAGAGGCCTCCGTGGCCTCCGGCCACCACTCAGATAACTTAACATCTCCATCCCCTCTTCAATCAATCGGTTCTGACCATAATCCATCCCTTTCCATCGCTATCGTGACCGTGAATAATTAGCGGGACGACGGATTCGTCTCGTGGCAGTTTGCTTGAGCAGAACGGCGGAGGAAAGAAGGTTATAACACTCAACGGGGGAGAGGAGAGAAAGTTTTTGGAGGATGGAGACACAATTACAATTTCCAGGGTTTCAGGCGAGGAGGGAGCTCTTGTGGGATTTGGCGAGTGTAGCGGCCAAGGCGCGTCGGTAACTGGACCTTATATTTAAGACCTCTCCTCTTCCGTGAAAGTCTAGAAATAGATAGTTACTTTATTGAATGAAATAAATTGGGAAGGTGCTCTCGTAAGGTGTTTTAACTCAATAACTCTTATTTTCTGGCAAGCGGGTTGTAGTCTCGCACTGCAGTATGTCATGGCGACTATGGTTCTATTGAGACAAGCAATGTCTTTCCATACATGATTAGTGGGATACTCCCTATTATGCTTATGAAATTGGCTTGACTGTTTGACATCCAAAAAAGAAACGGGTTTCTTTTGAATAACCGAGTCCAGTAATTAATGATCTCGAGATTGAATACAGCAGCCTCTGCTTGGTAACAGCAACCTCCATCCATTGGTGATCTAGGGTAGGCATCTCTAGCAATCAGACCGAGACACATCAACCTGTCTCAGGTGTGATTTGCCGCCGGCTGGACGGCCAATTCGCCCCCCGGGCGGAAAGGGGCAAAGCCAGAGGGCAGGAGATCTGATTGCCTTTCATGCGGAGCTACCGAATGCATTAGCCGGCTACCATGATAACCTACGGTGGAAATGTCTTGGTGTCTCCCGCGCATGAGAAGAATACCGCAAGCCACAAAAGGCACCATGAGAAGCACCAAGGCTCTCATAGCCCATGCGAACCCGATTCTTGGAAGCAAGGCGCTCAAAACTAATGGTGTCGTGATGCCGCCGACGCTTCAAGAACCAGTGCTGCACAGTTCCCATGGCTGCGGTGAAGAGGAGGCAGGTCGAAAAGCTTCCCAGAATACCAAAGCACAACATGAAATGCCAATACTTGCTGCACCACCCCAGAAGGACATAAGTCAACAGGAGTAGGATAGAACCACTGATTGAGAGCGGCTTTGGACCCTTGGTGTCAAAAAGAGGACCGATGAGGATTCCTGTGAAGAAGCTCAAGAAATTGTAGAGGCCGAATATCCATCCTGTACTTCCCGAGCTGTATCCTTCAAGCTGATGGGTCGATAACCAATTTTGATAGACGCCAATGGAGTTCATCATAGACAATGCCCCAAAGAATGCACAGAAGCAGCCGAATACTGCCGTCCAAGCCTTCGTCCCCCCATCAGGGTATTCGACGGCCAGGGGCTCATTCTGGTCTGGAGCCATTGCAGAGCTTTCATAATCTGCTGAGGATTTATCTGTGCGCAGCGGCGCAGCCTTCATAGTGCTGTACGAATGACTCATTCTGCTTCTATGATGAACCAAACAATCACGCCTGAATCGATTCTTGGAACTTCCCTGGGCGTCTATGTATAAAATGATTCAAATAACTTCTGTAGTCATTTGTCCGCGGCCACTTTCGTTGTCATGATGGATGTATATTCCGCTGAATCACACAGGAAAAACACCTTATTGGTGGGTTGGATCCAACTTTAGGAAGCCCCATAAGTCGCCACCCTAGTCAACCGCCCACCCCCCTCAACCGCCCACTTTTTGTGTCCCAACCTCCCTCTTTTCCTTACGCGTTACTCCGCGATTACTCGTATAATTTTCATTCTTTTTAATTATAAATAATATTATTCGAATCGTAAATATCTGAATATTCTGAATATAACCTCTAGTAAGCTATCCGCGAGGTGGAATCTGGCGTTTTACAGCGGAAGGCTTACGGGCGCTAGGGAATTCCTAGGATAACCCTCTGCGATTATATATCGGGTATGAAAACGCAGGCGATAGAAGCAGAGACCCAGCAGTAGCTCTCGATAATCCAGAAAGCCCGTTTAACGAAATAAATACTTATCTAAGACTTAATTAGCTTCCCTTCGAATTATACCAGGGTTAAAGAGATTATCTAATTCCTCTTATATAAAGAGGATAACCTTAACCCTATTAGTAAGTATTAGATAGAGGGATTTTTATACTATAACCCGGAGATTAGAACTCTTTAAGGTAAGAGACTTAACTTCTTATATACTAAGGGGGCTATAGCTAATAAAGTAAAGAAGTTCTTTATACTTAAGTATATATCTGAGATCTATAAGATCCCTCCTTATAATTATTAGAATATAGATAAAGCCAGGATAATAAAAGGAATAGGAGATAATAGCTTAGTTCTTAGGTTATCTTATAAGAATTAGGCTATTCTGATATAGCCCGGTTTATACTTTTAGACTTTAATAATTAAATATATTAGTATAATAGATTAGTACCTTAAGCCTCTTATTATATTTAAAGGGAAGGAAGTTTAATAGTAATAGTTTCCTAATAAATTAGATTATCTGAAAGAGTAGAATTTTATAGTTTCTAAAAAGGGTTAGACTTCTAATAAGATTATATTAAAATAGTTATAAGAGGTATTTATCCTATTAACTAAACCTATAAAGCCCGGCTAGTATTTACTTATTATTAATAGCTATAAGAGTTATATAACTATTAAATTTATATAGGAATATTTTAAAAATCAGATCTAGCTTCTATTCCTTCTATTATATTTATTATATATATTACAGCTACTTAATTTATCTATCTTTTCTACTCTGAAGAGAGCCTATTATTAGTATCTCTTATAATAATAAATACAGATAGATTTATTACCTATCGGGAAAATAATATTTCTTAAGTATTATTATCTAGCTAGATAAGTAGCCTTAATATATTTAAATATATTAGCTGGCTAGAAATTATCTGGAATATAGCTAGTTAATATTATAATCCCCTTATTGAACCTATATATACTGTTACCTTAATATACCTTTCAGACCCAGCTATTAATACCCCTAGCTATACTAGTAGGTAGATTAAAGAGAAAAGAAGCTATAATAACTACTCCGAAAGGGAGTTACTAGCTTTATAGTTTAATATAAGACTTTATATATAAGAAGGAGGTAGACCTGATAATCTAACTGCTATTCTGTAAGATCTGTAAGGGTCTTAATAAATAGTAAATACAGTTATCTATCTTAAATACTGAAAATATATACCTTAAGGAGTTAAATAAGCTCCTGTAACCGAAGAAAAGATATACTATTTATCCGGATCTAAATAAATACTTTATTAAGGTATTTAATATTATTAATAGAAGGGAACAGTATAAGGGTCAGTTAGATACTGAGATTTCAGCTCAGGAATTAGAAAATTATATATTTAAAGAGCTATACTTTACCTAGTAACTTAAATAGCTTTATTTAAAATTTACGAATTTTTTTATATTAAGAAAGACGAAGTTACGTTATACGATTTAATCTGTGAAAGTAGGCGGTTGAGGGGGGTGGGCGGTTGACTAGGGTGGCGACTTAAAGAGTCTCGCCTTCGGTATCCCACTCGATCAAGCCATAAAGTAGCCTCAAAACTCAAGATTTATTCAAACTTTCAAGCAGAGATCCCACAGATCATCATCCTAAGAAACCACACACACCACACCCAAGCAACCATGGTCTTTGAGTGGAAGAGCGAGGCCTACTTTCACAGGGTCCCCAAGCTGACCCCAGGCCCAGCCAATGTCTGGTTCGGTGAGTCCCAAGTCATTCCCTTCCTATTCAGGGACTTATCACCGTCCTTGGTTGATATCCATGCTGACCGTCTCCCAAAAGGCGATGTCTTCACCTCGTCAACCCCGGCCTCGACCAACCCTCTGACTGGTTCCATGTTCTTCCTCGATTATGCTGAGCACAACGACCCACCCCCAAAGTATGATTACGACGAGACCGGAGTTGTTCTCAAAGGTATTTCCCCATCTAATATTCCAGACATACGGTTACTCTGGTCGAATTCCTCTGGTCGAATTCTGCTAACTAGAATTGCCCAAGGCGAGTTGCACATCAAGGATGAGAAGGGAAATGAGGCCAAGCTACAGCCAGGAGATACTTTCTTCATTCACCGTGGTAGTACCATTACGTTTTCTACTCCACGCTATGCCATTATTGCATACAAGTCTGCAGCACGGCATTCTCACTAGATCTAAGTAGCAATAGAATAGGGTCATTCATCCACAAGAAACATAATCATATTCCACCAGTCTACTTGGCCAGGCATGCTCCGAGCTCTCAAAATGAGGGATAGTTCACATTTTCACATTCAAATTTCGCATTGTTGACCATGGCCTTCCTTATTCAGCTGTTGGCACAAGTCCCAGGTCTTATGTATACTCGCATATACTGTTCAATGTAAAATGAGACTAATTGCGTCGACATTGAATACTTCATCATTGCTTCCTTTCAAAAAGCTTCAAGATCGCGTCATTTTCGTTGGCTGCTGCCACGTCTAGGCAGGTCTGATGCCTAACATTCTCTATTGTCGGATTCAATCCTTGCTCAAGCAGCCATTTGAAGCGCGCAACCATAAGCTCTCCTATCTCTCCAATCTGTTGGCCCTTGCTGCTGGCTGCAACGGCATGAAGCAGAGTATCACCTGCGCTGTTCGTAGTGAATAAATCGCTCCCAGCATCAACGAGCGTACGGATTGCTTGGCTCTGTCGCTCAACATCTTTATTGCTCTTCGAATACTCTCGGTATACACCTTGAGATAGCATGAATAAAAACAAGGGTGTCTCTCCTTTGTTATTACGACTATTGACGTCCAAGCCGCTCGCGATGAGACGCTTGAACAACTCGCAAGGCTGCTCAGCCACATCGTCTGTTTCCCCTTTGTCTGCCAGCCACATTCCCAACAAATGCAGTGCTGTGTTTCCAGCTGGGTCTGATAGAGAAGGGTCAGCTCCTGCGTCAAGGAGCATCCGGATCGATCGCGTATCCGGGGTTTGGCGAGAGATGCTCCTCCGCAACGCATACTGCAGGGGCGATGCACCATCAGCATCGACCTGCTGTGCTAGCTCAGGCGCGACAGATAGCAAGAGCCTCAAAGTATCATGGCCGCCCTCAGACCTGGCTTCAAGAATGTGGTGAAGCGCATTCATCCCATTATTGTCAGTCTGCGTAACACAGGCACCCTTATCCACGAGAAACTTGACGATCGAGGGCTTGTTGTTGAACAAGTCCGCAGCGTAACGCCACGGTTTAAATTGATATTTTGGGTTTATTGCGTCCATGCTGGTGTCCGGTCCTATCTGGCTTCGACAGGCTGCCAACAAGAGAGTGCGCCCCTTTGCGTCACAGCGCTCGAGAAGGAGATTTGGCATAAGGAGAATGGGTTCCGTCAACGCTCCCTCCTCCAATATATCGTGCAAAAGGGTCACTTCTGTTGTTGATGGGTTTTCTGCCTTCAAATCCTCTTTTCGGCGTTTCTGGTACGTCACAAAAGGATCAGCACCGTTTCTAACAAGGCCCTCGATAACAGGCAGGAAACGCGCCGTAATGTCTAGCCGGTCAACACTGGAGTATCGTACTCGAGCATCGGCGGGGTTGCGAGAGGTTGCCAGGTATAGTGGGTAGATCTGATCATCGTCTACCAAATAATCTCGGTCGCTCCAAGGCAGTTCCAACGACTCCAGTTCCGCCTTAGACAGCCGAATGTTTGGGTCTACCGCCGCACAAAGGGCATCGAAAGCTTCAAGGTTGATTTTCCCGCCCTTTTTAGGGTCCCAAGTAGCCTGAAATAGATCAACAGCTTTCACTACCGCACCGTGACTCACGAGGAGCTTGATCGCTTCAGGGTTTTTGCCAGCGTATGCAAGACAGGTTTTGCCCGAGTCATCCACTGCGTTGACATCCGCACCAGCTTCAACCAAGATCCGAGCAGCTGTCATCGTATTTGCCAGTGCAAGGTGCAGAGGGGTTCTTCCTTTCGCGTCTCTTAATTCAAGATCAGCCCCACGCTCAATGAGATACTTCAACCCCTGAGCATACTTCCACCAACTCGAACCACGTGCCAGCTCATGGAGCGCGCTGGATTCTTTCTTCCAAACTCGGTGCTCCAGGGTGCCTGCGTACACGGCATTTTGGGCGTTAATATCGGCACCCATCTTTTCAACCAACAGCCGGAGCATTGGCATATTCGGCAACCGTCGTTGGCAAGCTCTCAACAGGCATGCCGGAGCAGTATTGTACTGACCGGGCTCGGTTCCTCCTTTCCCAGAGAGCACACCCTGCACTGACTTCTCCTGGCTTTCCTCCATTTCAACGAAGCTAGCATTCGTGATCATCTCTCCAACTAGCTTGTGAAGCCCTGAGCGTATAAGTTCCGTGAAGTGAGACTTCCCATATGCATTGTACCCGAAGAAGCTGGGATCGTGCCTAGCCATGTGTCGAAGCAGGTCCCACTGATGATCCTTAATCAATTGCAAAACATCATCCGACTCAGATTTCTCCTTCTCCGCAAAACGGAACGCTTTTTTGGTAGCTGAACGTCTGTAGATGGACGACATCAAGGGATAGGCGAGAGACAGTTTCTCGAATCTTGACCCCTTCATCAGACTTTCCACATACTCCTCTACCGGCGGTAATGCCCTGGCATCTTCACCACCAATGTCTGTTTTTTCAGTGCTTGCTTCCAGACGTTGTTTCAATTTAAACAAACACTCTGTGGTGTAATCTTGCCCTTCGCTAGCAATGATTGCCCCGTCCAACCCGGAGAACGGGTTGGCCCCCGTTTCCAGCCTCACGCCATGTAAAACCAGCAGATCGAGCACCTCATCAAGGTTGGATACTAGCTTTTCATCCCGATAAATAACCCGAGCCTTGTCATTCAATGTAATTCCAAATGGATCGCGGAACGGCACCTCGTGAGGGTCGCGGCGGAACAATGGGTCGCCTTGCCTCGCTTCCGCCCATAGCTTCTCTTCCTCCTCGTATTTCGTACAGTAGTAGAGGGGAGTAAGGAAGCGCTCAATGTACAAGTTCGGATCAGCACCCGCCTCCAAGAGCAACGCGACGGATTCCGGCAGGCCAGAACAGCACGCAAAATGGAGCGCTGAGGGAACCCCGTGGGACAGCCTTGGTTTGCCCGGCCGCCATGACGAGTTGAGGTGGCGAGCGACAGCCTCCTTTCCGCTCTGTTTCTCGATGACCTCGAGCAGCAAGCCGATGATGTTTGGCTTCTTAAACCGTGCGGCGACATGAATTGGCGTCACGCCCTCCTTGGTAGGCTTGGTTGGGCTGGCGCCGGCGTTGAGGAGAGCCATGACCTCCCGTTCGTCCTTTCTACACATCAGATGAAGGGGCCTGATACCGTCGTTGTCTTCACAGTCGATGTTTGGATATTCTGAGAGCGGAGCAAGCGTGTCAGAAACAAGTGTGTAAGGATAGCCTGTGAAGGCCCATCTATCACTGGACGCCAGGAGGTGAAGATGTGTTCGGCCCTGCTTGTTGACATGGTGAGTATCCCATTTCAGCGGGTTTCCATCGTTGTCACAATTGTCCGGGCTGCAACCCATCTCGATCAAACAATCTTTCAGTTCCTCTTCTTGAGGAGGGCAGTAGTGCAAGAGATTCCGTCCATGGCAGTCGTCGATGAGTGGATTGGCACCAAGCGCAACAAACTGACGCACTGCCTGGACGGTTTCTTCCCCGCTTGCGTTCTGCACCAGGAGGGTAAGCGGCGTCAAGCCCAAGTAATCTTGTTTATTGAGGTCGGCTCCCGCAGCAAGCATAGCCCGGATTATCCCGTCATATGTGCCATCCCAGGATTTCGGATGTGAGTGAAATGAGTGTATAAGGCCATGCATAGCGACATGTCCGTGGTTGTCCTGCAAGTTCACGGGAACGCCAAGGTCCAACAGAGCCTTCACGATCTCGAGTCTTCCCTCCTCTAATCTTTTGAGCTTGTTGCCGGAAATGGGGAATACAAAGTGAGCTCCACTGTTGAATAAAAGGTGAAGAGCTCCACGGCCATAGTAGTCTGTAGCTCTGACGTCGGCTCCCAACTCGGCCAGCTTCTTGATAAGCTCGGCCGAGTGCCCATCGCTTTTGTTGACAGCCTGGAGAAAAGGCGTCATTCCTTCGTCGGTTGAAGCAAGATTTATTTCGGCGTTTCCAAGTTCAACAAGCATTTGCACGACGTCTGGGTCTCTGCATCCATGCAGTGCGTTCTCTCCAACACTGTTGGTGATGGTTACATCGGCCCCGGCTTCGAGCAGCGGACGTACCAGTTGTGGAAACTGCTTCGTCGCTCCGAGGATTGCGGCCCATCCACTCCCTGTTTTTGCATTCAAGTCTGCCCCAGATTCAACCATCAATGTCACCAGTTGCCGAACTTGATCTGGTTGAAAGATGGGGATGGGTTTCCATCCGTTACGTCTAATCTCGTCCATTACACCGCACAGAGCATGCAATGGAGTGAGGCCCGTCACAGGATCCACTTCCTCATTTTCTTCGCTTTCGTCATAATACATGCTGCTGTACCTTCCCCGAGACCGAATTGATGGATCGGCACCAGCCTGAAGCAGCAGGATCATGCTGTGAACATCCCCTCTCTCACCGGCTATGAAGAGAGGAGTATCGCCACGAACACGGGCATTCACATCGACTAGCTCATGGGACAATGTCATCCCGACACAAGCAGGGTGGCCCCCATGAGCTGCCCATGCAAGTGCTCTGCTAACCGTTTCGGTATCCTTGATATAAGGTAAAAAGGCCTTGATAGCATCTTGCTGCCCTCCTTTGGCAGCGTACTCAAGTGGCGTCATGCCCGCAGTGCCAGCATCTCCTGGTTCAAAACATGGATCTTGATTGGTTTTCTTTGTCAGGGGGCTCACGCCAGCAGCGAGAAGTATGCTCACAACTTCCCCGTGGTTATTTTTCGCTGCGCCGTGAAGCGGCTTGATGCCATCATATTCAGAGGGCTTATCAGCCTCAGCGCCATGGGCCAGCAGCAACTTGACAACACTTGCATGTCCAGCCTTGGAGGCATAGAGCATGGCTGTATCCCCTCTCTCATCTACAGAGTCTACTCCAATGCTATTATTCTCTAACAGTCTTGAGACATACTGCCCGAGCCCAAAACGAGCTGCAAGGTGCAGCGATGATTGGCCCTTCGTTTTTGGGTCCGTCAACGTGCGCAATGCAGAGCCATTTCTGTCTGAAAGAAGATGGTCGACTGCAGAAAGGAGATCTTCCGGGATCACGAGGTCTTTTTCGGCTTTACTCCAATGCACATGCCAATTATCCAAACAGTAAGCCAAGAATGGAAAGTCTGAGCGAATTTCATGATTGGCTGCTGGCGGCTCGTCTTTCGCTGGATCCAAGTCGACAGCTTCCAGACAGTTTGAATGCAGTAAATAGTCGATACACACCCGCGCAAGCTGAGTATGAGTTGGCCCTGCGCTGAGAACAGGAAAGTGTTCTTCTCCAACTTGCTCTGCTGGCAGCGTCCCAGGCTGGCGCGTCGAACCGTTCAGAAACTCGGTCAACGAGTGATGGATAACACACACGGTCTCGTCGGGCAATATCTCCAAAAGTGGACCACATGCCGCTCGAACAAGGCTCTTGAGGCCCTTAAAATCGCCGGTGAACTCCGATTGCTGCGTCACGTTGATCATTTCTGCCATCTCAAGGAGCCGGAGGGGGCGAGACGCATGTGTGACGCAGCACAGAATCAGAAGTTGTAGCTGGCTGGGGACTTCAGAGTTCTTGCCATGTTCGCGCAATAGGTTGGTATACATGATATTGAGATCAAGAGGAAGCCTTTCCAGGACCTGCGCCACATCTGCTCCCTTTTCTCGAAAGGCATCCATCGCTAGCTTGGCGTAAAGAAATAATCCGTTTGCCCTCCCGGGAACTGCCTTCCTGATCGCGCCGTGGTGATTTTCCGGAATAGACGAGTTTTCGAGACAATAAGCCACGTACGTTGCGATGTCTACATCCACGTGGCTTTCATCCAGGCGAATCTGAAGCATTGGAATCTGCTGGAGCGGTCTCTCCACTGCAGGCACAGGTCGACTCGTAACGATGACTTTGACATGGGAGGGGCGCCATCTACCCAAAATTGCGAGAGCCTTGAGAAACTCATCGTTCCCCTTGTCCATCTCGTCCAGGGCGTCAACCACGCAGAAGACCTTGGGTAAGGCGCCCAAGGCCAGCTTCAACTCGCCCCACATATCGTTCATAGACACATCATCAATCCCCCGATTCTTATCGATATACTCCTTCTTCAATCGATTCTGGAGGGGAGGAGAGTAAGTCAAGACCTGGTCCAGCCAATCTCGCAGTAGGGCAGCTGGGGCGTGGTTGGCATCGATGATCTGGCGGAAAAAGAAGAACAAGGTCGGAACTTGCTCTTCCTGAGACAAGCGCTCAATGAGACTGGCGGCAACCACGGATTTGCCTGAGCCAGGGATTCCCTTTATCCAAAGCATTCCCTGGTCATCGCTATCGTGCCACTCTGTGTACGAGGCGGTCTGGCGAATCCAGTCGCCTGTGCCCGCGAGATGTGCCCGCTGGTGTTTTCTGAATTCGCCATTCTCGGCGTTATACTTGGTCGGTTTGAGCCAGCTGCGGATCTCGGCCTCTGTTTCTGGCGAGACGGGCAAAATGCCGAGTTCATTGAAGTCGTCCAAGTCGGTCTGGTCGACGACGACGAGATCATCATCCCATGACCGCTCGTCTGTGGACATGATGCGTAAAAAACTCCCAATCTGAGGGAAAAAAGATATCTGCTACAATGCGAACGAGGAGGAGTACCTGTTTCTCCTCGATGGAACTTTGGAAGTGGTAAGAAAGCTGCCTGGTTTCGCCCTGTCAGCGAGAGGCATCTAGGCTTCCAGCCTGCAATTCTCAATGAGTAAGCTTGCAGCTCTTCCGCAGTTGCTGTCAGTGAGACGAGACTGGCCTGTCACCCCCTCAAATATCGATGCTGACCGCAGCTTCGGTTGTCTGCCTGGGGCTTGGCGCTGATGGCAGCCTCCACAATCTTCCGCAAAGTCACACCCCAGCCACTGGCCCAGATAAAGCTATTGTTCATCACGGAAGACAGGTTTGCAAGATAAATAGAAACTAGCCCTCGCTATCACGCTCAGGAGCTGATTCAATACATATAGGCCCGCCTAGTAGATTAAAATGGAATAGTTTAGCTCATACCTAGCTTGTTTTTTCAAAAGCTACCTACCCTACAGCCTCAGACAGCCAGCCATTCTTATCTATGCGAAGTTGTGGCGCACTCTCTGATGGCTCCGGTTTAAAGCTATTCTAGGGAAAATCAAGACGAATTTATATGTTGAGGAACTTATTATGACGTAGTTATCGAGTCGCAGGGTCGTGCATGGATCACATGAAGACTGTTGAACTGGACTTGCATGTGAATTTCAATGAACGAGTTCTCCTTCATCCTGCTGACAGGAATACTCACCCTCATTCACTAAAAAAATGAGAATAAGAATGGCAAGATCATCCAAATATATCTCATACACTTCAATCAATCACAGGATAATAGTGCGATGTTTTCAAAATTGTGAAGACATATTCAGCGAGTGGTTTGCGTGAAGAAATGAGCGCGATGATCATCCCTGTTTTCCAGTGCGAGGCCTCCACCGTCTCAGACCCACGCCGGTCGCAGGCTCTGAAACCTCTGGCGCGGCGGTATTCGAGCGACAGCCGCATGTCTTGAACGCTTGCGGCTACCAGGGACCATCGAGAAGTAAGTAATTGATGAGAGAAAGAGAGCCGCCTCGGTATGGAGAGTGAGGCGGGAGTGGCGGCGGGAGGAGAGGTCATCTTATCGCCACCAGATTGAGTGTCGGCGATGGCGGCTTCTCCAGTCTTCTACATTATTACGTAGGTAGGTATCTCGACTGAGCGGAGGTATTGACAAACCCGCGACCGATAGATCGGTCTGGTCGGCTGCGGCGATTGAGTATGAAAGCGGCCGGGGCATTGAAGGGCTTCGCTCCCTCTTAACCCACCGAAAATCGGGTCTGAATGGCTCTGTTTATTTCCTGCCTCGGCATAGCAAAGCTTTTCCGGCACTCGCCATGCCGCGAGATGTACTTTGGCTGGGAAAATTTAGCATTTGAAAATCATCAACAGACTAGGCCGCGACTAGCCAAATCACTTGACCAGCGTGACCGGAAGACGCGGTATTAAACTCTGTCATGGACCTCGCAGATAACAAACCTGTATGATATCACGGGGCGACTGAAAGATTGTGCTCTGCTCAATTGACCGAATAAACTCATCATGATACCATATCTACTGCTGTGACGTTTCCATCGCCGCGACAACCACCAAGGATGGCGCTCAATCTGACGCGCACGAGGTCTCACGGCCCTGGCCACATCGCCTTCGAGGACGCGACCGCGAAGAAACACCCGTCTGGCAATGTCGACGACGAGGGTCGCGTCAATGTCCAGTTCTACGACAATCCCGAGGCCCTCGCGGCGTGGGCGAGGCACTTCCAGCACTCCCTCTGCGAGCCCGAACGTCCTCGGCCGCGCAGGCAGAGCAGTTTCGCCGTGCCTCTGGACGAGGATCTGACGTGCAACCCGCGCCTCAATATCGCCATCCACATCGTCGGGTCCCGCGGCGATGTCCAGCCCTTCATCCCGATCGCCCAGCTGCTCTCCAGGCCGCCGTACAACCATCGCGTGCGGATCTGCACCCACCCCGTCTTCAAGGACTTCGTCGAGGAGCAGGGCGTCGAGTTCTTCAGCATCGGCGGCGACCCCGAGGCCCTCATGGCCTACATGGTCAAGAATCCGGGCCTGCTGCCCAGCCGCCAGAGCCTCAAGGCCGGCGATGTCAGCCAGAGACGAAAGGAGATGTGGGAGATCATCAACGGGGCGTGGAGGAGCTGCATCGAGTCCGGCGACGGCATGGGGCCGCGAGTCACTGCGGCAAGGACGAGAACGACAAAGGAGCTCTTCATCGCCGACGCCATCATCGCCAACCCGCCGTCCATGGCCCATATCCACTGCGCCGAGAAACTGGGCATCCCGCTGCACATGGTCTTCACCATGCCGTGGTCACCGACCGAGAAGTTCTCGCATCCGCTTGCTGCGATGAGCTACGGTGATGCGGACAGGTCCATGGCCAACTACCTCTCCTTCATGATGGTAGAGCTGTTAACTTGGGAAGGGTACGGATCTGAATTGAACCATCTATGAATCCCCATCTGCTGACAATATAGGATATAGACTTGGCGATTTGATTAATAAATTTCGAATGAAGATCCTGCACCTGGACTCCATCAGCCCGATGTGGGGATATCAGCTTCTTCCCAGGATGCGAGTACCATTTTCATATCTCTGGTCATCATCACTAATACCAAAGCCAGACGACTGGGGCTCACACATCAGAATCAACGGGTTCTCTTTTCTCAAACTCGCACACACCTACTCCCCTCCTCCCGACCTAACCGCATTTCTAGAGAAAGGACCTCCCCCAATCTACATCGGCTTCGGATCTATCGTCGTTGAAGATCCGCAAGCCCTCACCAACTTAGTCTTCGACGCCGTCAAGCTAGCAGGCGTCCGGGCAATCGTCTCCGAAGGCTGGGGAGGCGTAGGCGGCGAGCTCGACGTCCCAGACAACATCTACCTCATCGGCAACGCCCCTCACGACTGGCTATTCAACCACGTGTCTGCCGTCGTCCACCACGGGGGCGCCGGCACGACCGCAGCAGGAATCGCCGCCGGCCGTCCCACCGTCGTCGTCCCTTTCTTCGGCGACCAGCCATTCTGGGGTCAGATGATGACACGGGCCGGCGCCGGCCCATCACCTGTCCCCTTCAACAAGATGACCGCCGAGACCCTCGCCAACAGCATCCTGTTCGCGCTGGAACCCCAGGTCCTCGAGGCCGCGCAGACCATGGCCGAGGCCGTGGCGCAGGAAGACGGCGCGGCCCAGACAGCCGCCGATTTCCACGACCGGCTCAACCCGGACGATTTCAGATGCGACGTCTGCCCGGAGAGGTTGGCGGTGTGGCTGCACAAGCCAACTGGCACCCATCTCAGCGCGTTCGCCTGCTGCGTTCTAGTCCACGAGGGTCTTGTCCAGCCCAACCACATCAGACCGCTGCGCCATAAACACTGGTACGTCGACGAGGGCGCCGAGAACCCCATCGTCGGAGCGGCAGCTGCCCTCTCGGGGTTCTTCACAGCCGTGGGCACAGCAACAAAGGACTACTCACAACGTCTCAAGACGCGCCCTCGCTCTTCAAAGGCGACGGACAGCGACGGCGGAGACTCCCACATCGGGACGTCGGGGTCAGACACCATAAACGACGACGGCGACAAGGCCACAGACGACGACACGGCCGTCCGAACCCCCAGCGTCTGGAAAGAACGGCCGCCGCTGACCCCCGTCGAGATGGAGACGATTGCATTCAAGCTGGCGACCAAGTCGCTCCGCAGCGTCGGGGACACCGTCACGGCCAGGCTCCCCCGCGCACCCTCCACGTACGAGAGGCGGCTCGCGTCCTGGAAACTTCAGGAGCAAGGGCGCCACGGGAACGTGTACTACATCACACGCGCCACGGGTCGGTACGCCGCTGATATCGGCAAGGCGGGTCTGAAAGCTCCCGTTGCGTTCCTCTACAATGTCGCCAACGGTTTCCACAACGTCCCATCGTACAGTCTGGTTGGCCCCGTGGACGTGCGCCGGCGGGATGAGATTACCGGTGTGAAGAGCGGGTTCAAGACAGCGGGCACTGAGTTCGTGCTGGGCATCTGGGACGCGTTCAGCGGGGTCGTCGTGAGGCCTTATAACGGGGCCAAGACCGAGGGGGCTAAAGGGTTCGGGAAGGGGATGTTCCACGGCGTCAAGGGAGTTTTATCAAATTTGGGAGCTGGTGAGTTCAGCATTTCATGGCAGTTCGTTGTCGACCAATTTTTCGCATGTGACTAACTTTGATTGCAGCGTTCTTCGGCCTGCCGGGCTATTCACTTAAGGGTATCGAAAAAGCACTGGCAAAGGACCAAGTCACCAGGTTGAAGGCTGAGTTACTACTCATCAGGCTGAGACAAGGTATAGACGACTTCCACAACTCGACGATGGAAGAGAGGGACAGGGTCACAATGAGATGGGAATCAACATATTCATCTGCTTAAATTAAACGGGCTCACGTTACCGAAAAGAACGGCTCGTGCACGCCGACCAAATCAACCAGAGACATGACATTTATTAGTATTTATACCCGGGGTTTCGTCAGACTATAGATCTTTATTTAATTTTCAGCAGCCATGCCACTTATGATGAATCTATGCGTAGTTTTAAGCTTAATCTTTTCTTCAGTTAGCCTGAATAGTTTATTTGAAGAAGGCGTTAAAGAACGAAGCGCGACTTTAATATAATCTTTTTTCTTTATTAGGTGTAATGATACAAGCCAATTATACTACTCTGATTATATCCGACCTCCCAATCACCAAGGACGCGAAGCCAAACATCAAGTTACTCGTACAACACCGGTCTAAACCACCTGGATCTTGGGTGTCTTGAACACGCTCCAGTTATCGCCATTGGTGGGGACGCCGAATGGGTTGAGCGCAGCAAAACGCATACTATCTCCAGTATTAGTACAGACATGATAATATTTTCGCACCGGCAGGTGATACTCACATGTAGTTACCCGGCTTGATCTTGGTGCCGTCGCCGAGCTTGCCCTCTGGCCACCAGTACTCGTGGTTGAGCTGGTTGTCGCTGGTGTCCGCGTTACGGTTGACCCATTGGACGGGGAAGGTGACGGTGATGTTGGGGTAGTCGACAGACCCGGTCGACTTGTCGATGCCGTGTACGGAACCGACGTAGCCGTTCTTGCCGGGTGTCAGGGGCCACGACCACTTGCGCTCGGTCCAGTCAGACTCGAAGATCTAAAGGCGGTTCGCATTAGTAAGTTGTGTATATAAGGAATAATCATAGGGCTGCGGGGGAGAACATACATCCCACCGAATCTGGGCAGATCCCCACTTGAGTCGGGCCACAATGCGTGGGAAGTCAAGTACAGCGTCGCTGTAGTCGAAAGTAAAGTTCGAGTGTTGCTCAATGGGCGTGTTCTCTGGCCCGGAGACAGCAGTCGGGTAGCCGGCACGGAAAATGGGCGACACGACGGACTTGAGGTTAGCAGCGAGTCCGAAGTATGGCACGGACAGTTCCTCGCCAGTGCTTCCCTTGATGCGGATGTTGCCACTGTACGCGGGCAGGGCGGCAGCATTCCAGCCCTTCTTGTCGGGGTTCTCGAAGTTGACCGAGACCTTCTTGCTCTCGCCAGGCTTGAGCGTGAAACCCTTGGGAAGGCTGACATCAGCCTCAAGCTTGATGGCCTCAAGCTCGGCCCAGGTCTTGACTCGGCAGTCGTTATCGGGGCAGGTCCACGTCTCAATGCCGGCGGCGGGGGCGTGGCTGAAGGTATAGTCAATGTTCTCCTTGCCGTTGTTGGTAAGAGTGATGTCGTGGTAACGGCTGAAGTAATGTGTGTCGTTAAGGCCGATGGTCTTGAAGTCGAGCTGCGTGTCGTAGTTGAGAACCTTCCAGCCATCAATGAGACCTGTACCAACCTGCTCGACAGGAGCGATGAATTCAGGATGCTCAACGCTGGCATGGTACCAAGGGATTGGCTGGCCACTGCTGATGATGCGGCGGCCCAGGGCGCGAGCCCACTCCTTGCCATGTGCCTTGCGACCTCCATTCTTGCCAACCCACAGGGCAGCAACACCAGCAACATAGGGGCAAGCCATAGATGTACCGGAAAGAACGGCGTACCCATTCTCCAGATAGGTAGAATATATCTGACCTCCGGGGGCACCGACATCAGGCTTAACAGTCAAATCATTGAGGGCTCCCCAGGTAGTGAAGTCGCTGGCCTTACCAGCGGCGGGCCAATCGACAAAGGCTGGAATCTCTGAGTCGGATGAGAAGTCACCCGTGACATTTCCACCGGCCTTGACAGTCTCAATGATCTTTGCGCCGGTTTCGGCCGTGAGCATGGCGGCGAGAACGCCCTGGATGCTTGCCGGTGTAGTGATGGTGCCAGCGTTGTTGTAGAACAGAACGTACTTGGCGCCGATAGCAGCCAGGTTCTGAACCTTGGTCACGAACGTGCAGGTACCACGCCTCACAAGAGGGATGACATTGTCAAGCTTGGGTGTGTCGGAGGGATACGGCGTACAGGCGTCATCGGGGACCGAGGTGTCCAGGTTCATAGGGCGAATCTCCCAGCCATTAACAGCGGTAGGGAAGAGATTGGTGGCGGGGAGGTAAGGCTCCGTGACAGTAGAGCCGGTGCCGTTGCTTGAGCTGTACTTGGCCTGCCAGGACTTGGCGGGAAGCTTCTCAGCCGAGATGGACGCGACGGCGAGGACATCCTTTCCAGATGAACCGGTGCTGCCGAAGTAAGGACCAGCATCACCCTCGTTTCCAGCAGACACGGAGACGAAGATACCATCGCCGACGAGTCTGTCTGCCACGACGGCCCATGCGTTCTGAGGCCATCCGTTGAAGTTGCCGATGCTGCAAGTGATGATGTCACAGCCGTCAGCAGCGGCCATGAGGAAGGCTTCAATCACGGTCTCATCGTCTGACTCCGGGCTGTCGGCGGCCGAGAAGACCTTGTAGGCGCGAAGCTTAGCCTTAGGTGCGACACCGCTCCAGTAGTCGTTCTCGCCAGCGACAATGCCTGCCACGTGAGTGCCGTGGCCCTGGTTGTCCTTGGGGTCGGAGTCGGGCGCCTTGGTCAGACCTGGGTGCCAGGGCACGTCGCCTACAAGATCATAGCCGCCGAGGACTTTGCAGTCGGGGCCAATGCAACCACCCAGCTAGAAAAGATGCCATGTCAGTCAGGTCTTGGGAGTTGCGAGATCGGGATCTACTCACAGCTGGGTGCTCATACCAAGCACCGGTGTCGACAACACCGACCACAGCGCCTTCACCGAGGATTCCGGCATCATGCAGCTTGGCAACACCAGTGGTGTTATGCACGATGTAGTCGGTTGGCTTGGTCTCAGCAATCTGGGACTGGCCGGGCTCGAGCTTGTAGATGTTGTTGCGCCACACGTTGGCCACCTCAGGCAGGGCGATCAGGCTGTCGACGTCAAAGGTATCCGTCTCGATACTGGCACCATTGAAGATGTTACTACTGAACTCCTTGCGGACCTGGATGCCGCCCTTGCTGGCCAGGCTGTCGCGCGTCGTCAAAGAGTCGGCAGACGCATACTCGATGATGTACTGGTTTGGGCGGAACTCCTGGCCCAGGGCAGAACCGACAAGGTCAATTGCCAGCCAGGCGGCAGCAACAACGCGGAGGGAAGGCATTGTAGGCACGATCTGAAGTCTGTAGCTCCAGAGCAAGCTGTCAGTCAACAGAATGATGCTGATGTTTGGTCGAAGGCGAGGCCCCGCTTATAAAGGAGATGGCACGCGAGTGACACCTTCTGCTTTAGGCAGGCATCGACATTGCAAAGGTTCTTCATAAATTTAATGAACGAGTTCCCAAGTTGGACTCCTCTACAAAAGGACCAGTAAGGCCATCAAGACCTTCTAATTGCGGTGCCACTAGACCTGCAAGCCAGAATTGCATTTGGGACCTTGGATCAGGGAGATTCGGAGCTCGCCTCGATGGCGACTTGGAAATGGCAGATCCGCATGATAACGCATAAATCTGCAGGTACAGGTCCTTCATACAGATGTGGTTTCTGCCGAAACTTTATGTCCAACTCTCACTCAATATTTCTTGCTGATCATCACTTCTTTGGTCAATTGTGCCTGAGACAATTGAACCCTCCATCCCTCCATCACAGACTCTAGCCACAAACTCGCGTCCCAAGCATTCAATACCAATAAATCCGTGATTATATTCCTTCTCATCCTCCTTGCTCTAGAGTCTTGGCAGAGGCGACACTTATATTGGGTCCGAGCCAAGCCCTTGCCGAAGCCCCGATCAACCGTTCACGCCCGGACATCAAGTGGTTCTACGGCTCTAGACATTCTTGGGTTCACTTTATGCTACATGGGTGCTGCACATGAAATCGAACAGCATATGTACATACAAAAGTTCCAATTGAAGCCACCAATGCTATTGGAGGCCAGAAGTCCATATTTTGCAGACACTTGATAATATCGGCTTAATTCAATTTCGATTTATCCAGCTCACATAGTCAGACATGCTAGATCTGCTTCATGGCGGGCAAAGAATATCGCAATCTTCACCTCACAGCTTTTGGTATCACGCGTGGTTTGCAGTGCGCTTTGGTCATTTGCGGAATCGCTCGTAGCTCCAATCGTCTCCCGTCTAAGTAGTGGTGTCCCTAATATAATGGTTGTTTTCACAGCGCAAACCACGCATAACCCAATAGTCGCAATGTCTTCTCAAAACACATCGTACCAAACCTGATCTATTTGTATATACCAGCGATCATCAATGGCGTCTTTAAGTGCACATCATTATTGCATATAGCAGTTGCCATCTCCAGGTCTGCTAATGGAATTGCAGCCGCGATCAAACTTATTGACAACTGACCATGTATTCCATACGAGAGGCTACTATGTAAGACGTAAAGTCCCTTGGTCGATATTTCCTTCCCTAAATTATGTATACTGGTGCCCAAAGGGAGGCCAGATGGCATGTGGTTTCTCTCCCTCGCATAGACGTTGCGGAAAAAGACTTTGCCTAAGGAGAATAATCTCCGGTGTCAATATTGCCTTCACAAATTATACCAGCTCAAGTAGATTGCTTTCCTCGTAAAGTCAGCAAAAAGATATACGAAGGTGGATTGCCATCATAACTAATCTTTGAACATTTAAGCTACCAGCCACCTCAAACCATTATCAAAGCTTAGAAATCCATTGAAATAGGGTTTCAAACCTCTTGCAGGGTATTTCGGTCATCTTTTGAGAAACAGGTCGCCAAGAGTGAGCTTTTACAGGCCTAAAACGTTACTCACCAGCTTCAGTTTTCAGACGACATATTCTCCCCTCGCCAGAGGTCTAGAGCCTGGGATACTTTGTATTTTGAGAATGTAAACAAGAGTAAAGTGTCTCTATATGGACGCCAGTTCAAAGCTTTCTTTCGATAAGAGCTCATGGAAGATCAGCCATATTCCTACTCAAGAGTCCAAGACAGCCAAGTTTTAGACGTAAGTACTCAGGGGGAAGTTGAATTGCTGAGGTTCTAAACCAAAATATCATTGTATTAAGTGGCGAGTACTCCGTCCATGATCCCATGACTAAATCAGTGTACCTATCTAGCAGAAAGCAGCGTGTGTTCGTACACTCTATGTACCTTGTAGTCTATTTCCTGTATCAATAACCTTAAAATAAACTCCCGGCGCCAAGTTCTGTTGTCCATCCTCTATGATTGTATCCACTGTAGTCTATATTTTATGACTAATTTGCTCGCTCATAATGAACCCAAAAAGAAGAAAAAAGAAAAAAAAGGAGCCAATAAATAAACTAGGCTGTCGATTGTATGATTTATTCATGCTGAATATCATCCACTGATTTCCAGCGTTCTTGCACAGACCCAGCAGGGCAGTCCTTCAAGTCGCGCCAGTAAAAGTTCTCCATGGCCCTCGATTTTCCCACATTGAACAAGCTGTAGGCCGATGGGTCAGGTGTTGATCGGCATCTTCCCAGTAACTGATACGACACGACGGTCGCAGTGAGAGTCTGCTGACCAGACTTATGCACGCCCTTCTCGAGTTGCACCATTGTCTCGTAATCTGTCGGGCATCTCTTGCACGATCCCTGCGAGCTGGACTGGCGGGTGGAAGAGGCGAGCGGATTCAGCATCGACGGCCTGGTCTTGGCCGCGAACCGAAGAACCTCGGGAGAGATGGTATGTACATGGTCTGTCTCCTGGTGGTGGCAGATATTGAGGCTGAAGATGTAGAGGCAGCGATAGAACGTGTCTGGATCCACAGTGGCAGTCTTGGGGACCACTCTGTGCTCTGATCGGATGTAGAGCTGATCGTTGATGATGCGTGCTGTCCTGGACTGGATGAGCTCTGCGCTGCTACGGCTGTTGGTGACCTTTGAGGTCAGACTCTCTACGGGCAGTCCGTTAGGAGCACCGTAGAAGTGCTGGTTCATCACCAGTCGAGCGTGACAGTACTCAACCCGTAGGCTGCTGCCCATAGGGTGAAGGTTCCATGTGCTGCAGAGGTCCCTATCCAACAGCATCAACACAGGGGGCTTCGTCCAGCGCTCCTCAAAGGGGTGGAGAATGATGCATCGATCGCAGTAGTACAGGTGATCGCCGACCGTTGGATCTCTCTCCATCAGCTGCAGTAGAGCGGTCCGTTCCATCGTCTTCAGCCGGAACTTCTCCCCTGGAGCGGGTCCTACCAGGGTGTATGCTGTCTTGCATGATAGCGAGAAGGCGGCCCGAGAAGGATTATTCAAGAACAGCGAGATGAGAAGTATGATCTCAGTCGGTTGGTCAAAGAGTTTGCATGTTTGGATTATTCGTTCCTTCTGGTTCTGGCTCTGAGAAGGCCGTGGACGACGCGCGATGGCTTGGGCAGCTCCTTTTGCGTGTTTGTTTAGGAGAAGTGGCGATTTAATGTGCACAACAGTCGTCTGGGGGCCTTCTGGGCCCGCAGATCGCTGAAGACCCTTGCCAGAGAAACCAAGAGCTGGTAGAACCTGAACCATTGTTAAAACCAACGAGGTGTATTCAAAGTTTGACGAAAAGACAAGATGATTAGAAGTTACGTTTAGATTGACGGTGAATGGAATTAAATATCAACAAATCCTCACTTGTTATTTTTGAATCAACTCCTGAATCTGCTTTTAATGACCATTACTTGGTATCCTAGGGGGGGCATGCCACAGCATCGGGTGAAATCGCATCAGCTCACTCTGGCACCAGCGTGATGGTGGAATCACCCCATGATCATATTATGCCAGCACCAAGCAGTCTCCCTACATTTCCCGATGCTTAAGCTCGCACGGTGAGTGTATGATATCTGACGCCTTATTTAACTGATCAACGCCATGTGTCCAAATTCCCGTCCTCCTGACCGGGGGTGCTCCCCCTTCCACCTATAGTGAGCCGCGTCTCAGTTAATAAGCAATACGGGATGCACCCCTATATGCATAAGATATGGCATTATTCTGCTTGTTTGAATTTACCAGCAACAGTGTCATGCCATGCTATGCCAGCGTTTCCAGTAACTGCGCCCCCTACATGTACTCTCTCGGCCTCGGAAATTCCGAATGTCGCTATAAGCCCGGCCAGAATAATAATACCGTGCCATAATGCAGGATTTCTGACCGCTGTCATCAGGCATCAGTGAGAATTAGTCATCTAAGGTGAAACCACATGGTGTTTTCGACACTGTACAATAACCATGATAGGCCATGTTCAAAAAAGCGGTATGCGGGCTTAATCGTCCCTACTCAAAGGAAGCACAACTGGCGAGACTGCTAAGTTGCTAATCGGATTCTCACAATATGATCAGCCTGTGCTCCTCATATACTCGTAGCAAAGATTCAGGTCATCGGCACCTTCTTAGGGTGAAGAAATGTTGAAATTGGCTCGCTCGCCACCCAAAAATGAGAACCAGCACAGATGATATGAAAATCAGGCTCATGTGAGTTTATATGTCAAATTTCAAATCTTACAGCATCTGATATACCTGTCAATCGGCTTGGCTCGTGAAACGCTAAGAATCATGAGAAGATCCAGGCTACCACGTTAATCAAGTAGCACATATGAAAGCTCCAGGTCTGTTCTCGCATCTAGATAGATAGCTCCATGAACAGACTCCTTGCTAATCTTGGTACCAGACTACCTAGGCCTCAAGGATCTGAGATCTCCTGCTGCGGAAGCTGCGGAACAAGTGGGCCACCCAAGATCATCATCTACGTTAAGCGAGGTCACCTTATTATGTCGCGCCTCCAGAGTCCAGACTGTGGTCTTCCGTCTGTTTGTCTATGTCTATGTTTATGTTTTCTTCTGGCCGTAAGGAAGGAATATCCCAAAATCAGGCTACACGTGGCTAGGGTTTCCCAAAGTTTTCTTCAACGCAACTATGGCCCATACTCAAACTTAACTCACACGAATAAACGGCAAAGGTAAAACATACAGTTTAGGCACAGGCATCAACGCCTCCAAAACTCTAATAAGAGCTTGGTAAGTTGTTTTTGAGGCAAAGGCCAGAATCAGAATTCTACTGGGATTCCCAAGGAGGAACAGGGGTTGCGGATACTTTAAGGCAAATTTGCAAGAGTCATCAGCCCTCAACCAAGAATCAGCCGGCAATTTCCCACCCCACCCGCACCGTATGATCATCGTGCGCCTCAATTTACTTTACCCCTTGGGTTTCCTTCTCTAGAACAACACAAAAACAAAGAACCATCATCATCTATCATGTTTCAGTGGGCAAAGCAGCAGTAAGTGGCTCATTCGGATGATATGCACCACGATTATTTGTGTGCTAACTCTGTTCAAGGTTGGCCAATGTGGCCGGCACCCAGGAACCAATCTGGGGACCTTCGGCCATCAAGCCGGTCTCTGAAGAAGATGCGCCTGGTGGCTACACCGAACTTTCGCGTGATAGTTTGACATGGAAGGAGCTCGACTACACCAATGTCGAGAGCCAGACGTTCTACTTTGTCGCGGACAGCGGTCGCCTTGCCTGGGTGCAGGTGCTCTACAGCAACGTCATGTAGGCATACCCATATTCTATGCCTGTGCACTCATCGGAACCTACCTTCACCTAACATTTCATTTTCAGCGGTATCGCAATTAGCGGCCATCTCAATATCAAGATTTACTCCCAGGATCCCTCCAAGCCTCATTTCTGGTCCTCGCTGCCAATAAATGACATACGCTTCAGTGAGGATAAGACTGCAATCTATGCCGAGGGGCTCTCTATAGAGCTCTCCGAGAACGGGAAATCTTACAGGATTAAGACCTCCGTCAGCGAAGGGACCGCTGTAGACCTCACCGTCACGCGGGTTTCTCCCGGCTTCCATGTTGGCAAGGATGGAACAACTCTCTATGGGACCGACCTTGAAAATCCATGGGGATCGATGAGACACGCTTATTGGCCGCGTTGTGTTGCCGAGGGCACCATCACCATCGCTGACGAAGGCCCGGTTGACTTCCACGGTCAGTCCATGTTCGTCTATGCTCTCCAGGGCATGAAGCCACATCACGCCGCTGGAAAGTGGAATTTTGCCTACTTCCAGGGGCCCAGTCATTCAGCGGTCATGATGGAATTTACCACGCCACCCTCGTATGGGTCTACCGTGGTGAATGTAGGTGGGATCACCAAGGGCGACACAATTCTGTTCGCCGGATCTAATAATGCGGTTGGCCATGTGAAAACGGAGCAAGATCCTGATAATGACTGGCCGGAGCCGACACGCGTCAGTTTCACCTGGAAAGGTAAAGACAATGACGGGAACCAAGTTGAAGCAAGTTTGGAAGAGGATCTGGGGACAAGGTTGGACCGAATCGACATCATGGCTGAACTACCTGCCTTCGTCAAATCAATCTTAGCCACCGCTGTCGGACTAAAGCCGTATTGTTACCAAGTAAGTTGGCCCATTAGAAACATTCTTTTACCATCATCTAACATTTGCAGTACGCCACAAAAGCATCTCTCAGAATTAAGGTCGGTGATCAGGAGATTGTCGAGGAGGGGCAGCTTATGACAGAAGCAACCTTCATCTGTATGTAGAGCTACCGGGCTTAATGTTAATATAAATCGCTACTCCAGTTAGACTAATAGTAATACTATTGATTTATTCCCTGAACATCCATCATATCCGGTCAAGTCTGGACACCTGTAATCCAGTCTAGTGGCGGTTGACTCTCGTATTAGGGTCGTCACGAGGTGTGTTTGCCATGTTGCTGCTCAGCGGTAAAACTCGGTCACACTCTAGTCCCGGCAACCAATACGATGCAAACGCATTCCAGTTCACTTTAGACTTTCACCATGAGAGGGATGCCTCCAGTTGATAGTTCCCGAGCCGTTGCATTCGGCCTAGTAAGACCTGATTCGGCCTCTAGCAGCTCTGGCCCAAAAGTACCGTGTCGACACTAAACTGCTAGAAGGCTGTTCTACGTCATGGTTCAGCTCCTCCACGCGGGCGAATAGACATTAAGCAATAACCAACAGCGTTCTGTCCATCAAACCTGACGGGTAGACTCCGCGGCAGCCGGTGAAGACATGTTTTCCCACGTGGGTACGATACGAGGTATCCAATCGGGACCTGCCATGTCATGTACGATCGCGATGATGTATCCGGCGCCCCATCTGGTCCAGGGGCACTTCATTCTGAGCCACTAACAGAACCTGCATTTTATGGGGTATTTTCGTTTGTAGAATAGACCAACACACAGAGTCTGGATTAGGGTTAGCAAGCTGAGAAGCAATGGGGCGATAACATATCTTCAAGCTAAAAGTCTCGTATTTTCAGCCTCTCGTGGTACACGCTGGGAGAAAAAACCGCAGAACTGCCGTCAGGATCATGCCACAACAAAGGCGATGATCAATCAGAGTTATGTAGGTCATGAGTGGGTAAAGAGGTTGCACTACTGCAAAATGCATGTCGCCGATAAACAAGGGTTGAGGACGGAAGCAGGTTCTTGTCTGATGTGTCGTTGAAAGCTCTGTAAAGATTAATGAGACCTGTACGTGGAAAGATAACAGCGATAATGTCCCTCGTTCTTCTAACGTCTCTAAGCAATTCAGATGGGAGAGAACACCCCATCAGCTGGAACAGCCTCATCACGACTGGTATCATAAGCAGACGTCTAGATCATTGACTCGAGGTTCAACATGCTTCTCGTGTATTGTGATGGAATTTTAATGGATTTCATAGTATTTTAAACATGACAAAAGCCTGCCTGAGATGTCGATTCCGGATATCTGAGCCGATGTGCCACACAGATCTCCCCACCCTTGAACCCACAACACCGCATCTAGCACCTTGGCAGGTCGGCGAGATACGAGCAACAGGAAAGTTCCTGTGTAAATATCTGGGTCAATGACGTTTTCTTGAAGAATTTTATTCTTCTGAGTTCGGTATAAAAGTGACCAAGAGCTCTTTCTTTCCAAGCCACCATCGTAATCCACACAAGTCTTCACTCGCTTCAAGACCTCCCTCGTTTCAGTTTGCCACTCGCTTCAGCATATAAACGATACAAAATAATTTTCAAGATGCGTGCCGGAATTATAGGAGTGCTTGCAGGCAGCGTCAACTTGGCGCTAGCCACCAAGTTCTGGACCAACTCCAGTATCCCAGCCGTAATTCCGTCTACTACTTGGACCACCGAGGTTGTTACAGCCGTGACAACATACTGCCCAGCACCTACTACCGTCACATACAACGATCAGACATACACGGTCACCTCTGCCACTACTCTCACCATTACCAACTGCCCCTGCACAATCAGCCGACCTGTTACAACCGTCCCTGCCCCGGCTACTACCACCAAAGTCATCACAGCCATTACCACATATTGTCCAGAGCCGACAACACTCACGTTTACTGACACAACAATCACTGTCACCAGTCCAACTACTCTTACCGTCCCCTGCAGCCCAACCACTGTTACCATCCCCGTCAAGCCTACTACAAGCACCCCGGCTCAGCCCAGCAGCAGCTGTGTCGATACCTGCAACGATGCTTATAACAAGTGTCGTATCCAGCCCGGTGCCAACCGCTCAACCTGCGCAGCCCAGTATGCCAGCTGTCTTGGCTACAACCCATTTGCTGGAAACGGAACCCTCGTTACCCCAACCGCCTGCTCTCAGGCGCCTCCGCCTCCTGTGAAGACCAGCAGCGGCTTCTTCCCCAACGGCACTGTCACGACAACCACCACCGTCGTCACTGCCATCACCACCTACTGCCCAGTCCCCACAACTCTGACCTACAACAGCCAGACCTACACTGTCACGCAGCCGACTACGCTCACAATCACCAACTGCCCATGCACGGTCGTGACCACCAAGCCTGTCGTGCCAGTCGGTCCCACGTCCACCAACGGTCCCTTCCGACCTACCAGTGTCGGCGGCTCGCAGCCGAGCGGCTCCTCTCAGCAACAGCAGCCTGCGCCAAGTGGTTCCTCGCAGCAACAGCAGCCTACGGTTTCCGGATCTCAGACCAGTGCCGGTGGCCCGAACCCAAGCGGTTTCACGCAGCAGCCTGCGGTCTCCGGGTCTCAGACTAGCGCTGGCTCACCTGCAAACCCCAACCAGACGCCCACCGGGGGCAATGCTCCCGCTCAGACTACTGCCGTCCCCGCTGGCGCAGGATCAGTCGGCCCTGCCAAGGTCCTATTGGCCATCGGTGTCGTTGCTATGCTCTAAATGACAGTTATGACTATTTCTCGATGATGTTCGTCGCCGGTTTCTTCAGGTTATTCAAAGGAGAGCTGAACTTGTGTTGCAAACTTGTGTTGCTTGACAGAATAAATAAGTCAGGGATCTTGCACTATTGCATCACAAGCGGTGTCAGTGTTACGACCCCGAGACTATGGGAAAATACATAGGCAGCAGCGATATTAAAAGTAGAGAACAATAATCACAAATTTTAATCAAATGAAGGCACCCCGTGAGATTAACAGTAGTAAGAGGTGGTAAGTGGGAGAGCTGTAAAGTTACGCGGCAGCTGCTTAAAAAAGAAAGGGAAAATTCCCAAATTCCGAGAATTGAACAACTTGATACTATACCCAGTATCACAATACATTAAATTCCAGCCTTGTTTCCCGGCTTCGAGTCTTACGCCCGGTCGTACATCAGGTTCAACACCAACAATAGCTGTGTCCGGCATAATAACTCTTTCGTCGGCGTGAGTCCTTTCATGAACCTTAAAATTCTGCTTTCCATCTATTTGAAGGCCGCCATCCCTAGCCTAACCTCAAGTCCTCCTGCAACCGGCAATCCGTTCGCAAACCGCTGCCTTCGTCGCTCCACATCATGGACAAGTCAAGTGACATCGCTACCCTTCGCCGCCAGTCAAGTCAATCGAGTCTCGCACATCGCTCGCACACGATCATGTCTCAAACATCCCACCGAGCTCTCGCCTAACTTGCTCTAAACTTGCAACCACTAATACAATAAGCATCTCAAAAATTACAACAAGATGTCAAAGAGCAAGCCAAGGAGCAAACCGGCGGTAGTGCCTATTGTTAGAGATGGGCAGCTGGGTGACTTAGTAATATTAGTACTTCCTAAGTGCAATACCAGTAATCACAAAAGAAGATAACTACCAAAGTCAAACAGGCTAGTTAGCTGCTTTAAACTAAAGCTCTGAAGGCTTCTTCTGGATCTTAGTTAACTGTACTTCCTTAGCAGCACCTATCAGCTTGTGATTACTGGTATCCTGTGAGGTTAACAATGGTTGTGATAAGTGTAGTATTCCAAAGATTGGCGACAATTAAAGACAGCCTTGCAGTTTACGCGCCTGAGCGGCTAGTGGGAAGCTTGTTGTGTGTAAACTCATCTGTTTGTTTTTTCCAGTTGTAAATGAGGGTTGTCCCAAAATCAAGTCGCATACATGACTTTACCATCATGACTTTACCATGCAGTTTTTCTCTTTTCTTTTTTTTTTTTGAAAAAAAAAATACGGTCTATACCCAAACCTTTCGCACCAAGATGAGGCAAACCTAACATATATAGCCTAGGCACAGGCATGAACATCTCAAAACCTCTAACAAGGGCTAGCCAGAGGTATATATTTTAGCCATAGCCCCTAAGAGGGGAAGCTCATCACCACGAATTACAACCACCTTTCCAAGCAATAACAATAAAATGTCAGTATCTTGTGTCAACACCCCTACCTCCCAGGGTCTGGCCAGGACTCGAGACCAGGTCGTCAAAGATATGATGGGAATCATCAGAGATAACGCAAAGCAGCTCTGCTCTGAGCTTATCAAAGACACAACCCTCCGATCAGTCGGGGGACTGCTTGCGGCGACGAAGCCGCTTACATAGGGTTTGAGTATAAAGCTAAAAACAACAGAAGTTGCCAGACCTGACATCTCAAAATAATGAATAATGAAGCCGCTTCTAGCTTATTATTTGTTCTTTCCTTGACTTCTCCTCCAGGCACCAGCTCAACGTCAGACCGTGAGTTAGAATATCCACTGCGAGTGGAGTCAAAACTTAGAGAACTCTGTTGAACTTGACCTCTTTCATCCCCGAACTGGAAAATGACCATTTACGAATCCTTCAATATCCATAATAGGTCTGACTTGGCCATTCATCTGCCGTATAAGCCACGCGGGTACCTGTCCCGAGGTGCTTCAGGCATGGCTAAGTGGAAACCGTGCTGAAAGTAGTCTATTTTGCGACTACTATGTTGGCGATCATTGACGCTTAAATAGCTGCTGATCCCACGCCCGGTTAGGTGACCCAAAGCGCGAGTACCGGCAGGAAATTTGGTGACGATCACGGAACTCGCGAGACGGAGTCCGAGCAGTTCGGTCTAAGCGTGACCCAAGAATGGCAAAGTTACCGGGGAGAAAAGAAGGCTGAGCACATTTGAATGGTGGGGAGAAGGATTCTGTGAGACGAAGACAGCGGCTTCGCCACAAACTACTAAATCGGGAGTCAGGCTATTTCCGAGAGAGACCATAAGAAAGGTTTCTGGTTACGCCTTGTGGGTCAAGGCCATGGGGAGGGACAAGGTTCTCCCTCGTAGCCTCTGAGGAAACAGAGACCTTCGAAACTGTTTGGACCCCACGGTGAAGTAATGCGTAGCGTGTCGCCAGCTCCGTTGTTACCTTATTATTCGACAGTCCATTAAGGCGTTCCGACAATATCCCGGTACCGGGGCCTCTGATTGGCAAAATCCGGGGCTTTTAGGTGATAAAATCCGTAACAGGCTATCCGCGGGCGATCCTGGTTTGCTTCATGGTACCCTGAGATTGGAAACCTGCCGCCTGACGGGTACTGTACCAAAGTTCAAACCAAGAGTCCTCTCGCTGGCCAATTGATCACGCCGTCTATACGCGAGCAGATATATTGGGCTTTGGAAAAGGATCCTGGGCTAGCCCCGTCGGCACTGGCCTGGTGATGCACAGCCAGCAAGGCGGTCAATACACACTGTCGTGACATAATGAAAGCTGGACGAATTAGGTGTGATGTGCAAGAAAAAAACCCACGAGTTAAGCATGCATTGACCACTAAAGGGACTTCTGTCGCAGCTGAAAGCTCCTGCTCCCATGAGATGGGGTCCTTATGCGAGTCGATCCTCAGGAGTCAGACATGCCACAGCGTCAGTCAGAATTGTTGTCAAGTCTGATGTGGGCAATTCTAGAGTAAACGAGGTTATTCTAATCGCAAAGGCTATCGAGCCTTGCAGGGTAAGACCGTCTTCAACAGGCAGTTCCAGCCCGGCCTTGATATTGGAACTCAACTTGAGATTATATGTAACCTCCTTACGTGCCACGTGATGTGTATCTGAACCTTCTTTTACTAGGTCTTCGGGCAACACATGTTTGACGCATTCATGGCGTACCAGAGCCGTGGGCAAGTGCATATATATCATTCCAGTGGGCCTCGTTGGCATGCAGACCCAGCGATCTGTCTCAAAGGTCTCTAATTTCCCAAAGGCCTTTCGCATCCCTTCATCAAATTGCAATTTAGCTCTTTCCCCATCTCGCCTGCCCTGATTATCCCACTTTACGGAGTACCTTCGCTGACAAAACCTTATACGCCCATCCAAGGAGGCCCCTTCCGTTGCCCAACCCACATGCCGATCTTGTCTGGACTCCCTCCTTCCTCACTCTGTCCTCTTTATCTTGGCTCTTCTACATTCCCTGTCCCTCTCTGTTTCTTGTTTTTGAGTCCTTGAGTTCTCGCACCTTCGACTACAAGGATCAACATTTCACCATGCATCTCCCGTTGGGGGAGCCCAAGGCTGTGTCACGCATCCAAATCTTCAGCCGGAAACATAGGATCATCGTTTGCATCGCCGTACTCTTTTTGCTTTCCACCATCATATTCTACCTACCTTTCGAGAGAAGATCATACTTAAGACACTTATTGCTCCCCCCTAGTCGATATACCAAGTGCAAACTCGAGGAGCCCAGCGCTCTCACCTGCAACGCGACTCTGGCCGCCAAGCACGAACCCATCCCAAACATAGCCCACTATGTATTCATTCTTCGCGACCCGTCCGGCGATTTCTCCTTCCAGTTCAGTCACTTTCTAAGCATCTACTCAGCGTACCATCTCTGGCGCCCCGACAAGATATATCTTCACACAAATGTCGCTCCCGACAGCGCTCCAATCGCTCGAGCGAAGAGTGGTAGCACGGGGAAGTGGAATCAACTAATCTTCAACATCCCCAGTCTCACCATCAACAGCATCACGGTCCCTACCCATGCTGGAAATGGGGTCGAGATCTCGGGACTGGAACACAAGTCGGACTTTGTCAGGGTCAAGGCTGTGCACAACTTTGGGGGCACTTATGTCGATTTCGATGTCTTCCCACTCCGCGACCTCAAGCCCTTGCGAGAACGCGGCTTTGCCGCCGTCGGCGGACGACAGGAGGGAGGCGAACTGAACAGTGGCACCTTCATGGGTGTCGCGGGGAGTCTGGCGTTGACTGAGTGGATGGAGGAGATGAACAGAGTGTACGATGGTGGCTGGACCACCCACAGCAACGCTGCCCTTACTCGCATCGGGAATCGCCTGGCAATAGAACAGCCCTGCGAGCTACTCGCACTCAACCAAGCCGCCTTCGCCCCCGGGAGCTGGCTTGACCACGACATCGACAATCTGTTCTCCACCCACGAAGGCGCCCCGATCATACCTCCTGGTGGAAACTCGAGCATGCGCCAGGGAGTCCCTCTGGAGGAGGAAGATATCCCAGAAGACTTTGACGCTGATAAGTCACTGATGCCAAGCTGGGCTCGCGATTTCTCCTGCACATACCTGCTGCATGCTTTCAGTGGGAACAAGGCAAGGCACGGCGTCACTCATAACAATTTTGACCCTCAATATGTGTTGGATCTGCGCAGCAACTTTGCCAGGGCTGTGTATCCTATTGCAAAGCTGTTGCTTGACAAGAAGGTTATAACTTTAGACGATACTGATCTTGGAAAATGATTTTCCTCTTTTTGGAGTAACGAAGCAAATAGACTTAGACTACCAAGTATAATACCCAACTGCTATACAATATTTCCCTTTCCTTGTTTTTGTGGGCAATGTCGCGGTCCAGTCCTCTCGCTCTTGTAGCATACTGTTCGCTACAATTCTTCAAGTGCGATTTTACGCAAGCCCCCGATGGTAGGGGCATTTTAAAGAAAATCGTGCTAGATGTGTCCCCATGCTTATAGAGAACAAATAGTGTCAATATATCCGTAGGAAGCATGGTTCGTGTGGAAATACGGCCCTCAAATTGTGTGAATCTCATATAAGACATAAGTTCCAGGAACTGAGCGAGCCAAAAGAGGGTGACGCTGCTTAAACTCGTCAGTGTTGATCCAAGATCAGGTGCATTTAGCGAATCTCAGTGCTACGATTTCTCAATATCCGATAGTGTCTTGATGATCGCAACACGCGGCATTACATAACTTGATTTAAGGGAAGAAACAAGATTAAAGTGACCCCTTGGCGCATCATCCAGGATTTGTTTGAGCAGTGAGGCAAGTGAAGATTGAGAAACACTAATACTGTCGGTTTCCAAGTGCCAGTCCCCGCTCCCGGCCCCGGCCCGTGCCTTGACAAATGGATCACGGATGCATACAGTTCCGTATTGGATATACCATGTCAGGTATCCCAATTCAGTTGTAGAGAAGTACCTTTGCTATTGATTTATTCAGTGCTTTATTCAAGCTAATATATGGGCCTTTTTCTTCCAGTCGCCTCAAACTCACAGCTCTATTACTCATGAAGGTAATTTCGTGCATATCAGCATGGTGTACGTCGAATACGATTCCGGTATTTTCTAATGCTCGCCCCTCAGCTAGAGTTACGAAGCTATCCTCTAATCAAATTGTCTCTTTCAATTGGGTGCTGTTCGTGTCCGTCGCCTTTCATACTGTTCGCGCTCTCTAAGTCCTATGTGCGGCGCGGTTGGTATTGAAGCAACGCGCCCCCACCAATTACTTTGCCAGTATGTCGCAGACTCATCGAAACGCTGTATGTAACACATGATGAGTACAACGTCGGTTTGGGATTTTCTGGATTCTCGGATTGCGAATTGGGTACCGTTCTACCGTTTGTTGATTGAAACACCCTAACCCACGTCTCTCAAACCGCGTCTATCAATTGTAGGTTCACCAAATTCTCCAATGTCAGTGCAGATTCCAAACACGATAATTAGGCTTGCACTGGTTTAAGATATACCCAAAAAAAAAAAAAGACAATAAGGAGAGAAATAGACGAAAGTTATTAATAGCTGAGCTCTTCTCGGCCGAATTACCTCAATGAAAAAGATAAGATAACAAATTCGTATTCGTAATTGTTCGTGATTGGGTTACCCTATAGCAACGGCCAGAACAATATTATGAGTCCGATGCGCGGCAATAAAGCGCGTTAAACGCGTAGCAATTTCCAAATGGAAGATCTCTTTGGAGAATCAGGGGCGGTTATGATCTAATTCAGTTGAAATTGGGCATTTTGGTAGTAGCATTCGTCATAATGTTGTAGGCGCGGTTTTTAGGACAGTGAAGATGCTAGGTGAGGCACATATACAAACATCAAGTTCTAGCAAGGTCTACATATTTCAAAATTAATCAAAAGAGCGGCAAGACTCAGTTGGTTTCTTCTATTTAACATTCTAAATACTGAGTTTAATCGGGTTACCTTTCCTCCGGATCCTAATATCGTGCTGTTTGTTTCTTCAATTACTCACTCCCCCAAAAGAATCTAGTTTGATATTATGCGGGATAAATAACCTGCAAGTACAACGGCATGGTTAAGGTTGTATTCGCTATCCGGATCCGACACGGCAGAGTCTACCTTGGAAGCCATGCGGCCGATGCTAAAAGTTGGTTGGTGGAAGATAGCAATCTAAATCGGAAGCTGCGGACACTCAACTGGAATGTTGAATTATCCTCGCAAGGTAAATGCCCAGCTAGGAAGCCAAGGCAAGTTTGATTTACAGGGGCATTGGGTCAGTATATTTTAGATGAGCCCATCCGAATCCTTTGGAAGTTACTCCGTAGTCTGCGCAATATTGCATCCCCGACTTGTGATATGAAACTAACAAAACGTTTGGGGTTTTGAACCTGATTTTGGGGAGACGGTTGAATTAGCTACGGTGAACGAAAATGATCAATCTTTAGCAGCTATACATATGACGTTCTCTTAGCTCTGGTGCTGACCTCCCTCGAATAATCTGAAACGGAGATAAGGGATCGACAGGGGATACGTGATTGCCGTGCTAAATAAAGACACATGGCTCAGGATAAGAGTCCCACTCCAATGTTATTTATACTCGCGTCGCCATAGACCAATAGAAAGCGGGATTATCCTCCGGCCACCGCTTATTAATGAAGCTTATTCCGTCTGGAGACGACACGTACATGGCAGTCTTCCGAGGGACTGCTTCCGCAGACCAATCAGCGTGGCATCTAGAGGCTGGGTTGGCAGGTTCCTTGCATAGCAGATGGATCCCGTCGCAGGTTCAGTTGAGATCTTGATGGCACGCAGCTCAACAGTCGAAAGCTGGCAGAGTGAGCACACACGCGTCGTCTACCACAAATCAGGCAATCCCCCAACCCAGCAAGGCTCAATAGACAGGCAGTCGTTTCAACCACGCCGAGTCTGCAAGGAGAGCGAGGATTAAAGGTGGAATTGATCATCGAAATGCGGAGAGGCTCACCCAGCCACTTAGTAATAATAGACCATTCTCCTAGCAAGACTCCCTTGTATTTTCCGGGAATAGCTTGACCAGGCGCAGCTCCGACCGTTGACGCTGACGCCAATGGCATTTCCTTGGAAATGGATCGCTCCAGAGCCACAATAGATGAGCACCAGTGCGGTGATCCCTAGTCCGTTTCATGTGTCACGGAACAAGGGCTACGGCACCGCTTGTGGCAGCCCTGCGCCTGATATGCTCAGCTCAATTGATAAATACCGAGATGTCTAGCCCAATCTTGGAGTGGCGAACCTTCATCGACAGTCTCTTGTCTTGAAGCATCTGGCCAGTCGGACATCTTCGTCCTTTTTTTTGTGTGTCTTCTTTTCTTTTTCTTTACGCCTTTTTTGTTCTCTTTTCTCTTCTTTCTTCGCCTTTTCTTCGCTTCTCTTTTCACACTTTTCAATCATTCACGATGAAGTTCTCAACTGCTGCCGCTCTTCTGATGCCCGCCGCTGCCATGGCGGCGGATTTCAGCGCCAAGATTGTGGGCGGAACCAAGGCCGACGAGGGCGAGTTCCCCTACATTGTCAGTCTGTCGCTTGCAGAGACCCGATCTCACTTCTGCGGTGGTGTCTTGCTCGATTCCAAGACCGTGCTCACTGCTGCCCATTGTTCTGTCGACTACCCGGCGAACCAGGTCCGCGTCCGTGCCGGATCCAACGTAAGTATCTTCTGCTCCGAAACTGGCGCCTCTTCTTCATGGCAATTATGACTAACTTGCATACCACAGCTTTGGGCTTCCGGCGGCAAGCAGGTTAACGTTGCTTCCATCAAGGTTCATCCCAAGTATGACGAGGACACCCTGAATAACGACATTGCCATCTGGTCTTTGGCACGCCCCATCCGCCAGGACGAGAACATCAAGTACATTTCTCTCCCCAAGGCCGGATCCGACCCCGCAGCAAACACCACCGTTACTGTTGCCGGCTGGGGTCTGCTCGACTCTAGCGCCGAGGACATCCCCAGGGATCTGCGAAAGGTCTCCGTCCCCGTCATCTCGCGCGCCAAGTGCAACGCCTCGTACAACCGCAACGACACCCAGATCACCCAGCAGATGTTCTGCGCCGGATCGACTGGCAAGGATTCCTGCCAGGGTGACAGCGGCGGCCCTGTCGTCGATGTCGCCTCCAGCACCCTCCTCGGACTGGTGTCGTGGGGTTTCGACTGCGCCCTGCCCGAATACCCCGGTGTGTACACCAATGTCGGCCAGTTCATTGACTTCATCCGAAGCGAGGGCAACAAGACTGCCAACCCTCACCACAACTACCCATACTGGGTATAAAAGACTGCTGGATGCGGTTAAAACTTTTGGTTACGATTCTGCGCGATCTGATCTGCCCAGGTGGATCGTCAAGATCTGATCCTACTTTCTTCTTTTTCTCACCAACCTTTCTACTCTTCTGACCAACTTTTCTCTTCTTACAAATCTTTCTTTTCTTCTTCTCTTCTCTTTACTTCTCTTCTTCCTCTTTATTTTCTTCTTTTATTTCTGGGCTTACTTCTATCTAAGTATTGGCATTTTGGATTTTGGATAGATTTTACTTCTTATGTATCTGTTGATACCCTTTTGTTAGACCGCCAAATTTAGATGGAAGGTCGGCGTTCTCCAAGAGGCCTTGGACAAGCGATCTGTTTTACTTCTTCTACTTCTCTTGCTCCTGATGTTGTGACATGTTTTGCGTTGAGAGTGAATTATAACGCAGTTTGGTATCAACATAGTCAAATCGGAGGTGGTTTGTAGGTAGATCCCATGTGTGGGAGAACTGCGCCCCATCTTCACATTCATGCTCGGGCGGGGCAGTCCCGAAGCCTATTTGGTTTCGGCCCAGTCGAAGGAAGATAGCTTAGATGGTAGTGGAACGATTTTCTTGAGTCTGAGGAGCCTGAGGCTGCTCAAGAAGAATTGAACTGCGGCGTCCTGTACAAAGCCTGCGCAGTTGATCTTGCGGAGACATGGAGAGAATGAATACATGCAGAATTATCAAGCCACTAAGCGGACATATAAAACTTAGGGCATATTGGAACATAGGGTCCCCATAATTATCTACTTAACGTCATTTTTTCACAGTTTGAGGTCGAGTTCCAAGTGAAGCGTGACGCGTCAAACAATCGATGGCAAGCCCGGACTTTATTTCTTCCATCCCAACTCCGAATGACCTGCGGTTGACGATTAAGAAAGAGTTTTCGCGTAGAATAAGGCCGTGAAGTTAGAATATCTTAAAAAGCTACAGTCAAAATATGATGACGGATCTGTGTCTCACTGTCATCGTACGGCGGCGAAATTTTGAAAGCGAATGCCCTAGTATGAAAGACAGGGAGTTTTAAACTATAAATTGTAAAATTTTGAACCGCATGGGTTGATTCTGTCATATTTTAGCGGTAATGAGTAGTGTACCGTTAACTTACATCGTATCTTTAGAGCGTCGCCATGATGCACTTGGAACCCCTGTAGGATAATGAGAAGCGTAATTTTGCTAAGAGCAGATACGTGGAAATGCTGGGCTCTGAAAAGTGAGGGGTTTTATCCGTTTACGATCTCGCGCATCGAAGCGACGACATATCTCCTCCGTACCCTCTGTGATAAAAAACCTACCTTCTCATTCCGGCTCGGTCACGGGGCTTGACACTCGGAGGGGAGTATATCGTTGATTGGATGTCGGTAGTTCGGGGTATCCGAAGTGTCGAATCTACCGATCAATCAACGGGAGCAACGTAAGTAAAAAGACGGGCCGTTTCTTTGTTAACGACGAGACGAGCGGCAGATGGACCCGACGCAACGCCTGTTTCGTATCGATCGACCCTAAGCCTCCTATCTCCGTGCCTATGCATGACGTGAGGGATGATTAGAGGTGTTATAGCCTTCCGCTGTGCAGCTACGAAACCGATAACGAGGATGATAACTTCGCTTATGCCTCAAAAGTGTTGAGGTCTTGGAATTTTGGCATCATCATCTTGACACAGCCCACCTTGGCGGATCGACATTGTCATTGTGGGGTCTCATGCAGCTCCCGTATAGCGCTCCGGCGGTTGCATCTGGAAATCCGGAGGGTTTTTAGCATCCGAAATCCCGTAGGTTCGCCGGGCGTGATGATCACTACTGGCCCGAATGCGATGTAAACTCGATACCTAGTAAAAAGAGTTAGTGGCTTGATGGGTTACTGCAATTCTGGTTGGTTATATATACGTCGTCCAAGCCCGCCTGCTTGAGATATGATGAGCAGAACGACAGATTCTCCGTCATCAAGTCAAATCACAGTACAACCGCCGAAATCATGCCTTCTGCAGCAGCGGCTCAGCCAACTCTGCTCTCCTGGAGTGACAACTTTCCTCTCGTGGACCCAGGTACAAAGCTAGCCATCCCAACTTGCATTGCTCTCATCCTGGGAGTCACCATTTTCATCCGCGCGTTTGGAGGCATCAAGACCTCCAAGATCCCTCTTCTCAACCCACCCAAAGGGTTTGATCTGACCAACTGGGATGCAAGAAAGAACTTCGGTTGGCGCTCGGGGGAGCTTATGCAGGAGGGACTGACAAAGTACAAGGGCCAGATGTTCAAGGTGATGACAGAGTCTGGAGAAATCACTATCTTCCCGTCTGCTTTGGCCAATGATATTCGAAATGAGCCTAATCTGAGCTTTATGAAAGCCATTGCCGAGGACTTCCATTCACATCTGCCCGGTTTCGAGGCTTTTGGGGGTGGTACTCGTTCGGATGACCTTATGCAGATAATGGTTCGGAAGCAGCTTACCAAATATCTTAGTACGTCCATTCCTTTATAATGTAGCGTAAATGCTGACTGTGTTTGTAGACAAAGTGACAGAACCCCTGTCCGAAGAAACAAACTTCGCAACTGAGCTTCACTTTGGGAAGTCGCCTGGTGAGTAGAGAAAGCTGCATCAACTTCTGAGACGAGCTAACAGTTACGCAGAGTGGAAAGCAGTCACCATCTATCCCGAGATCGTCGATATTGTCGCTCGAATCTCATCTAGGGTTTTTCTTGGTCCAGTCATTTGCCGCAACCAAGATTGGCTGGATATTACGAAGAGTTATACATTGGAGGCATTTTCTACCGCGACTAGTCTCCGCGAGTACCCTAACTGGCTACGAAACCTGGTTCACTGGTTCCATCCAGGGTGTAAAGCACTCCGTGCGAAGGGAGCCAAGGCTAGAGATATCATCACCCCGGTGATTAAGGAGAGGAGAAAGGCGAGGGCAGAATCAGCTGCTCGAGGCGAGCCGCCGACGTTCTACAACGATGCTATAGAATGGTTAGAAGAGGAGAGCAAGGGTGTGTCGTATGATGCTGCCGTTTCTCAGCTTTCTCTCGCGATGGCTGCGATCGAGACTACTTCAGATCTTTTGACTGAGACTCTACTCCGACTCGCAAGACGACCCGGCCTTGTGGAAGAGCTGAGAGAGGAAATCACCAATGTGCTTCAAGCTGAAGGGTGGAAGAAAACATCATTGTACAACATGAAGCTTCTGGACAGTGTCATCAAGGAATCTCAGAGGCTTAGACCTGGATCTATGGGTAAGTATCTCTCGTCTCAACATTGACCTGGCAATCACCATGTTGGAGAATGTCAGCCATCTAACCTTGGTGTTAGTATCCATGATCCGGAAGGCGGTCGGAGATGTCAAACTCCCGAACGGCAACATAATTCCTAGAGGAACTCGGACAGCTGTTGTGACGGATAAGCACCGGGATTCGGGTATCTATGCCAACGCCGACGAGTTCGATCCCTACCGCTTTCAAAGGCAGCGCGGGACGGAAACGGACAACACCGCACATCTCGTTTCGACAGGACCTGCGAGCTTAGGCTTTGGGCACGGCCAGCACGCTTGCCCAGGCCGCTTCTTCGCAGCCAACGAGATCAAGGTCGCTCTTTGTCATTTGATCGTCAAGTACGATTGGAAAGTGGCTGATGACGCGACCCCTGAGCCCGAGCCTCTGCGATATTCCTTCTCTCTCCAGGTTGACCCCTCAGCTCAGCTCTATGTTAGGAGGCGACCGACGGCGGGATTGGATATCGATTCGATCTAGGAACTCCGCCGCGAACTCCGCCAAAGGTTGGAGAAGGTGTATGGAGTTTAACAGACTAGAATCGAACATGCATAATTGGAGGCCGCTTCGCCAATGGTATTGCTTGTTTTGGAACTTCGAGGTCGTATACGTATATTGATATCCTCCTGGCGGGGTCACAAGTAACCGCATCTGCATGTGATCGGATTTTAATCAACTCCGCAAGGACGTATTTCGTTCTCAAATAGATAGCCACTACGCGAACAAGCCTCCCATTGGTTGTTTAGCAAGCAGAATCCTTGAGTTTCATTCTTTATGCGCAGTCTGCCACCCTACCATGTAACCATTCACGCATCAGGAGGAGGAATGATCCGCTGAAAGGAGACATAATTCTCTGGCACGGACGGTGGCCCGGGAGTTTCGCGAAGCCCGTCGCCCGACAATCCGACAGCATTGTTCTTTAAGTTCGTTATGTTTCAGGCACTTGTTCATGGGTTCTCTCCATATTCTTCGAGTCAGATCCATCAACAGACAGTACATTATTCTTCACAATGTCGTTTATTTTGCTAGTTGTGCTGATTGTGAGTATTTTTCCGTTTTGCACTGCTCTTAGCATCATGAGAGCTGTAGTTAGATGTGCTCCGTCAATACAAGACTTACTTAACTTTTATGACCTAGATTCCCGTATACTTCGTTGCTATCGGAATCTACAACGCTTATTTCCATCCTCTGGCTCGAGTTCCCGGCCCGAAGCTGTATATCTTTACTCAGATTCCATTCAATTACCACTCAATCAAGGGAGAATGGAACAATGTCCTCAAGCAACTTCATGATCAATACGGGCCTATTGTTCGGTTCGATATAAATCGTGTGTCTCTGACGACGGCGGATGCATTCAAGACCATATACGGGCACAAGAATGATGCAGACAAGACATTCAACAAGGATCCCTTGGGATACAGGGCTAAGAAAGTGGCCTCGCACATCATTAACGCCAACCACGAGGATCACAAGCGCATGCGTCGCCTTATATCGCACGCCTTTTCGGACAAGGCGCTTCGAAACCAAGAGCCGGTGGTACAGTCCTATGTTGACAAACTGATGGGTAGACTCTCCGAAGCTTCTGACCGAAATGAGACCGTGGATCTGGTTCGTTGGTACAACTTTACAACGTTCGACCTCATTGGAGATCTTGCATTTGGACAGTCGTTCCAATGTCTAGACAGCGGGAACTACCACCCTTGGGTACGGATGATCTTCGAGAACATCAAGTCACTCACGTATCTGATGGTTGCGCGGCGTCTCGGGTTTGAGGGGCTGGCACCATATATAACCCCAGCACATTTGGCAAAGAGTGCTCGAGAGCATGCTGAGCTTACAAAGGAGACAGCACGGAAGCGAATCGCAAGCAAGGATACTGAGAGAGAGGACTTCATGTCGTACATCCTCCGCCATAATGACGAGAAGGGCATGTCGGAGGACGAGATTATTGAGAATAGCAACATTCTCATCATAGCTGGCAGCGAAACCACCGCGACTCTACTCAGCGGCGCCAGTTTTTACCTTATGAAGAACCCTAACAAGATGGAAAAGGTAGTTCAGGAGGTACGATCGTCCTTCACTTCTGAAGCCGACATTACGATACAAAGCGTCAGCCAGCTTCCGTACATGATTGCCGTCCTTCAGGAGGCCTTCCGCATGTGTAAGGGGTAGTTTTCTCAGATATCTTGAAGAACTTGGTGCTGACACAGTGTAGATCCTCCGGTACCGTCGATATTACCAAGGGTTTGCCCCAAAGGCGGGGAATACCTGGAGGGTTATTGGCTTCCTGAGAATGTGAGTCTCTACCTTGCAACGAAGCTGATGTGTATTAACCTGGGCTTCCACATCGCAGACAACGGTAGGAGTACCCCAATGGGCAGCATTCCAAAGCGCACGAAACTTTCGAAATCCCACCAGTTTCGTCCCTGAGCGCTGGCTCGACGATCCGGAGTATTCCGGCGACCAAAAGGCCGTTTTGCAGCCGTTCTCGATGGGCCCCCGGAATTGTGTTGGCAAAAAGTGAGTTCCGCCCTGCTTGATAAGAGCCCGAAGAAATGGAGAACAAAATAGCCAACTGATCATGTAAATGTAGTCTTGCTTATGCTGAGATGAGACTCATCTTTGCGCGCCTTCTGTGGACGTATGACATCGAGCTGATGCCAGAAAGCGAGAATTGGAACGAGCAGAAGATTTTTGCGCTATGGGAAAAGAAAGAACTCAAGGTTAAGTTGACGAAACGTGTTGGATTGCCGGAGCAGACAGCTTGAGCTGGCTTTCTTTGCCTCCGTCATATGGATATTCTTTGCCTCCATCATATGGACGCTTCATATGTGATGGTGTTATGTAGCATTGTGTCCTTTGGGAAATGACAAGGTTGCATTCTAGGGCTTATGTAGCTGGATCATATTTATGATATCTCTGCTTCATCTTTGTGTACCTGTGTTTCATAAGCATGGTGTTGATAAGGTGTGCAAGTGTATGTACTTCAGCTTGTGCATGTGAATCGACTCATGGAGTGACCTTTCGTTAGCCCCAGCCACTTTAATGTTTCATTTAGATGACGGTCTCTACAATACGAACATGACCCAATCATCGTACATTGGATCGCTGCTTTGTTACCAGTTCTTTGGTTGCTTTCTCCGTCTGGAAACGGCATCTGGGCAACAGGACGCGTGGAGGTCGCCCCAGCCAACGGTTCCCTGCAGTTGCCTCGACTCAGGCTCAGGTGAGTGGACTTCCGGGGGGTGAGCCACTGTCGCGTGCCCTAACTGCAGCTGGCCCGTCCACTAAGCGCGCTAGAGTAGCAGCCGAACAGCGACCCCAGCCACCATTTAATAGCGCGTCTCTCAGGCGGTTGTTGGTTCTGAGCAGCGACACCGAAGATCAATTGAATAGCACCTAATGAGACCTTCACCATCGCCACAGAGACGTGACACCCATGCCTTGTCCCCCACGCTATCCGAGCTGGATCCTGCCGGCCTGCCAGATCTGCGACGAACAGGACGACTTTGTCTTCTGCTTGAATAGCCGGGCGTGCCATGCCACCCTCAGCAACACAGCCGCCAGTCAAGCGACATGCTGACTGCAGCCTGATAGAGAGAAGCTGCGAGATCCAGTGCAACAATGGGGGCAAATCAGAATGTCCACGTCCAGCCCCATCATACAGCTGTTACTTTTGGCCACTCATCCTCATCACACTGATATAGTATACGCGCGAGGCCCTGGCCATCGCTGTATACCTACCTATGTAACTACGCGTCCTGGCAGATGCCCCTGGCCTAGTAAGTCATATCTACCTCGAGCCGGCAGTAGAACAGCGGATAGTCTTAGCACCACCACGTGAATATTGGAAGTATCAATACCAGATATCCAAACAGACATGCAGTCTCGCAAACGCCTACCGCGAAAGTACACAGGCCTGAGCCCGGTGCGTGCGCCAAAGGGTCAGCCCAGCTCAATTGGGGGCCCTGCTGGGAGCCATGTCGATTGAACGGCTTCTGAGTGGCCGGGGCAATCTCATGGCCGTCCGTTGTCGGCGTGCCACCAAAACATGCAGGCAGTAATACCAAGTGTGTCAGGTAGCTATCGCCACCGGCAACAGCAGACAGACGCCTCAGCTGCCTGTTATGAGGCTCGCCTGGCCCGCCTGATTTCCATCTCCATTCCATTCTCTTTCCTGGTGAATCACGACTCCTGCGAGCCAGGAATCGATTGACTATCTTTATCCATCTCTAATCAACCAGGCCACAAGCCTTTCCATCCGCCATGCATCGCCGCAGCGAATCCGCGCTCTCGACGTCCAATTGCTCGCCGCCGTCCTACTCGGTCAAGCACTGGAGCCCGTTTGCCGAAGTCCAAGAGGATAGATTTTCACTGATTGAGCCCAGCGAAGCGCCCAGCGAAACGTCCACCGAGCCCTCGACCACCGTCTACACGGCCGAGTCGCGGCGAACCTCCTTCACGCCCACCATCGAGGGCAGCTGGAATGACGTCGACGGCTACTACTCGGTGCCCTGGCCCGGCCAGACCTTCATGATCCTCGAGGCCGAGACCCGCCGGACCATCGCCCTCACCGACAAGGGCATCCGGCTGAAGAACGCCATCGACGTCGAGAGCAGCGACTGCCACTTCCTGTGCGTCGAGCGCGACGGCTACTTCGGCTTCCTCAACCCGGCCCGCGGGCGATACATTGGACACGACGGCGAGGGCAAGGAGGGCATGCGCGGGACGGCCAAGAAGCTCAGCTGGTGGGAGTACTGGGTCGTGCGCAAGCACCCGGACGGGGGCTACTGCCTGCTCGTGCCCGAGGGCCGGTCCCTCAAGCTCGTCGTCGTGGCCGAGGATGGAGAGACACTGGCGAGGGCAGACCACGGCATCACCCGGTGGAATTTTGCCCGGCTCTCTGGCCAGCAGACGCAGCAGTTTGCTGGCTATCGCCATTCGACTTGAGAGGGATCTCGGGTCGTGTCCCGTCTGCCCGGTGCAGACATGTGCCAATGAACTGATTGATTTTGAGCGTGATTTGCTATTCCCCCCCCTTCACTCTACATCTACCCGCAGGCGGTCTATAGCAAGGGAGGCTCATATACCTTAATTTGGATCCTGCCATCTAACTTGGCGTTTCTTAATATAAAAACAAAATTATTATAGGGCTTTGTCTTTGGCCCTGATGCATCACAGTCTTCTCATTTCTCTGCCTATCCGTGATCACCTTCCGCCATATTTGATATTCTCGGGGCCTTGGGTCGCTGAATATTCGAGCCCCCCAAGTTGTCGATCTGATCTCAAAGACTGTAAATACCCAGGCGTCCCGTCATTATTCCGTGGCATTCCAGGTGAGCTTTCATATGTCGGCCCGTGACTTGACCTTCACTTCGCCCGTCTTGTTTAGACTTTTTAAAACATCAAGTTTGGCACTCGATCGGCGCGTCACAAAAAAAAGGGATGAAAACAATCGTTGCAATTTGATCCAATCTAGGGACAAATGAATGGTCCTGCAGCTAGGTTACCTCAGCTATGACTTCAATGACATTTCTTGAAAGTCAAATGAAAGTCAAACGAAACGAACAGGAAACAAGCTTCAGAACACAACCTATCTATCGAAGTAAACCTTTGATAATGATGATTATCTTTTAGATCACATTCTTTTAGAAACACTGGGTTCTTAGTATGCTAGCTCTTATGGAAGGTTGTTCGTACCCTCTTGCCCCTAGTGCTAAGTTTGGAACTTTTCTTTTTCAGTCATTAGGCAACAAAAACGGATCTGAGGGTTCAATTCTATCGTTTTTAATTCAGAATTCTTGGTTAGCTTAGATTCAGCATGTCCCTGGATGTTGTTCCGGTCTCTAACCCTACCTACCTCGAAATATCTCATCAGATGCTAACCGAGGCAAACACGGGTCGCGCTGCCCAAACAAGTTGCCTAATCATAATAAGGCCATTACTATCTCAAAGCGGCTGAATCCAATATTATACGATGCAGCCCAATGCTGGAATTATCACCGAAGGGTAGGGCTGTGTAGGTGGATCCGACTGCAACATCAAGCACCACCACTTGCTTGAGCAGTCTTGCGCACTTCTATGTCTAACCTCATAATAAGTCATCGATCAAGTTATAGTTTAATGAGGAATGTATGCAATACCTGGCGTTAATTATCAGCGGAGAGTGTGGCTCTCTTGCGCCCTCCTCGTTTCCCATCCCGCATTTCTTTTTTCCTTCTCAATCGCCCTTCTTTCATGTTCCTCAAGAGATCTAAGCTTCTTTTTGTAAGGCCATTGATGCTGATGCCAAGAACCAGAAAATTGGCTCCATAATTGCAGCTCTATCAAAGATGGGCAACTCACCCCATGATGTTACGTTGACATGGACAACCCGGCCTCCCTCGCTGTAAGGCAGCTACATCAAGGCACAATTATAGTTACAAAAGCTCTTATCTCGTACTTCGTATTTCAGAAGTTTGGCCACGAGTTCTCTTTATAAGAATGGCGATTATTCTTGCTTGCTTGCTCAGTTAGGCTGTCGGCTGAAGCTTGTGTTGTCAAGCTGCGACTAGCAAGACCTTTACTAGTTTACTTGATGTATTTTCCCCATACTCTACCGAATTGTTGAGTTGTGGTTGCGGCCAACTCTCAGGGTTTGGGGCGTCGTATAATCATATGAGAGAAGGAGAAAGCCCGCTCTGTAGAGAGCAAATCAAGGAATATAATGCCTAGACTAGGTCTTTTTCTTGACATTGGCCTACGTAATTTCTCAACTGCGGAACAACATGTGCTTTTTATACACCTCTCGTAGCCAACCTCTACTCGTACTTGCGACAGTTAATACAACCATCGGCCTCCAGCATGCACTTTCGCCACATGGGAAACCGCGAAGTAAAGTCGTCAATAGCCTGCATACATTCCTCCTTCTTATAACCACTTCCTGGCCAGCCAAACTTGCGATACAAATGTCTTACCCACTCAACCAGTTCCTTTGTGTCCTGAGGATCCCGATCCGACGCTGGCTCCCCTTCGCTATCCTTCGGGCCCGGATCATACTCGACCTCGAAGTCAATAGCGGCGTCATCCATGTCGTGAGGGTCATACCTATTAATGAGAATCAGCTGCAGCTTCCTGATCTTCTCCATCCTTGATGCAAAGTATTCGTCGACGGGGAGCCTAGCGCCGTTGCCGCATATAACAAACTGCTCGAAAATCTTGCCGGAGAAGGTATCCAGGAGGAGGACAACGCCGCCGGTATGGATGGTGTTGGCTACCATGACGACATGCTTGAAGTTGGAGATGCGATTATCTTCCTCTGGGCGCTGCTCAACTCGCAACTCATTTGCCCATGCTTCCTCGACGTCTTTCCTTGGGAGGCTCTCTGGGTCTAAGCGTGAGTAATCGACTGCGTGGCATCTGTAGTCGAGGCTGGTGACGTCCCTATGTTTGAAGGCGTCGTTGATGTAGGGGAGATGTCTCAGCACATCGATGGCGAATGGGGCCTTGTCAAGGTCGGCACAGGCCGCGGGCGTCATGTCGGGCCAGCCAAGTGGCGGCGGTGTCTTCACCAAGTCGGCGGGAAACTTGAGGCGCTGGAGGAAGCTGTAATATTCCCGGAAGGGAGCAACGAGCAACTCGCGCAAGGCGGCAGTAATCTTGCGTTCGTTCTGTAGGTAGACCTCGTTGAGCTGGCGAGAGCAGAGGCGGAGCGCAACTGCGGTTTTGAGATTGGGCATGCGCAGGAAGATCTGAGCCTGAAGCTCGACAGGAAGCTTCATGAGACCGACTGTACGCTGCAAGTCGTACTTGGAAGACGACGACGGCGTCGAATGCCCGGCCGCCAATTGCTCAGACATGTTCGATTGGTGACAGTGTTACCTGCTGATGTGATGATGAAGGCTCGATCCTACGAAAAATTAACGCTGACTCGAATTCACGGTCTCAGCGGCCAAAGTTACGCCCAGGGGAAAACTCGACTAGCTAACAGTAATATCAAACGGGACGGGGCAGCGATAACTCGGCAATTGCAAAAAGAATAGGTAAGAATATTTATTATTAAATTAATTACGAGGATTGACGCTGATGGCTTGTGCTGGTTATCTCTGTCGGTAAGAGGGTTGATCAGTAGAAGGGCCCTCCGTCAACTGTTGGGTTGGCGAGTTGGACAAGCTATGAAGGATTGCATGACCTTGTGCACGTGAGACATCTTCGGTAAAGGAATAAGTTTTGTTTATTACAATAAACCGCTATTGCAGCATAAAATGCGGGCAGTCAGCCGGTTTCATGCTATCTGACTGATGCCGCCAGAAAGAGCAGCTACACAGTATACGATTAGTGAGGAGATGCAGCATTGGCGGGGTAACTGCTTGGCCTCAGTTGGAAGGAGTAGAACCTTCTCCCAACACATGTATGAATAGATAATTTTGAATATTCGCAAGACCTGGGAGACAGATAGCATCAGACACAACACAACCTCGAATGTCTTACAGGCATAGCTGCCTGTTGAGACATAACTGCTGATGTTAACACCGAGCACACAAGTCACGAAGGCACTAACGAAGCTCTCCGTAGCAGTGTAACAAAGTCGGAGATGACACGGTCTTGGCATCAGGTACGAGTGGCCGAGACTCAACAAAGACCCCGCAGCCGAAACAGCACAACATTGCACAGCACAACCTCGCATAAGTTGGCACGGCATAGCACAAGAAAAGGGACGCGCGTACACGCCAAGACCTGCACCTCCTGGCTTTTGCATCGCAGTCGCGCCAAAAGGGCCGCACCCTTGCGCAGCGCCAACCGCTTGTCAACGCCGGCGTGATGCCGTCTGTACGCCATGGCCTGTTGGAATGGCCCTCCGACGCCATGCGAGACGTGTATTCCGCAAGCACTAGCTGGCCTGGACCTTCTCCTGTAACGACCGACATGTCTGTGGTTTAGGCATCGTCTCCGTGCCGTGGGGTCGAAGCATCTAGACGCGATTGGCGGTCCCTGCAAGGCAATACTGCAGCTTGGCATCCTCCGCCAAGGGTTGCTGTCGTGTCACTTGGCTGCAACGGGGAGCTGCTTGGGAACAATTGCAATCAAGGTCTCTCCCCGAGGACGATGGGATACCGACCTCGTTGTAATGCCGGTCTATCTAGGCTGTGATCCTCGGGGGTGGGTGTAGGTAGGTAGATTTTGGAACGATGACATCACTCCGTGATGGGCATCGGTTTGGACATCATGCATGTTCAGAAGGTTCATGTTCATTTGCAACAGGTGTCTTCATTTAGAGAAGGTCCCTATGTGGACTAATCTGATACTCTCTCATCCCGAATCCCCATTGCCTCTTTATTTCATTGGTGTCTCGACCGCTTTCTAAGCTACAATCATGATGCCAAGTTAGAATGTGGGATACCAAGGCATAGGTTGATGGGGGAGACATACCGAAGCTGAGGTTGCCATTGTCGTTGCCAATGCGCTCGGAGAGGTTAATGTCACGGTCGTGCAGGTTTCCCTCAACGTCGCCGAGTCTGGCACGGAGGATGGGCTGGCCGTCGCCCTCGAGCTCAAAGCGGATGTCCTCGGCGGATCCAGAGAAGTCTGGTGATGCGTGGGTTAGCAAGAGAATCATAGGGCCTTGCTGGGATGAGGGTTGCTACTCACTGACGCCTCCCCACTGGAAGTTGCCGTTGTCGTTGCCAATGAAGTCGTCCAGGTTGATTCTGGACTCACCGTTCTCGAGGTCGGCGACGAGGATGTGGCCCTCCTCGACGCGGATGTTTGAGGCACTGTGGTGGAAAGACATGATTGTTTGTGTATGTGGATGGAAAGTGAAGCGATATGTATGGATCAGAGATAGAATCAGAGGAGTTTGACAGGGAGAAGCAGACCAGACGCAGGCAGAGGATGGGAAGGACGACCCTTATATAGACTTCCGACGAGGCACTCACTCGCACATCATCCCAGAGCCACGGATGGACGTGCAACCCCTCATCTTGGCTGGATGATTGCGTATGCTGCAGCCAAGACCGCCTCCATAGGACGGACCATCCCCTGATCCAACAAGCGAGCTCACTCCTGCTGCTGGGGCTGGCGCGCCATGTTGGGAGCGTCCAGACAAGTACACCACATGGCCACAAGACGTGCACGACTCCCCGACACGTCACAAAAGCCGAGGACAGGATGGGGAGGGGTGAGGTGAGGTGAGGGGCACTGAGCCTTGACGGAAGCTCCAGTGGACGCTACACGTTTTAGACGTGCACATCAAGAGGGGCAGCGAGCCTTAAGACGGCGATAATCCTCATGCAATGCACTATCAATCGGGCTGGCGGGCAATAGAGGCGTTGCTAAGTGCCGTAGCTCGAGCCCGGCCGCGGTCCTTGTCTGACTATTGGGCCATCTGGAACCCAGAGCCAAGCCCAGGCCGGTGCCGGTTTGCCCGAGTGGCTGACGACAGCAACATGTGCGGCGCTTGTTTGCTGCAGCTTGTGGATATCTTGGGCCTTGGTGGAGTGGCGGGGTAGCATAGCTGAAGGCAGTCGGCTCGATCTTTGTTCAGCTTCATTGCCGTCATCAGGTAAGACGAGCAGTAAGAGCTCCTCTCCGTGGCCACTGGTGCGTGATGCCTCGTGCTGCTGTCCAATGATACCCCTGGCTGGCTGTTGGTGAGACAAGTAGCATCGTGTTGAAGACGGGTGGTCGTCTCTGGCGTTGAAAATCCCCAAGCTACATAATACCCCGCCTCGATGATGAAAGAGGCATGTGAAATTGGGACATGTCTCGCACAATGGATGATGTAGATGACATATTTGCGTCAGTTTGACGATGCATTGTGTGTGCTCCTAGTGACAATGCTCGCCCCTGAAGGCTTAATTCCTCAGCTGCTGCTTGTAGCTGGACGCGTACGAGAGCTTTGGGAGCTCTAGCTATCGGGACGGACCGCCACTGAGAGGAAACGCCAAGCACATAGACAGCTCTCTAGTTGGGTCTCGACGTCAAATGGTTGGGAATGGCTGGAGTAACCTCTCCTTGGCGCTCCACCAACAGCCACTCTGTGACAACAAGGTTCCTCGGCGACAGGGAACGTTTCACAGGGCCTTAGTTGCATTTTCTTGACCGCCAGGGTATTCAGCCCCAGCCAGGTCCGGTCCTGTGGCCACCGTGGCTGGTGTAGCTGAAGCGGAGGAGGACATCCCGTAAAGGAGGACATCCCGCCAACATTGCTCGTTCAAATGTAGCGATTTGAATTGGATTTGTATTGAAGACTAGTGACTATCATTAAGTAAATTATGCAAGGATGCGAGGGCATGACATACACAAACCCAAGGCCCATTACTGAGCCATGCGTAGCCCGATGTTGATTGTTGTACGTTATTGGCATCACTCCAGCGTCACGCTGTTGCTTCGCCTCGTCTCCGTCTTGTAGCCTCTCTTGCTCCCAGTCACCCAAAGCTCTATCTTGCGGCTCTTGCTCGCCTTCGTCTTGTGCTTGAGCTCGCTGCCCGGCGTGACCTTGAAGCGTCCGCACTTGGGCTTGCCGTCCACAATCCACTGTGCTTCCAGTGCTACACCTGGGTCCCACCGTCCGACAGTCCCCTTGATGATTGATCCCTCGACCTCGATCGAGGGAGGCGCCTGGCGGGCCAGAGCAGCTTCGCGGCCGCCCACTGAGATGACGTCGCTGAAGATGTTTCCGCGCCCGGAGGGTGTAGTCACCTCGGACGACAGCGGCGTCTTCCCATCGGGGGCGTGGTCCTGGATCCAGCCGTACACCAGCTCGAGGTAGTTCCAGATCTCGCGGGCCTGGTAGTTGCCGCCGTGCGTCTTCTCAGGCAGAATCGTAACGTTGGCCCAGCCCACGCCGCCCTTGGCCTCGATGCGGTCCTGGAACTGCTGCACGCCCTCGTTGAGGTAGTAGTTGTCCCACTCGCCGACCCAAACAAACAGGCGCTCGCGCAGCGCCTGGCCCAGGTTGCGCTCGGTGTCCCAGTTCTCGAGGATGTAGTTTGCCAGGTCCATCTCCTTCCAGTACTCGACCGCCTCGGGGTAGATCTCGCCCGTGATCTTGTCCCAGGGCTCGAGGGGATACCCATTCAAGCCTTGCACGCCGAATACAGCGTTCCAGACATCCCACTGGTTGGCGGACCGGGACGACGTGCCGAAGACGAGCTCCCAGTGATTCTCCTGGCGCACGGTGGCGAGGACGTGCTCCTTCTTGTCGACAAACTCGCGTATCGACCCGATCTCGCTGCCGTCCTCGTTCCTGTACGCGTTGCTGCTGGTGTATAGCGGGATGTCCTGGTGCTTGTGGAAGTCCAGCGAGTCCGGGTAGGACGAGAAGCAGGCGCCGAACAGGTCGGGCCGGAAGATGACGCTGGCGATGGAGATCCAGCCGCCCGTCGAGCCACCCTCCTGGATGCGAGCGTACGGCTCGGCGATGGTGTTGAAGACGGCATCGATGTGGGGGATCAGCTCGTCATTGATTGCGTCGCCGTAGGGCCCCAGGTTGGCCGTGTTCACGGCGTACGAGTCGTCGTAGTACGGTGCCTCGTGGCGGATGGTGACGAGGATCATCCGCGGCGCCTCCCGCGCGCTCGTCTGGTTGTCCCCCGGGATGACGCCGCTCTCCCACGCCTGGGAGAAGGCGGCGGTGGGATAGCGGAACGCGCCGCGGCCGCCTGGCCAGTGGCCCTGCGAGTAGATGACGGGGTAGCGGTGCGTCTTGTTGCTCGCGTCGTAGCCGTGGGGGAGGAGGACGTTGGCGCCGACGTACATGTCGCGGCCCCAGAAGGCACTGAGCTTCTCGCTGCGGATCTTGACGTACTTGAGGAACTCTGTGTCTGCGTAGTTTCCCTGGGCGCACTCCCCGATCTCCTTGCCGGTGAAGGCATCGACAGGGGTGACTTGGTCGAACGTGAGCTCCAGCGTCTGCTCGCCGCCGGTCACCGCCATGTTTGCCGCTGTGGTCTTGAGGCTGCCGAAGCCATCGATGTTGGCTGATCCGTCGCCGCAGGGGAAGCGAATATTGATGGACGAGCCGTCGCTTCGCGTTGCGTTCTCATACTTGGTGAGGAACGCCTGGACGTTGTAGGTCCCTGCCGCAAGCGCATCCAGGCTCACTTCAGGATAGCCGTAGACCCCAACGGTGGTGTTGTCAGTGCTTCCCCCAGATAGAACAACAGTAGAGCCCTCGCCGAATTGATTCACGTTGATCCCGTAGAACTGGTTGGGCGTGCTGGTCACATCCGTGTCGTCCAAAGGATCGACACCTTCTGGCGCAAAGATGAGCACCAGGCGGCCGTCTACAGTGCCATTGAGGATGCCGTCCGCCACTGAGACTTGCACACGGAGCTTCTGGGCCACAGCTAAGGAAGGGAATGCGGCCGAAGCGATGAGAGTCGCGACCGCCCCGAAGGATAACTTCACCATTGTGTATTGACCTGGGCTCCGCTGCCTCCAAGCTGTCTGGAACCAATTGGAGATATCCTGGTACTCAGATTGCCGCGACCCAAGGCTATATCATGGGAAAATCTGGCAGGGAAGAAACAAGTCGGTACTACTACTCTGGGAAGTCCCGAGGTCGGCGAACGGTGGGCATCGCATTCCATCATTGATTCATCATCTCTAAACCAAACTTCCTTGTCAGACCATGTTTATCTTCTGGAGGATTGGAACTTTTCGAATGGAAGCCAACTGGGGCTAGGAACCTTCTGTGGCACTTTTGAACCTGCCTCTTTGAGCTGGACGTTTTCCACGCTTCCCCGCCCGATTCATTTCCCGGGGTTCCGGCTAGCACGGAAACAAGCTTATCCAGGCGATTGGTGGTGAGTGGCAAGCTGTTGAGATGTGCGTACAAAGAAGATATACATCTACTAGAGATATACACACTCACAAGGCGGGTAGATTAGGGGTGTACGGGCTTCCCGGATTGTGGAGGAGAAACAAATTGGTCAAGATTGCCGTCTACAAATTCTTCGTCACGATAGCCACGGCCTAAGATATAACCTCAGTGTATCAATCGCCTGTCCCGTATCTTTCGGTCCCCAATCGATCCACAACACGCTGTGTGGTTCGCCCCAAGGATCAAATGATATGCAGGGGCCATCGGTGGGTTAATTACGGTAACTTATCCATACGGGATTCGTACTTTGAGGACGAGTGATGGATGGTATCTTTGGTGAGGTGATTGTTAAAAATCTTGGTTAGTCACCAGATTGCATGGGACTTGGCAGACACTCGAGGAAATACAGCGAGAGTGCACTCAGTTGCCAGATCTCAGAAGTTTAATGGCCGGCTAATCTGGGAGCGATTTCAATGTTGGGAACTTCAGCTGCTAAATAAATCAGATTGAAAATGTGAGAAATTTGAGGTTAAATAGATACAATATTCTGTTCCCACACGCATAGGATTTGATGCTCTGAATAGCTACAAAAAGATGCGAGATCTTGCCTACAGTCTAGAAAGAAGTGCTTCTCCCCTCTTCATCCAGGTCACAGCGTCATTAACAAACTCGTCAACCACTTCCTTGGCTGGCTTGAGCTCGTTCACAACAGCCGCACACTTCCCCATCAACACGCGGTTGCTCGCCTGCAGCCTTTCCAATTCAGCGTCGTTGTCGTCGTTACTTGCCTTATCTAGGTCATGCTCGTACGGGATTATGCCCTTCTCCAGTAGTTTCTTCTGCTCCTCTTTGCGTATTGCTTCCCATTCTTCGATATAAGGACTACTTCGAACACGCATAGGCCTTCCACTGTAAATCAGCGTGCGGATGTTATCGTCATAGCCTGCGGTTCGGACGGCCTCCTTGTGTGCCGCGGAAGCTCCCGCCTCGTTGGTGAGAATGAAGCGAGTGCCAACCCACACTGCCGCTGCGCCCATCATCAAGGCGGCGGCTAGAAGTTGGCCGCTGTGGATGCCACCGGCAGCAATAACCTGCACCGGCTGGCCGGTCAGGGGAGATGTGTGACCTCTGCACGCCTCGACGGCCGCAGGAGTGAGAACAGTGGTGGGAATATCCCCAGTATGGCCTCCCCCCTCTCCTCCCTGTGCACATATGATGTCAACGCCAAGATCGAGACACTTCTTGATATGCTTAACGTGCCCAACCATGTTCATATACAAAATACCGTTGGCATGGAGTCTATCAACAACAGCCTTGGGAGGAACTCCGACAGCAGAGACAAACAGCTTGGCACCGGATTGAACCACCACATCGATAAGTTCGTTCAATTTGCCCTTTGTGTAGTCGTAGCTACCAATCTGATCAGTATCAACTCATTTGACCGGGATGAGGCTTCGTACTTCGTCTTTCGGGCACTACCTCCAATCTGCGGAAGCAGCAAATCAATCCCGAATGGAGCGTTCTTGTCGATGAGATGACTCTTTAGCTCCGCAATCTGATCCCGGAGCATATCTGGTGTATAATGAACACCGCCGATAACACCGAGGCCACCAGCATTGGTCACCGCAGCAGCTAGCTCAGGACCTGCGGCAACGTTCATTCCAGCAAGAAGAATGGGATGCTTGATCTTAAATAAATCCGTAACCGGAGTTCTTATCTTTTCTTTAGCATAGCTCAAGTCAGCGTCTATGAGCTTCTCTTTAAATGGTTGTGGACGACTAAGACCATATTTAACATACGTGGAGATGCCATAGTGACACACGAGAACAGTTGCCTCCAAAAATATATGTATTAGATGGATGATATGCTGAAATCAATTCCGCTTAAAATTCTCATATAGAGAATAAGTAGAACTAGTTAGGCGCGGGGACTGTTTGTTGTTATTATTGCACTGGACCACATGAATAAGACGCCAAGGACGCAAGCCGTGTATAAATAATATGTGTACGATAGATTATAATAACGAAATAGCCTATATGCCTTCTCAAGACGTCGAAAAGCCGACATCAAACAAGTACCTCGGCAAGATTATGGGCGGGGTTAAGAACCGACAAACGCGGGAATCAATCACCACTTGCCGCCAGTGGTTGATGTCTTATCCCTGCTCACCGCTCACTCTTCTACAGGAATGAGAAAAAAAGACAAATATATCAGCACAATGCAGTTGAAAGACCTTACAATTAAATACACGCGGATACTTGGGGATAGAAATTGAGGGTTGAGGTGGTTTGAGCTCTAATTAGGTAGTTTCTATTGAAAGTGAGCGAGCGATAGAAAGATATCTAAACTCTTGACCTAAAGAAATCTCTTACCTAGGACTTAGAAAAGGTGACCTGTAGTGTTTGATGCCTCGTTGCCTCGTGTTGAAAAAATTTGCTTTTCATCCACTTATGCGGTGACCTGTATCGCCTCACGTTGGTCTCATGGTTAGTTAAAATACCTATCTTTTCTTTGCGTACTTACTCTTACTGCCGAAAAGTAGATGGCGATGACGCTCAATATCCGATATATGATTATCTTGAATATTTCCGGTGTGAAGTCCTAATGAACAATCAAGAGCTCATAGATAATGGGTCGGCTACTTCGAGGTTATTCGTATTCAGCATATCTCGAGCATCTAGAAGATGAAGTTTAATTACGAGAGCACGGGTGAGAGTTCGATCGAGCACAAAGTGAAAAAGTAGCCATGGAATAGACCCGATATCTCAACACAATGAATACGAGTCAATTACGAGAACACATATGCGTTGCCAGTCGTATGTCAAGCGTGCATATAATGGATGCGCTCCTAGCCCATCTTCCGCCTTTGACAGCATCCTATCTCCTTGATCCATCGCATATTACCATGGATTTTGTAACAGATCAGTCATTGATCATCCAGCGATTCCGGCGGATTGGATCAGCACTTTCAAGTTCAAGGAAGCCGCCATGCCCGTTCTTGAGCCTTCCCCGAGAGTTGCTTGACCTGATAGTCGCTCCTCTGCCCTTGGCTAATCGACTTGCCCTAGCTCTAACATGCAAGTCCTTGCTGATTTACGACGGCCTTTCACTGCCATCTTCGACAGGGAAGGGACCAAAAGCACACGGAGAATTTCTAATTCGTCGCTTTGAACGCGATCTTCTTCCTACCCACTATACCTGCCCCAAATGTTCGAGGCTACATAGGATCCGTTCTGCTGCAGCTGCCTCCCGAAATTGCGCCTTTGAGTCAGTGCCAGATACTATTCCATGCAAAGTTTGGATGCGGGGAATTCATTATCGCTTGCTGTACGACTCTTATTATCGACGCTGTGCCATGGATCGGCATCTCGAGAGCTCGAATCCCGGCTTGCCTCTGGAGCACGAGTCCAAGAAACGACGGCCTCCAATCTTTCGCTGGAACACCAGAATCTTCACCGCGGTTTCCCAAAAAGACCTGATTGTAGCTGTAGCATTCGAGCTTACGCATCATAATATCTGGCCTCTGATGCATTCCCTAGTCACTTGGCAGCCTTGCATATGCCACCATTTGATTGTCACGCCAGGGCCAGGCACCTCCGACCACCTATTTGTTCCCATAAGGCTGGGTGCCAAAGAGGTATTGGAGCTTTCGCGTGACCCGTCGCATTCAATCGATGGCTCATGCCGAAGTTGCCTAACAGATTACACTATCAAGATGGAGAGACGGGCGCCCACGACATTCAAACGAGCGCACTATTCCCTGTTGATTCGGGTCTGGAGTAACCTCGGCTGGGATGTTACTCTGGATCGGTTGGGAATATCAAATAAACTCAACACGCGCAATTTCGAAGTGCATCCTGCGGGCTCCGTACGTCGGGATTATCTTTCTGTTGCGGGGGAGGGAATGTATGAGAGGCAGTAAATAGAATCAGATCAGGTGCGTATCTCTTATCAGAGTTCACACCATCGTGAGGGAAAATCTCGCATTGACTGAAAATACGGTTTTACTGGGTTGGCTTAGACTTTGATGGGTGTATGGGACTTAAACCTCAACTTGGATGCAGCTTCGAACCTTGTGTGACTGGGAACAAGACTGGTTGACTGGCAAGGAAGGTAATACTGACAATCCTCGTTTTTGGTCCGGGTGGGCGTTGTAACCAGAAGTCGATAATAGCAAGGAGTTTAGACTTGCCAGGATAAATGCTGGCCAATGGAAACTGAGTTCTCAGCCCTCGCGTTTGGGACAGATGAGGCATGGTGTGCCACACTTTTCTCTCCGCATTCTGTTCCCGTGACATGCCGGTCTGCACTTGTAGTAATGATGGTCGGCTAGGTTCTCGAGCGGCATCCGGCGGCAGGGTTGGAGCTATTGTTATCTGTGGAGGAAACTTTGGGGTTGGGGGGCGAAACGCTCGTGCCATTATTTAGGCCATCTTATGATTCTTATCCATGGCCTAAACAAGCCCAAATCATGCGCCGCAGAGTGGGGGTGGCTCAGAGACGGAAGTAAGGTTGAACAGAAGAGAGGACAGAGATATCAGACAGTACGCGCTCTGCTGTCCCATTCCCCCTAACATGATCGTACCCTTCCAAAGGGCTTTATATCGTTGCATGGAAGTTATAAATCAAATGAACGTTCATATTCCATCCAAACTGGCATTGGAATTGCTTGGATGGCCAATCTCGGAAGAGGAGCCGTCTATCGCTGGCGTGCGAGTCGCGCAATCTCAGAGGTGGCAGATCCCAGATAAGCCCCGTGATAAGAACCGGCCCCTTAACGGAGAAGCCGGTGTGCTTAGAGCGGTACGTAATGGCGACACCTCCACCGGCTTCAAGCGTGTGGCTGCTGGAAGATAGCCTAAGAGAGCCTTAGATAGGGCGGTCTTGCGGGGGACCCCAGTCCGCCCAGCGCTGGTTAGCGTCCGTCGGCCACTGAAGTGCTGCTGACACATTGCACGATTAAGGCGGGGGAAGATAACGAGCCCCATTGAGGCAACTGGATCCGGTCGGGAAGGGTCTCTCGATTCCTCCCAGATTCGTCTAGATGGTGTGGTGTGATTGCTTGACTGGTTGATATCATGCCGTCCCCCAGAATGATCTCCCGTCTTGTATTTGGATTGAATCCTCTTCTTCCCCGTAATCCTTCACTCCCACACTCGCCCAGCACACAGAGTCCCAGACAATGACAGCTCCCAGCATCACAAAGAGAAGCCCCTCTGGCTGCACAGAATACACACGACGGCGTGGCCAGCCCCTACATACGAGGGCCTATTGCCACAAGCAAGGCCAGGATGCTACTCGACAAACTAGATGGCAGCACCGAGAGCCGTGGGCCAGACAACACGAAGACTACGGGCATGCCTCCAACAAGCCACGCTGGGATTGTGCAAAGGCAGACGAAATGTCTCATATGCGGTATTCAATGGAGCGAGCGACTCATCTAATGGTCAATGACCCCGAGGAGAAACATCTTCCGTTCCCAATTCTCGAATATGTCCGACGCTGGCTCAGTCTCAAGCACACCCTGCACAGCTTTGGCGGCAATCATCGAAACTATCTGGACCCCAAATCACCCTCTGGCTCGAATCAGGAACTGTTCCCCCGGTTCGTAAGCGTCATGGTCGCAGGTCTTTCCACTGCGTGGACGAACCCTCCAACTGCTGAGTTCGACCAGCAGTATCTCCAGGATGCACGTGAGTTGGTCGACATCATGCTTTCCGAGTCCAAGAGCCGAGACACGCGACCGCCGTACTTCAACTTCGTCATTGGAGCCTATGTGTACTACGACATGGCTACCTCATTCCTTGTTCCTGTCAATCAGCAGCTGCCTCTCAATACCAGTGAAATGTATACCGCCGTGCTCGATGTTGGCCAAGAATATCACCCTATTTCGGGCTATACAACAGACATCTTCTATCTTCTAGGCACTGTAGGACGCTACTGCCGATCGGTCGTTGAGACAGGAGTTCGGGACGAATCCCTTGAGGCTGTTCTGGAAGAAGAGTTGGAGAACTGGGAACCAAATCTAGAAAATCCCGAATTGGGACTCATGAGCAACGCCTTCCGCATGCATGGGCTGATCAACCTCGCCGCTATTTGCTACAGGCGGCAGGATGTGAACACACCACAGGAACATCGCGACCTGTCCGTCATGATGGGTACGGAGATGCAGGAGCGGATCGAGGAGTGGCAGAACCCGAAAACTCCTCCTGGCGGCGACGATATTACCGACCAGGGACAGGATCCCGAACATGAGGATGAGATTGAGCCTGATGACTTTCTTGAAGCGATGGTCAGGATGCGCGCTCTGAGCGTTGTTCGAGATTTGGCTTCTATACCAACAGACAATCCTTGCATCAATCTCCAGGCCATACCGTTGTTCACTGCTGGATCTGAATTGACTAGATCCGACCAGAAGGAGAGGCAGATCGTCATAAAACGCTTCAGAGAGCTGTATTCAATGAACCATCTTCGTACCAATTTGTCGGCGTTGGAGATCCTCCCAGAGATTTGGGCCCGGAAAGACCGAGGCGAAAATATCAGCTGGTTGGATGTCATGATTGAAAAGGGTTGGAGCATGATGCTCGGTTAAACCACTGTTTTTCTACTTGGGTTTTTTCGCCGTCTTCTTCGAATACGTGTAAACATATGAGCCGGGGTTTTGTTGTTGCATTTAGGGAGTTAAAGGATTGTATGCTTTATATATCTCAAAATAGCATCGAGAGGGATAAACATTAATGCTTAGTCGTACATCTATAACAATCTGGCAAATGATTCGAGAATATTTCCCGTCTAAAGATACGCTAATATGAAATGTCTCTCATGTCTAAAGCGAATATCGTACAATGAAGCTATTTTTTGTTGGATAAGGTGAAGAACAATCAGAGCGTCTGGGTGGTTGACCAGCCACTTGGCCCTTCTTCAGCTACTCTATCCTCCGAACCCCCCAAAGACAGATGGTCCTCCAAACATATACCTGGACGGTTTTGCCGGGGCTGGAGTGTTCACAGGCGAGGGAGACGTTGCCATCGAAACATCAATGGATCTGGGACTGTAAAAGCTTGAAGATGACGGTGGTGCCTGGGACGCTTGATCGCCATTTGGTTCTGCGCCTGGTTGCTGAAGATTCAGGGTGAGCGGAACTCTGGGCTGAGGGTGGGATGGGAAGGCTAATCAGGGCATCATTAGCAAGCCGCGGTATGATCATTCTAAAGCGACATACCTGTCACGCCTCTGGGCTGATACTTTTGGCAGATAGCCAGTCCTCTTCTAAGGACATCCACATCCTCTTTTAAGTGCCTCCTGCGGTCCTGCACATCCTCAGATTCTGAGGTAAGCTCTTTGAGTCGATGCTCAGGCATGATGGAAACCTCGGTGGGCGTGAGAATAGAAGGCATGTCTGCAATCAAGCAGCTTTCAATAGCGAGGTTGATCACGTTGACTGCAAACGTTCGTCGCGCGGTCTGTAGATTTGGATCAGCATTGAGCATAAGAGAAAGGTCAAGAAAGAAAGGTACCTCGTAGTACGCTCGCATCATGTCGATGACAGTCTGCGCACCATACTCGCCATCTCTGGTGTCGTTGTCATCCGATACAGCAGCCGATATCATTGCTCTACTGAGCTTCTCTCCGGCACTTTTGTCTTTCAGTAGGTTGTAAATCCGGTTAGTCGTTCTCTCATTAGCCTTGAAAGAAAAGGCCGAGTGAAACTCTGCGTCGAGTGCAACCGAGTACCCGTTGGCGTACGGCTTCAAAAGCTCCTGAAGCTTAGATTTCAGAATCTTCTCTTTTGCATGGAAGAATGGATCAACACAAGTGGACAGGATAATTTCGGTCGTTCGGTTGGAGTCAGGTGGCCCAGCAAGATGTGTGAAGACCGCATCAACGAATGCTTTTGCAACAAGAGTGACGCGGTCAACATGAAATTGAGCGATCGGTTCCCAAGGCTTCGCTTGCTCCTGAAACAAACGGATCGCAAGGTCTTTGTTGGGCTGTCCGGGGAATTCTGTTCCTTGGTTCATTGAGGCTTGCTGTTGTAGCTCTCTCAAAACCTCAGACTCTTTTCTGATGACAGGATCAGGGAATCTGTAGGGGTACTTCCTCAGGAACAATTTTAAGCTCTCAGACGCTGGCTCCTCCGTTGCTGCTTTGTTAGATAAAGAAGATGAAGGAACGATGTTTATCGTAGATCCCTTCGTATTCAGAACATGGTCAAACGCGCGATTGAAATTTCTGAGCAAAGCCCGGAACTTTAGGTCTCCATCCCTCAGACCACCGAAGAAAGCATCCTCGTATCGGCCTTGGATCCCATCGCGGGTAAGACGCTGAAATTCGCTGGCAATTTTAATGAGATACGCTCTCATCTCGTCCAAGTTTGACCTAGGGTTCCCTAATTGGGCGAGCTCACTCTCCCGTTCCACCATGTTGCTTTCGATGTCGCGGATGACTCGAGGTAGATTCTTTCGAATGTGGTCGTACGAAACTCTGCTCAACCGCTTCCGTAGATTTGAGATGCCAAGATTCTGCTTTGGCACTGAAGCCCATTCCGGGTTCTTGAAAAACCTGTCCTCGATGTCGTCTCGGGCGTTGACATCCTTCTCAAGCTCGGTCCTGTTCCGTACAGCATGCCAACCGAGTTCTAGCTTGTTCGCGCCTTCTAGGTTGCTAGCCAACTTCACGTATGCCGCTTCTCTGGCCGTGCCGGGAAGAGCAAGGTCTGGCTTCGTAATCACGCCAATGGTTCTCGAGCCATCAGGGTCAACTGCCCTGACTCGGTCGAGAGCGCCGTGTCTTGAGAGATCAAGATCGGCTGTGATGACGGCGAGGATAATACTGTGTTGCTGCTTCATGTACTCGGACACAATGGCATTGACAGTTTCTTTGTCGCTCAGCGTCTGTGATTCTGCAACGTTCTCAAAAAGACCAGGCAGGTCGATCAACGTCAGAGGATAAAGATTGGGTCCTTCAATCTCAAGACGGAGAACATCTTTGGAGAATCCGGTCCCGGAGAGTTCCATGTACCCTTGTGAATCCTGAATAATACTAGGCAGATCCTCCTCCCTGAACCCGCTTGTCTGGAAATGCTGCGGCGGTTTGTTCTTGTCCGCCGGTAGAACCGTGGCCCTGACTCTGCCTTCCAGCGACGGCCGAAGCACCAGCTCGGTCGCAAACCGTGTGCAGAGGCCGTCCTTGATGGGGAAGCGGATGCGGCATAGAGCCTCGAGGACGGAAGACTTGCCGGACGACTGCCCTCCGACGACAATGATCTGGGGCAGGTTGACGATCCGGCCGACGCCGCAGGCGCCGAGCTCGTTCATGGCCTCATGGAGCTCGCTAGCCTCGCGAGTGTTGAACTCGCTGAGGACTTGTGAGCTGACTGATATCTCCGCCGAACGCATGATGCCCGGTTGTCACGAGAGCTCTCGGATGAACTGCAACGCCGGGTGGTATCTGGTCTCGAGCGTTCGCGCCGCCTGTTTCGCGTGGAGATGCAGCAGACTGCCAAGTGGCCATCTCAACGCGAGAGAGCATGATGACAGGGGGGGCTTCAAAGGTTTGAAACAATGACACAGGGGCCTGGCGAACCGCTACAGCTTGTAGGCCCCATCCAGAGGCTCTAAAATTAGAAGCAACCACGCCGTAGAGCACATACGATACGTGAGCTTACGTGAGTGCAACATGCAAGATTACCACAGTATGTCATTCCCTGGTGTCCTTTGCTGCATCGTGTTTTCAATTCTGAAGGTAAATATTCGTTGCCGGCTCGAATGAGTTCAAATGCCCTCATAAACGAGCCCTTTCGCGAATTATTCCCCGGGCTGTGATCAAACCCTTATCACACTTGGCTGTGTTAACCATTGTAACATGAGTGGAATACTATGTGAAGCGAAAAAAGCGATGCGCCAGAAAGATACTGAAATGAGAAGAAAGAGTGAGAGTGAGGTTGAGAATCCATGGTGGCGATGTACGTTGCTGGTGGAGTTCTTGCGTTGTCAGAGCCATTCATCCTGATGAGGGTCATGTTGGCCGATTTATACAGCCTTGCAGCTTGAGGGGGCCTGGGAGATGGAGGCCAAGGAACAGAAGACTCAACGCATAGTGGATCATGGATAGAACGTCATTTGTTTACACATTACTCCGTTTGAATGGCTGAGAGAGGCGTCCGAAATCTCCATAGCCGTATGCTATTGACCCACCAGTATAATCTAGTATCAACTTTCTTTTACACTCATTACTCTCTGAACATGCTTCTACGATTTCGCCATAGCTCTGCATCACATTTATTCGAATACAAACAGTTTTCGCATCAATATAACAAGAGATAATATCTCATACGATCATGACTTGGGCGGCAAGGCCGTGACAGGCCAGCCGTTGTTTCTGATAAATGTTGACCGAAGATTCCATCTTCCGGATCCGACCTCCTGCCTTAGCTCTCCATCGTCCTGTGGAAGAACAATTTCCGCCCGCGTGCCACTGGGAATCGTTGCTTCCAAGAGTATCTCCTCCTTGCCCCCGTTCATGACCTTGGTTTCCCAAGAAAACTTGATGAGCCCATACCGTGACTCATGCACTGCAGAGGCACTCTCAAAATCAGCGCCTACCGATGGTGCAATGCGGAACTTTGTCCAACCAGGCTCTAGCTGCTGCAGGCCGGCGACCTTCTCATACATGAATTTAGCAATGGCGCCAAATGCATAGTGGTTGAAAGACGTCATGTTGCCAGAATTAATAGAGCCGTCCGGATGCATACTGTCCCATCTTTCCCATACTGTTGTAGCGCCCATAGTGACCGGGTACAGCCAGGAGGGGCAGTTTTTCTCCAAGAGCATTGCATATGCGACTTGAATATTACCTGTGGCTGCCAAGGCCGCGCAAACATACGGTGTGCCCGCGAAACCCGTGCTGATTTTGAATTCATTCTTCCGCACGAGCTCGACCAACCGCTCCCCAGCTCTATTTCTCTGAGACGGAGTAAGTATATCTAGGCAGATTGCTAATGCATATGATGTCTGTGAATCGGATACTAACCGGCCGTTTGCTGTAACAAATTCGGCCTGAAATTCTTCTCGCGCGGCTTGACAATCTTTTGCATAGAACTCCTCCTCGGAAGTTTTATCGAGAATAGCAGAGATTTGCACCATAAGATCGAGGCTGTGTATAAGGAACATATTAGATACCATCCTCGCATCAGTTGCACCCTTCCAAGGTTGATCAGGTGGTGCCGTAGGGTCAAGCCAGTCCTAGTGAATATATTAGAGACTGAATATTAGCTCGAAATTTAGGAAACACTGACTCCGAGTTGGAACACTGTTGGATCCCATAGATGGGAAAGGGTCAGTTTACCCCTCGGCAAAACACGCATCCAGGTAGTCATGCTCTTATACTGTTGAGATAAAATCTTCTTATCTCCAGTTTCTTTATATAAAGCCCAAGGCGCGAGGATGGTTACATCATGCCATATCGCGCAAGGAATTCTTCTACACCAGATAGGGTCTGGTAAGGTCGAGTTTGGGCTAACCATAGGCGGCACGCCTCCGAGAACATCTTGATCGAACTCGACATCGACTAGCCAGTTTCTAATCATGCTGGTACAGTCATATATCAGCAATGCTGTCGGTGCAAACAATGCTAGATCACCAGTCCAACCAAGCCTCTCGTCTCTCTGCGGGCAATCTGTCGGAACTGAAAGAAAGTTACCTTTCATACCCCAAACCACATTCTTGTAAAGCTGGTTTAAGAGCCTGTTTGAACAAGAAAATCCTCCAATGGATCTCATATCAGTGTGGCATACCACGGCTTCAATAGCATTCGAGGCCGTGGCTAAGTCCAAGTCACCAACCCATCCATCAATTTGGGCATATCGAAACCCGTGAATTGTGAATCTGGGTTCATATATCTCTGGCTGTTCATCTTCAGACCCCTTCAGAGTATACTGGTCAAGTGCGTCGCAAAATCGAAGCGGGCGTGTTCCAAGCTCCCCGTTCTCCAACACTTCGGCCTGGCGCAGGGTAGTTTTGTGACCTCGAGGGCCACAGATATCTTTCAACCGTAGATATCCGACAAGGTTCTGACCAAAGTCTAGAATGATATTCCCACTTGGAGTCACAATTCTGTCCTTCGGTCTAATCACTTCCGTTCGTCGTACAGGTTCACTGCAACTGGCCACGAGTTGTGTGGCTTCTGGGAGCGCGGACAACGTGACTACCTGTTGCCAGTTGGAATCCGATTCATGTCCTGTATGCGCAGATGACTAAAGCGGTACTTCGAGCGTGGCATCGTACTTTTCGCCGTCATAAATCTCAGCGAGTCTGATCGGACCTCGGGTGACCATCCAAGATTGATCGGTTGCTACAGTTTTTACTGCGCCGTCCTGGAAAGTCAACTCTAACTGCATTAGGAGCGCATTAACCGAGCCCCAAGTATCACGGTGGCCACCCCTGAATCCAAGTCGGCCAGAAAACCACCCTTCTGCCACACGGACACCTATACAATTGTCTTGACCGGATTTCAGGAGAGTAAGCACATCATATGTTTGGTACTGAATTCTGCCAGCATATGAAGTCCAGCCTGGAGCCATGAAATGATCTCCTACACGGA